ATGTTGTTTAAATGCTGGATAAAAACAAGATTGTGCATGGCTGTGATAACCCCATAGATACCAGCTGCTTCATGAGCTGTTGTCTTGAGTATCTGTCCCCGAATAGAAGTCACTGCCTACAGATAAGAAAGGAACATTGATGGAGGAAAAAAATAAAATAAATTTAGCCTGCTAGTTGGTTGGTACTTAATCTGTAGTTTCAACAAATAAATTATGAATATATCTGGACATTTTATAGCAATCTTAATTTTAGTGAGTGAGCTGTTTTGATATACTTAATTGATAAACCGATCAAGAATGCCAGGATAATTTTGCTCCCTCATCTGCCCTCGCTGCAGAGGGGTGTCCCCTGCATTTTTTAGCATATCTGTACCTAAAACATTTGTAAACAACAACAGTTTGCACTTGAATAGCACCCTTTATGCTGGTAGTGTCTCAGAGCGCTTAACAGTGGCGGAGCCTGACTCCGAGCCGGGGTGGTTGGGGGAGGTGACTGTAAGCACGGACGAAAAGGAAGGTTTACAGGCGGTACTCGAAAAAGGGGTGAGAGGGGGCAAGGTGGAGGGATTGAGGGAGAGTGTTTCAGAGTTTTGGGGCATAGTGGCTGAATATGTGACCTCCAATGGTGGAGTGGGGGGCACAAGGAACAAGCAGGAGGCTCTAGTTGAGCGGAGGAGCCAGATGGTGGATTGGAGAGTAAGGAGATGCCAGAGAGTGAAGGGATTTGAAAATGAGTATGAGGATCTTGGAAGTCGTTCCGTTTGGTAACGGGGAGTCAGTGGAGCCTGACCTGAACTGATGAGATGGGTGTACGGAGTTTGGTCCGGGTAAGTATGTGGGGCAGCAGAGTTCCGAATGACCTGGATTTTTTGAATAGTGGAGCTGGGGAGACAGGTGAGGAGTGCATTCGAGTAATCCAGGTGGGAGTTGGCCAACGCACGCACAAGAGTTTTGGCTGCATTTGGAGTAAGCTACGGTCGGAGGCTGGTAATGTGGCCGAAGTGCCACATTGGCGGGTGTGGCCTGCTACCAGGGTGGCTTGCTGTTTTGGTTTGAAAGGGCTGATTTGGAGGCAAGGGAATTCTCGAGTCATTAGACGAGTTGAAGTATTCCTGATTGTTTAATTGGTGGTTGATTAATGGATAACTCTTTGGAAATAGTTTTCTGTAAAAATTAAGTGATATATTACAGTTTTCAGCTTTCAACTGTTTAATTTGATGAATCTCATTTAATTAATTTACTATTTCATGTTGTTTTATGATATTCTTTGTTGTGGGTGAACCTGACTTCAAGTTGGACAGATTCTTCCAATCTTGACTTGTTGAAATTTTGGAAATTTTCTTATCTAGCCTTGTCTTTTGTTTTGGCTATATTGATTCATTTTTCATTATTTTGTTTTGTCTTTGCTTTTCAGCGAAGAAATTTGTTTTGCTACTTTAATAGCAGATGAAATATCACTAGCATTTGAAGTACACAGGATGTCATTATCTGTCCTTTCAACATGTTTATATTTCTGTTAAATTTCTTGTCTGCTTTTTCCATACATTAGCTTGCAGTTCTCCATTTTGGTGCTGCTGCAGAATTATTAAATGAAGTTCTGCATGACTCCATTCTCTTTATCATCAAATAGAGGCTTTGGAAAAGGAGAGAAAGGGTAAAGCATCTTGTATTAAATTTATCCATGAATAACTGTTGCAATTTGCTAGGCTTTTCATAACTCAAATAATGTGAAGTGGGAAACTTTTGTAATTGATTTCTTAAGTAATTACTTTTTTTGCTGCCCTGAGTTGCTTTTTTGGGGGCTTTTTATGTTTCAACTTCAGTTTTAGAAATTGTGTTGTGATTTTAAAGATTCAAGAATAGACTTGTAGATGCGAAAGTAGACTTGAAGATAGACTTCAGAATGAGTCATCAGGATATGATACCTTTATAGTTGAAACTTGTTACTGAATGTTCTTGATACATTCACTTTTGCCTTTCTATCATTGGAATATCATTCTGATTGTTCATTTGGGATGATTTGGGACAGTGAAAAGAATGGAGAAAAGAAAGATAAAACTGGATTTTGCTTTAGCATGAATCCATTTCTGTCTAAGAAGGTTCTGCTATACTTTTATCAGTACGCTGCAACTTTAATTTCCTGAAACGTGAGTGTATGCAATTTTCTTTTATGTCACTTATAAAACTAAATATTTATAATTATATTGGAATATTGCCCAAAATTTTGAGATACTGTAAAAACTGAGAATTAATTGCTGAGTTTCAATCCAAGGAGCAAAAGGATCAGAAAATGGAATCCATAGATTCTTCCTTTGTACAAATCCTCATACTTTTGAACATCTAAAATGTATCAAGAAAGAAATTTATAGTGTGTAGTGTGGCAACCGCGCCTCTGAGTCAGAAGATTGTGGGTTTAGACCCATATCGGGACTTGGCATTTATATAAGGCTATGTTGACGTTGCTGTGCATTGTTGGAAGTGCTGTTAAACTGAGACGTTAAGCTGAGGTCCAGTCTGCCTGTTTAAGTGGATGTTAACAATTTTGTGGCACCATTCAAAAAGAGAAGGGAATTTATTCCAGTGTCCTGGCCAGCAATTCACCAAATAAAACTGGTCACTTACTCCATGGCTGCTTTGGGACAACAGCAGCAACAAAATTACATTTGTATAGAGCCTTTCATGTCGGGAGGACTTCCCAAGGTGCTGGACAGTCAGTGTTTCGGACCTGAGCTGGGATTTGGGATTGGGAAAGTGGAGGGCAGGTGGGGAAGCAGGGTGATCGAAAGCATGGTTGAAGAGGAGGGTCTTGGAGGAGGCAAGGGAGGGGTAAAGTGGAGGGACTGCGGGATAGAGTTCCAGAGGGTAGGGGCAGAGTGGCAGAAGGCCCATCTGCTAATGGTGGGGCAGGCGAGGTGGGAGACGTGAAGCAGGCTGGAGCCTGCTGAGCGGAGGGAGCGGGCAGGATGATAAGGGGTTAGGATGTTGCAGACGTAGGGGGTTACAAGGTCATGCAGGGTTTTGAAGGTGAGGACCAGGATCTTGAACTGTATCCTCTGTGTGATGGGAAGTCAGTGGAGTCGGGTGAGGATGGAGTTACGGAGTCTGGTGCGGAAGAGGACACCGGCTGTAGAGTTCTGGGTGATCTGCAGCCTATGGAGGGAGGCATTGGGGAGGCTGACAAGCAAGGAGTTTGCATAGTCAAGTCTCGATGTAATGAAAGTGTGTATGAGGGTTTCGGCGGCCTGCGATGTGACACTGTGGCGAAGCCGGGCGATCCTGCGGAGAGCGGGTCATGGCGCTGATGTGGGGTAGAAAGGATAGTTGAGGGTCAAACAAGACCCCAAGGTTCCGGACTGCCTTAGTAAGGTGGAGTGTGCAACCATGGATGGTGATGCTGTCAGCGTCTGAGATGTGGAGGTGCTGACGGGAGCCAATCAGGAGAGCCTCGGTCTTATTGACGTTCAACTGAAGAAAGTTAGCTCTCATCCAGGACTTGATATCTGACAGATATCCTTCAGGACAGCAGTGGTGCTGGAGTCAAGGGTGGAGGCAGAGAGGTACACAGTTACTCCATTTTACAGTATATCCTGTGAAGTGTTTTGAGACATCCTCCTGACATGAAAGGTGCCATATCAAACGTAAGGATTCTTATGATTAATACGATGCATTGAAATAACTTTATATTCTTTATTTATACTGCACTTCTAATGTATATCTAACCAATTAGGTTATTCGTAACATCCAGTTTTGACTATGCAAACTCCCTGTTTGTCGGCCTCTCCAACTCCTCCCTCGATGCACTGAAAATCATCCAGAACTCTGCAGCCCATGTTGTCTTCTGCACTGGGCTCCGTGACTCTATCATCCCCATCCTCACCCGACTCCACTGGCTTCCCATTACACAGAGGATACAGTTCAAGATCCTGTTCCTCACCTTCAAAGCCTCCATGGCCTTGCTTCCCCCTACCTCTGCGATCTCCTAACTCCCTACCAACCTGTCTGCTCCCTCAGTTCAGCGGGCTCCGGCCTGCTTTATGTTTTAATTATTTATTTAATTTAATAATTAATTGATGTTTTAATTAATGTTATATATTCATGTCTCCCGCCCTGCCCGCCCCACCATTGGCGGACGGGCCATCAGCCATTCTGCCCCACTGTCTGGAACTACATCCTGGAGTCCCTCTACTTCACCCCTCCTTCAAGACTCGTCTCAAGACCCTCTCTTCAACAATTCCTTTGGTCACTCTTCTCCCCCCCCTGATCTCCATCCTCCCCGATCCTGACTCCCAGCTCGGATCAGAAACACTGATTCTCCAGCGAGATGGGATGTCCTTCCGAAGTGAAAGGCGCTAAACAAATGTCATTTTGTCGTTGTCGTAGGTACAAACTGCAGAAATGCATTTTCTGTATTTTGGTGTTGCTTTATTGGTCCATTTTGTGAATGGACTATGTGTTTGGGGTTAATTTTCTAATCGTGGAAGGTAAGCAGTCTGTTTGGAGCTGAGCTACAAGCTGACTTGCTTAGCAACGGTATGTCATAAGTCAACTCTCTTGGCAGTCTTAGTAGTCTGGTTCCTGAACAGTCGGATCTGCAGTACTCCAGGTCACTGGTGAGGACAGACCAGCCAGTCTTGGTCATTGACAGGAATAATCCTTTGTGGGACATTGCTCAAATTGGCTGCTATGTTTGCCTACAAAATACAGTCAATATGCTTTACAGTAATCCTGTGAAGCACTTTGAGATGTTTTGACATGGAAGGTGCCATATCAACTACAAGGATTATTATAAACAAAGAATATTTGCACTTCACACAGCGCATGGGATCCAGCAGATGCACAGGAAGTGACCCCACAGGCTGTGAGGTGAAACCTGCTATTGCAGCCTTGTTATAAGTTTGTTTGGGATTTTATGGACCCAAACAATGGCCTTCTAATGAGGTTCAACTGTTTGTTTAATGTTTAAAGTTCTTCATAGGCTGTTGTTTGCACTTCTTTTGTAGGCTAACAGTGTAGCCATTGACATGGCCACAGCCTATTCAAGAACTGACACCAGTAACAATCATAATGGAAGATCACAGTTGCACGTAACTGGTAAGTATGAATTCTTTTTAAGACTCTGTTACATAAATAGCTTTCCATAGTTAAACTCAAGTATGGTAAATTAGATGTAACATAAGCCAATAAGGTGTCTAAATTGTTTTTAATTCTCCAGTATACAATTAATACAGAAATATTAAACAATGAAAAGAGATTCAGGGAAAAATTGACAGTGCACTATGATTTCTAGTTTGTATTTTGCTTTATGCCCTCCAAATGCAGAAAGTGACATTGATTACTGTGACTTCTAATATGCTTGCCTTTATGAACTGTAAATTGGTAACTTTTCAGTCAGTTACATTTAAGAGATTGTCAGCGCTTGATTTATTTTTAACCTAAAGAATGTTAGTTATTTTTAAACTAGAGGTAAAGGTGTGTCTCTAAATAACTTAATTATTGTAGTTGATCCTTTAAATTCATACAATACTGTAACATTGCATTTTTCCTATAGTAGAGCACATTAATATAATCTGTTCAAATAATACTGGGTAGTAATGTTTAGCAAAATTATTTTAAAGTAGGATGACCTTAATACAGAGAGAACATTTTAAGGAAAAGTACAATTAAGACAATATTTTAATTGCTGAATATTTTGACCATCTAGTTTAGTAATACTTTAATTTTACTAAATTTGTATGATGCATGTTGTGTAGGATTTTCTGGTTTAGCTCAGACAATGTTAACAGTGGTTTTATGAATTTCACGTTTTTGCTTAACAGTTGCTTCTGCAAAACTGAAAAGAAGAAAAANTTGGTTTGGAACTGCCATCTATGTAGAGTTATCAGCAGAAGGAGAACTAAAGAAAACTGCAAAGTCAAATAGTTCTTCCAATCCAAAATGGGATGAGGACTTAACAGTGTAAGCATAATTGTAGAATCATTGTTTTCAGTTTTATTAAATGCACATTCAGTCTTGGGCTACATTTAAGTCCTGTTCTTTGTAAATTTGATGATACACTCCCATTTGGGTTACGTGGTGCACTGTGCAAGTAGTTGCACCACAAATTGCTTCAGTATTCTGCATGTTTAGTACAAATATGAGAACACATGATCAATGAAGTGTTTTATTTATTTCAGATGATCAAGATGCAAATGACATTCAATATTTTTAAACACTGATCTTAAAGTATTTCAATGAATAGAAGGAAATTAACCTCTGAATAGCAAAAACAACTTAATTCCTATTTTTCTTTAACACTCCTAATTTGTTTGAAATGAGCAAATGTGCATTTCATTAGGTTTTTCTTATCAGTTACATTTAAATTCACAGTTAGAATGTCACTTTTGCATGTGATTTTTCTGAAATAAAAGCACATCTCTGATTATTGCAGGAATTTATCAATGAAATGCCTTTGTTTAGTATTTACAAATATTTATTAAGTATACCTGTGAGCATGCTGGATTGAAATAATGTAAAATGCTAAAGTATCTCTTTCCCTGAAACAGGAATGTAGCACAGCACACAAAGTTGGATTTTAAAATCTGGAGCCATCACACTTTAAAATCAGATGCTTTACTAGGGAAAGCCACTTTAGACATCAACCAAGCTTTGGAATTGCACAACAGAAAATGTAAGTTTTGAAGTTAATCACTTTTGTCACCTACTGGCTTGACTCATCAAATACACTCTTTGCTATTTTCCCCAGTTTCACATGTACTGTCTAGCAAGGTCGATCGGCCACATCCTCATCTGCACCAACTCCACCCCAATCCCCGCCAGGCTCCACTGCTTCCCTGTCTCCCAACATATGGATTTCAAGGTACCTCACCCTCACATGCAAATCCCTTCAGGCCCCAGCATCTCTGATCTCCTCGTATCTCACTCCTCTGCCTGTCCCCTAAACTCAGCTAAAACAAGCCTCCTGCGTCCCGCCAATCACTCTACTTCACCATTGGTGGCTAAGTCTTCAGTCATTATGCCTCAACCTCTGGAACTCCCTGCTGCATCCTTTCACTTTGCTTTCTCTCTACCCTCAAATCCTTACAACCTACCTCTGGTCACCTTCACCAGTTCCCTTCCTCCTATCTTGGGGTCCAACCCTTGCACTGTGAAGCAATCTGAGATATTATGCTACGTAAAGGATGCTATATAAATGTAAGTTGTTGCAATGTAAGTACACTGCCCTGGATGTGGTTGGCAAGTTGATCTGGAGGGTAATTTTGTTTTGGTCAGCCAGGTGTCTGACATATGCAGAAACCTATCACAATACTTAAGAATATCCAAACCATACTGAGAGTTCCACATATTCATGACACCTACACAATTTCCCTGGCTGGAATGGAACATGTGCACTCTCCCCAGAGGGATGCACCCTGGTTAACTGAATCCCAGAGAGTATTAGGTATAGGTTGGTGAAAACCAAGTCAAGGAAACCCCAGATTGTGTGTTGTGCTCTTGCTGGAATTTAACCAACTGAAACTACATGCCATTGGAAACACTTTAGGGCAAACTTCTTTATACTTCTGCTACTACCTCTTATCCCCTGGCTGCCAAGATTCATCATTGCTTTCTCTCATTGTTTCCAAGTTTGATTATGCCAATGGCCTGCTTGCCGGACTCCCCAACTCTTCCTTACCCAGACTGCAGACAATATAAAACTCTGCAGCCTGTATCCTTTCCACCAGGTTCTGAGAGCCTATCACTCCCAATCTCACTTAGCTCGATTGTCTCCCCGTCCCCCAGTAGACAGAATTCAGGATCATTTTTCTTACCTTCATATTCCTCCCCAGTCTCTGCCCCACCTTTGTGACATACTTCATCCTTACTGACCTGGCTGTCCCCTTTGCCCACCGAATAACTTAAATTTGCTTCATGTCCCCCACCCTATCCTCCCCACAGGTGGCAGAAGAGCTTTCAGACCACATGTTCAGTCATCTTTTTCCTCCCACTCCTTTTGGTTTGCACCCCCAGCTTGGGTGCAGTGCAAAGTACTATATAAATGATTCTTTATTTTTATTTCTTATTTTTTAATAGTGGAGAATGTTAAAGAAGTATTAAAGCTCACCTTGGAAAATAAGAATCGGGTAGTGCAAACTGGTGAGCTTACTGTTTTCCTTGATGGTATGACAATGGATCAGGAATCTGTACCTAATGGCACTGCACCAGCAACCAGTAAGTATATTTTATCTATAACACAGATCTATATTTGTAGTGCCAACAATTGTAGAATGACTTTTCTTGTGTGTCTATTAATTGATGTTCTTTTGTGCAGAAGTTCAGCAAAATGGAGATGCCATCCATGTAAATGGTGGTGACACATCTGGAAGGGCTAGAACAAGGTGTGTAAATGCTTTATAAAAGTGGAGCATCATGTTTATGAATGAAGGATGATCAATTTACTTAATGATAAATCCATGTGACATCAGTGCAATCACTCTAAAAATTCAAAGATTATTCTGTTCACTATAGCTAGATTTCTTAGTTTCTGATTTTAATTGGTATTTTTTTTCAGCAAGTTTTCCCATTTCCTTCATATTGAAGGAAATTAATTCACAATGTTAGAGGCTGACAATTAATTCACGCAGGAAGTGGTGTCTGGGGCAATCTTATCACCTGGAACTCCTGTTCCTATGAGATAATTTGAGCTGAATTAATTAGTATCTTCAACCTTGAATATTATTTGTTTCTTCCCTCCCCCAAGATCTTGCACAGAAACCTCCAACTGCGCAGACAGTCCATCAACAAGTTTTTCACGACAGTCTGCAGCCAATTCTCCGGTTTTGAATGGGGAAAGTAATAGCTCACCTACCCACGAAGCTGCCAGGCCTAAAAGTGCACCAGCGCCAAAACCTATTGAGACCCAAGCTGTTAACAGTACTGGTAAGTAGCTGTGGATTTGTGATGATTACTGAGCATTTTATTTATGAAACTAGTACTTTGTTTTATTACTGCAGCCTCTGTTCTGAATCTTGCCTTAATCCTCAATTTAGTTATCTTACCATTCTTTCACATAACTGAGTGCACCAGAGCAAGAAGCACAGCAATTGCAACCTTCAGAAATCCAATTGAATATTTGTAAACATTGAAATAATTGTAACCAGTTGAAATGTTTATTCAATTTATAGTATTTGTACTAATGTATGGTAAAGGCTGGATACTAACAGAGTTTGAAGAGTTGAGAAAAACTAAACAACTCAGGAAAGAAGAATGGATTGGATCCAAATCCAGTATGTTATGTGGAGGATAATTAGTAAATTTAGAATTTACGTAATGTGTTATCATGCTCTATTTAGTTTTGTTTTCATGTAATTTCAAGACAATTCTTCGAAGTACGCTCTTATGAAGTTATGAAAAGGGGAGGACCGGGGCACATTTAATTGCTTCTGCAGACTCCCAAAAGAAATCCTTTGTCATAATCTGGGCCAATAGAAAAGGGTGGCTGCAATTTTTCCGCAGAATTCGCTACAAACCCCCTCCTTCGCTAAAAACCCCACCTTTGCTACAAAACCCCTTATTCCGACCTCACCGCGCGCGCCCCCTCCGGCCCGACGCGCGCCCCCCCCGGCCCGGCGCGCGCCCCCCCCGGCCCGACGCGCGCCCCCTCCGGCCCGGCGCTCGCCCCCTCCAGCCCGTCGCGCGCGCCCTGGTTTTCTGCGTGTGCCAGGCACCTGGCTGGCCCAAAAGCAAAATCATATATGACTGCTTGAATATCAGCATAAATTCTCTCGTTCCAGAGAAATTGCTGAGCAAATTACTAAAAGTAAAATAAACCCATAATTTATTGAAAGAATAGATTATTTGCGCTTAACAGTAAGCAAAATTTTCATAAATCAAGGCAGGGAAATTTATGGCTAGACATTATAAGGCATTATGAGATGCATTACATCAGGGTTGCACCATAGAGATCTTATTCAGACAAAAATCCAATATAATTTGAAGATTTTGATGCCAATTTAGTCTTTTGACCCTCAATTTAGAATAACGTGCAGTTAATGAAAACACTTTTCTACTCTTAAATGGGGTTTATTCTTCCTAAAATGAACTTTACTGGCTGCACAAATCTATGGTAAACTAATTTAGATTCAGTGGTTCTACGTTTTTTGAAAAAGAAACATTTTGCAGTAATGCGAACAACTCGTACAGCGAATTGTTTGAATCTGGAATGCATTGCCTGAAAGGGTGGTGGAAGCCAATTCAATAACAACTTTTAAGAGAGAAGTAGATCATTATTTGGGGAGGACGGGATTGCAGGGTTATGGGGAGAGAGCGGGGGAGTTGGATTGAATTGGATTGCTCTTTTCAAAGTGCCGGCACAGACATGATGGGCTGAATGGCTCCTTCTGTGCTGTATAATTCTATGATTCTATATTGCATTCTAACATATTAGCCTGCTTGTGTTTTTGAGTAGCAGTGTGCAGAAGCAGTACAAACAGTGAAGTTTGAAGATCCTTAAACATAAACAATATTTGTGTGCAACAATCAGAAATTTGTGTAAATTAGTTGTGTAATTTTTTATCTTTTTTTTAGTAAATGGAGAATCAACGCCAACATCATCATCATCATCACCCTCATCAATAACTGTGACTGTAATGTCTGTCAGTGAAGCTACAACAGAATCTACAGTGACTTCTACGCCTACAGTTTGCACTAACAATACTGCTACAACTACTATTACTACAACTTTATCTTCCATTACTACGGCAAGTTTATTAGGTACAACTACAACTGCTACAAGCAATACCACAACTTCAGCAACAAGCACACCTAGTAACTGCGCAGCTGCTGGTGATTCTGCAGTAACAACAGTTACGGACTCTGCTGCCGGAAGCAATACAGGGGCAGACAGTGGAAAACCTGGACATTCAAATACACCTGATGAGGCTGTTAGACAGCAGCCAAACAGCATCAACACGGAACCATTGCCAACTGGGTATGTACATGAGCACTTTGTCTGATTAATTAACAGAATTATAGGATGGGGATTGCTGTTTGATCAAAATAGCCTGTTTGACTTGGAAATTTGGGATTTGATTATTTTTTATCAAAATGTAATTGATCCTTTGAATACCAGATGCTTATTGGTTTTAAAATGCATGCATTATGTTTTGAAGACATTCTAACATAAATTATGAAGTAGAATTAAGTGTACTGTCACTAAGAATTTCTGTATTAAGATTAATCTCAGAACAATTCATAAAATCAATTGTATCTGTAAGAATAACTTCAACATTCAAAAGGTTGATTAAATTATTGATTGATATTTTATAATACTAACGATTTTTTAAATTGTGTATAATATCTGGCTTGAACTGTACTTGGAGCATTGTACCAAGGGCCTGCTGTGTTTTATATTTTTCCCAACCCAGTTTTCTTCTTTTACTTTTCTTGTTGTGGAGATGGTGACTCATGTAGGGTATGGTACAGATGGTGGCAGCTGTTTGGTGCCTTGCCCTAGAAGCCATATGTAAGGCCACACAGTGAGTTTCCATGACCACGCATTTACAAAATAATTTTTTTTGGCATAATGCAGTCAATATGATGGTTGGTTGGATGCTAGTATCTGTTATGTAATTTTACATTCTTCAAAGGTTCTTATAATAACTATAATAATCCTTGCATTTGATATAGCGTCTTATCATAGTAGATGCATGCTTTACCTTAATTTTGAATAATTGCACTGTCAATGGTGGAGCAAAGTGAAATTCAATGATTTATAATGAATTGCAAGGTACATAAGTCAATTTAATTCACAAGTCCTTCTATAAATGAAATTTAAACTTTTCATTTAAACCTTTCTTTGATTTTACTTCTTGAAGGTGGGAGCAAAGAAAAGATCCTCATGGTAGAACATATTATGTTGACCATAACACAAGAACCACAACGTGGGAAAGACCGCAGCCCTTGCCACCTGGGTGAGTTAAACTGAATTGTACTGGTGTGCACTTAAATAATAATAATAATCATTGCATTTGATATAGTGCATTATCACGTCTTCGAGATATCTCAAAGCACTTCACAGAATATACTGTAAAGTGAATTGACGGTATATTTTGTGAGCGAAACACGGCAGCCAATTGCGCACAGCAGTGTCCCACAAATAGTCGTGGATTGAGTGACCAATTTATTATTATTATTTTGAAGGAATTATTACTCCCGGAAAAGAGATATGCCAATCGACTAACAACCTATTGCTAGGTAAGCAGAGGTGTGTGGAGTAAGGAAACTTGCCCAACATTTTGCCATGCTGGGAATTGAACCCAGGTCTCTCCCTTGCGAGGCGAGTGCTCTAAACACTCAGCAACAGGAATCCACTTGCTTCTTTAACTGCTTATATGTTCAGTGTTATTCTCATAAAGCTTTCTCTACCAGATGGGAAAGGCGGGTTGATGACCGAGGCAGAGTGTACTATGTGGATCATAACACCAGGACAACCACATGGCAGCGGCCAACAATGGAATCAGTCAGGAACTTTGAGCAATGGCAATCTCAGCGGAATCAGCTACAGGGAGCGATGCAGCAATTCAACCAACGATACCTCTATTCGGTAAGTAATTGGCTCATTCTTGTCCAATAATTTTCTCATTGCATTAAAAAATGAACAAGTAATGTTAATAACAAGCACTGGAATATTCAGGAGTAGTTGACACTCTGGCGACTGAATTTTCAAAAATAGTCCCGAGATGGTGTGAGCTAAAACAGTCAATTTACAGCGGAAGAATTTTATGCCATGATTAGAAGCTGAAATTGCATATATAATACTTCGTAAATTGTGCATTCAAAACTGTTTAATTTTGCATTACAAAGAGCTTGCAGAGGTTGTTTTTTTCATTTTATTTAAAATGTACTCTTACAAGATTTATGAATTTGTCTTTGAATAAAACAAAGTGTCCCAGTGCACTATGCTATCAACTAGTAGGACACAAAAATGCTAATCCCCAGTCAGTCATTTCTGGATGCCAGCCAGATGATGGAAGGAGATTGCAGGTGAATTGAGAAAATTAGAGGGTGAAACAATGTGGGGTTTTGTACAGTAAGTAAGTAGCATTAATCTAACCTTATGTGAAGTTAGTTGATGGATGGGTGCTTTTTTGGGGTAGGGGAGGGAGGGAAATGGACCTAAACAGAAAGAAACAAGATTACAGCATTACTAATGTTTTATTTTATCCATTTTAATACCTATCCTTTGATACAGGTAATTACATACCTATTATTTTCAACAGGCCTCAATGTTATCAGCAGAAAACGATCCTCTTGGCCCTTTACCACCTGGCTGGGGTAAGTTTTATCATTTCGGTAGAGGTCAAACCTTATGTGAGAAATACTACACAATAGTAAATTATTCAGCATATCACTCCCATTCTAAAAAGGAACATGCTGTGATTTGTGTATTTTTCTCAGGATTGTTCCTAAAACTGGTAAAGGTGCAGTTTCTGTTGAATTTCTGTAGTTTGGCTACATAAATAATAGTCTGTGAAACCGATATTTAGTTATGAAGAGTTTCACTTAATCTCTACATTTGCACACTGCTCAATGTGCACAATCATTGTTTCTTAAGAAATGCACCCATGAAATCAAGAATGGAAATAGTATTGAATGGTGGCTGGTAGTCGGTCTTGATTGAAATGTGTCAACAGAATTAAAGCCAATTTAAATCATTATTACGCAAGAATGTTATCTGTCTGACACATATGTGATGAGTGACTTAAGGGTGGAGGAAGAGAGAGATGGGCACCAAAAGAAGAGTGACATTGATGAAACTATAGAGGAATTAAATTTTAATCCCTCTTTCTCGCCTCTCTCCATATCAATTAATGTCTAAAGTGAAGAATGGAACGAAACAACTTGCATTTATATAGCACCCTCTAAATAGGTAGGATAGTGTCTTGGAGCACTTTATAAAGAGTCAGGCCCCCCTTGCATTTATATAGCACCCTCCAAATAGGTAGGATAGTGTCTTGGAGCACTTTATAAAGAGTCAGGCCCCCCTTGCATTTATATAGCACCCTCTAAATAGGTAGGATAGTGTCTTGGAGCACTTTATAAAGAGTCAGGCCTCAAGCAGTGGAGTGGGACAAGGATTGAGGGATGGAGTTCCAGTTAGTCGATCGTAAGGGATGAGCAGAAGAGTGGGGAAGGAGAAGATCAGAGAAATAGAGAGCAGAGCTGGGGCATGAAGGCATTTATAGGTGAAAGTGAAGAACTTGAAATCGATTTGCTGGTAGATGAGGGGTCAGTGGAGCCTCAGGTGGACGGGTGATGGGCATGTGGGTGAGGATGCAAGCAGTTATTTTATATAAATTTCAGAGTTTATGAATGGTAGAGCTAAAGAGCCAACGAGGAGTGTTTTTTAAAAGTCCAGATTAGAAGTAACAATGGCTTGGGTAGGCTTTTTGTAGCATTTAGCTACATAGGTGGCGACATAGGCGGGCAATATGGTTGAGGTGTAGAAAAGCAGTCTTGGTCAAGGATCAGAACACAAATCTAATACTTTTTTTTCCTTCATCTACCATAGAAAGGAGGGTGGATGCAAATGATAGAGTTTACTTTGTGAATCATAATACAAAAACCACTCAGTGGGAAGATCCAAGAACACAAGGGTAAGAGTCCAGTATGGAAACTGGTACTGAGGAAATGGATAAATGGTCTAGAGCCCAATGGAAAGTCTTAACGCGCTGAATGAATAGTTATAACTTCTGTAAACTTGTATTTACTGTATGACACATAATAATCCTTGCATTTTATACAGTGCTTTATCATGTCTTCAAGACGACTCTTAGTGCTTCACAGAATATAAAGTGAATTGACTGTATATTTTATGGGCGAAACACGCAGCCGGTTGCGCACAGGTATTAATTTATGGAATTAAATCTAGAGTTTTAACATCTTAGCTTCTTCATTGTGTGTTCTGCCAAAATTCAGACTAAAAGTATTTCACCTTTAGAAATCTTCTGCAAGACAAAACTGATGCATTTTTGACGCATGATGCATTATAAGGACTTAGACCTTTTTGAAATGTTTCCATTGACAGAATTTCTGTGATGTGAATACAAATTACCGCATCTGTTGTTCATCACCTTTGGAGCTATCCTTGTAATTCTGTTCTTGTGCTTTCTGATCTTTGCAGCTTGCAAAATGAAGATCCACTTCCAGAGGGCTGGGAAATCCGTTACACAAGGGAAGGTGTCAGATATTTTGTGGATCATAACACTCGAACAACCACTTTTCAAGATCCTCGCACGGGCAAATCTTCAGTGTAAGTTCAATCCAGGGACAAAGTGGAAGCAATTAAATACCTTTTCTGTATTATAACCGTTTGTCAGTTATCACTTTTACTCTTTTTATTTGCAATACAAGCATTATTGAGTGTACAACAAAATAAGTAAAATGCTTTAAACCCGTTCAAGATTTTACACTATGAAATGTACTTGTCTAAAGTATTGCCAATATGTTTTTTTTTAAACCAAACTCCAAAGAATCTGGCCTGTCATGCACTCCATCCATATATAATTTAATGTCCCTTTTAAATTTGGTCCAATTAAAATAAAAATTAGAACTACACCAAGTGAATAAGATCTGAAAAAGGAGTACAGGTTACCATTTTGGCATTCAGTATCAAAGCAAAGATGCCGACTACCCTTTAAGACTGCTTTATTGTCAACTGACTTCCTTTTCTAGCCAAAAGATCTTTTCAGAAACTGACAAACCAGGCAGTGTTGATCAGATTTAACTCTTGGTTTATCGTATTAGAATAATAAGTAATTATTCTTGTATTTGATAAAGCACCATTCACGTTGGGAGGATGTCTCAAAGCACTTCACAGGATTCATACGAAAGTGTAGTGACTTTTTTGTAGAAAATGCAGCAGCTAACATGCTGTTGTCCTACAGACAGTCATGAAGATGATCAATTTTAACTGGGGTATTGTTGGCCAGGACACAAGGAGAAACCATTATCTTTTTGAATTGAGGCCACGGGATCTTTAATGTCCACTTGAACAGATAGACGAAACCTCAGTTTTATGTCTCATCCGAAGGGCAAGACAAAAGATGTGTTAAACCAAGTTTATCTATTCGTTACAAATTTTAAATAGAAAGCTGTAAGTGGCAGACAATAATACCATTACAGCAATGCCATTTCAGTCCTGTAGCCAAGTGTTCAGAGCATTCGCCTCATAAGAGAGACCTGGGTTTGATTCCCAGCAGGGCAAAATGTTGGGCAGTTTCCTTACTGCAGACACCACTGTTTACCTAGTAGTAAGTAGGAACATGGTTGTTAGTCGATGGTGGATCACTTTTCTGGGGGTAATAATTCTTTCAAAAAAAATAATAAATTGGTCACTTCAATCCATGACTGTTAGTGGGATACTGCTGTGCACAATTGGCTGCCACGTATCGCCCACAAAATATGCAGTCAATTCTTTTTACAGTATATTCTGTGAAGCGCATTGAGACATCTCGAAGACGTGATAAGGCACTATATCAAATGCAAGGATTATTATATACCTGGGCTCAATCTTAGTGAGGAGGAGTTTTAGTTGTTGAGTTTGTGTGCAGAGAGGGAGAGAAAAAAAGCAAGAGCAATGCAATACAATAGATTGTTAGATGTCCTGCAGCATTTTGACCATTTTGTTGGCATGGTTAAGCAAGTTGTTGTTCTCCTGGTTCCTTGAAATCATGTCTTTGGATCTTCCATCTGGGTCTTATCTGTTCTTGAGCAGTTTATAAGTAGTTTACTTGATAATAGGCTACAGTCTTTTTTATTTCTGTATAACAGCTCTTTTAGAGACTTGCTCCAAGCCTCCTTTTTCTGTCGCTAAGCTACAGAAATTCTCATTTTGTCAATTCTCTCCATCAAATCTGTTTTTAACGAATCCCAAAATTAACTTTAATACTGCTGATCTGCAGTTCTGATGAATATACTGTTTGAATCTTACCATATTCATTAATGGATTTTCCCTTTGTGGACAAGAGTGGGAAGAGCCATCTCCAATCAGGTGGCACCCTTTTTGATTGAGCACACTTTAGTTATTTTCACTTCTTGGGATTGATAATAATTTAAAAAGTCTTGTTTTTGATATAGCCCCTTAACACGTCATTGAGAAATCGCAAAGCGCTTCACAGGATTTACCATAGAGTATAGTATTGTATTTTGAAGGTGAATGTGACAGCCATTTTGCAAACTGCAATGCCTTCCAAACAGCTATGAAATGAATGACAATTTTTTTNCTGGGGAACTCTGGGAAAAACAACCTTCTATTTTCAAATAGTGTCATTGAATCTTTAATGTCCACCTGAGCAGTCACAGTAATCCTGTAATATCTGTACTCATTCAGCAATGTATTGTCAGGCGAGGCTTGAACTTGCAACCTTTTGATTCAGAGCAAGAGGGCTCCCAACTGAGCCATGCTAATTGATACCTGTCCCTAAGCTACCTATCCTTCTGGGTATGTTTGGTCTTTTCAGACATTCCCACTCTAATATAAAATAATTATTTATCTGATATATTGTTACAGGTGACAATCTTGTCTTAGTTTCAGTTCTTCCATTTATTTGGCTGATTGTTATATCAACCCCTTTATTCATGACTTGTCTTTCCATTTCTTCTCTGATTAGTGTCACAAATTTACCTCATTGTAACCCTCACAAGCTAACAGGACAAAGGGTCTGGACCCTAATTCAGCTACTCAAAAGATTTTGCATATTCTTGCTCACCATCTTTTGCAATTTGTACCTTGACCAAAATTAACTTTTATACTGCTGATCTACTGCACTGTCTTGAATGGAGTGCTTCCTGCAACAGCGATACGTTCAATGTATTTTTAAGATGCCTTTCACTCCTTTGACTGACAAGATAATTCAAATGAATTGAGTAGTTGAAGTACTCAGAAATGCCATTAGTTTTGACCTGGTTACATCACCTTTTGCAACTAGATCAAACTAAAGATTTGACTGACTGAAGTTTGGTTTTAGACAATCCAGTTGTGGAATTATTTGTAAGAGACGGGAAGTTAAGAAAATGGGTAAACCCACTATTCAGACTTTAAAAGTGAAAGAAAAATATTTAAAAGATTATAGAAAGGAGAAAAAAGATGAAAGGTAGAAGTAAATTAACATTTTTATCATTTCTTATTTTCAAAAAAATTCTGCACTTAATGCTTCCATACAATACTGTGGGCAATAATTGGTATTGCTGTTCACTCCCATTTTATTAATCAGTGTAATCAATATTTCTGCCAAAATATTTTTAACAAAAAAACTTGCAAAGTGTCTTTTTAAAAGCCAGATGTTTCCCTGATGTATACTCGTTACAGCAATAAGGCTGATTTATTTATTATAAAGCTACTCCTGACATTGTTTCGGCATGATATTGTGAGCTGAAATCTTCAAAAAGCTGAATTGGTCCTGTAGCTATTGGCTATAGTTTTTTTTCCAACAATTCACTAAAAGGTTCAGATGCAGGTCCCTCAGTCCATCTGATTTTTGGGATCTTGGCAAATATATTTTTGTGTAATCTTTATTTAACATAAGAAAATCCCTAAGCATATTTAAAACACAACCATTAATAAACGATCTTCTGTCATTTTAAAGCAAAAATGTACTTTACATTCACAGTGCAAAGGGCCCACAAATTGCATACGAACGTAGTTTTCGATGGAAATTAGCACATTTCCGGTATTTGTGTCAGGTAACATCCTTTTTTTCCCCTCTCTGCTTTTCCCTCATTTTAATCCTAAATTGTTACAAACTGTTTTGTAATTGGACTGTTTTCAATTTGACTCTTTGCAAAGTTGTTAATTTAAATTCTAAATGGTAGTCTTCATTCAGCATCCTCTACTCACCACTGGAGTTAAGCCAGACCTAGAGCACGTTCTAGGGAAAACACAACTTTGAATATCTTGGATAAAATGGATATAAAAATGGTACCATTCATTGCAGGGTGTTATAAACTGATGTCAGTAGTCACCAAATAACGGGGTACAAGCTTTCAAGAACTCAGTTGGCTGCCCAAATTATGTCACATGAAGCAAAGAATAATTTAATAATATTTGGTTAATTCTTTTAGACAGGCAGTGCCAACTCAACCAGCTTATTATGTTTCTAAATTGTAAATGATTCAAATGTTCTACTGAAACTCAGGTCCTCAGAAACAAATATTAATTTATTGATTAGGAACAAATTTAGAAATAAACCAATGACTATAAATTTAAAAATATCTACAGAAGATTTGATGGTTAGAAAAGACATCAGAGCAGAATACCAACAAGAGAGCATTGTTATTGCAATGGAAAAACAAATTGCTACTTAGAACTCTTATGGGAGCAGGGAAAAGTGGGTAGGAATTGACTATTGGCACACACAGACTTCAAATGGTGTTGCCCAGTACATATTTTCCCACAACTGGCCTGGCTCATCTCCAGGGGTGTGTGCACAATGGATCTTCTAAGAATGAAGAAGACCCTTCAAAACAGGTAATATTTCTTTATTGTGAGTTTTTTATTGTTTTTTTAACAAAAGTTAAGGTTGCAATTTGACATCTGTTAAATGAGTATTTTATTTTTTCTAAATTGTACTATTGAGTGATATGGATGACTTTATTGTTTCAGTCCAATGCATTGCCGAGTCATGTAAAGATTACTGTTTCCAGACAGACTTTATTTGAAGACTCCTTTCAACAAGTAAGTTGATTTTACTACCACTGTAAATTTCTTTTTTTAAAAAAAATAAAACTCAGCTTTTGGATAATTGTATTCACATCTCAACAAATCTCAGTATAAGGACACCTAAAAGTAAAAACATTTACAGGATATACATTATAAACTGTTTCCAGATGAAAAATCCTACATTTACAATAATAAACCATTTACTCTGTTTTAAAGATAATAATGAGTTAAACGAATGACACATAATTGATTTCCATTCCTGGGATGAAAATGGGGGAAAAGAACCATCACCGTAGAAATGCTATGTATTTGGAACAAAATTGCCTTAGTACAGTGCAGTCATATTATAACACGTTTTGCTAGTACATTGGTCCATTTATAGCCAGATGGGGTGTAGACTCCCATTTATTGTGCATGTGTGCAACTTGATTTCTGTGCCATCCTGCACCCAAATTCCAGTTCATGCAGTAAAATGGCCACGTTCCAGATAATGAGTTTGCCATTGTGTCACTTGCTGTATGGTGTGAAGGAAGTGATGACTACAGTTACTTGATGGGTGTACCTAGGTAAGCGTACTAAAGACGACCAACTTCCAGTTTTATCGGGCTGCTGCCAGCATCATCACTTCCTACGACATGCACATGCATCACACAAGAAACTACATTGGTGATGACCTGGTGAACTGGAAATTGGACTTTATTTTCAATTAAAGAAAGTGGGGTAGCCGGATGTGTACATGGGCAGTGAAATCACTTACCATGGCCTTGTTATAAGGTGGGTTGCGATTTTATGAACCAATCAACCTTCTTATAATAAGGCTCTACTGCTACTGTAACTTCTTAAACAAATACTTTTCTTAACAAAATGACACATTTAAAAGGACTTATTTAAGAGGGCAGCGTTGGAAACTTTAGGGAGCATTCGTGGAAAGGAAAATGATCAGCATCGTTCAGTATTCTGATAGCATCATCAGTGTGGCATTCAAATCTTGAATGTATCAAAAATGTTTCTGCTGAATTTTCATTGTTAATTCCCTGACTAAATTTATTTGTTTATAATATGATAATTATGTAAACAGAGAGCAAATCTGCATTCAGAACAAATATTGTAAAATAGATTGTTGCATTTGACTGCTGGTAGATTTTATGATTCATCAGTTTGGAATCCTCTACTTTTAAAACTGTGGCTACAATACAATAATTGCATAGGTGAGGTTGCTCATCTTCAGTAGGGTGAGGACTTCGAGCAGTATTCAAGTTGTTGGTGTCAAATGTTGTTGGTATCAAATGTTCCTCACTAAGCCAGTCAGGAACCTGGGTGTCTTGTTTGACCCTGAACTGTCCTTTCTCCCCCACATCCACACCATGACCGGCACTGCCTACCACCACCTCCGCAACATTGCCAGACTCTGCCACAGCCTCACTCACCCCTCAGGCTGCCGAAACTCTCATCCACGCATTCGTCACATCAAGGCTCGACTAGGGAAACTCACTCCTCATCGGCCTTCCCAACTCTTCCCTTCACAAGCTGCAGATCATCCAAAATTCTGCAGCTCGTGTACTCTCGTGCACCAAGCTCTGCGACCCCCTCACTCCCACCCTCGCCCAACTCTACTGGCTCCCCATCCCCCAGAGGATGGAGTTCAAGTTCCTCATCCTCACTTTTAAGGCAATCCATGGCCTTGCCCCCTCCTACCTCTCTGACCTGCTGACTCCCTATCAACCTGACTCCGGCCTGCTCCATGTCTCCTGTCCAACCCGCCCTACCATCGGTGGCAGGTGTTTCAGCCTCTCTGCCCCCACAATCTGGAACTCTATCCCACAGTCCCTTCGTCTCGCTTTCTCCCTTGCCTCCGTCAAGGCCGGTCTCAAGACCCTTCTCTTCGATCGTGCCTTTGGTCACCCTCCCACCTCTCTGCCTTCCCTCACCCCTACACCTCCCTCATGCTCGGGCCCCGACACCTGACTTCAGCGCTTTGGGACATCCTCCCTACATGAAAGGGGCTCTATAAATGTAATTTTGTTGTTGTTCCTGTTCTGCTGGTGAATGGCATTATGATGAAGTAAAGCGTAATGGGGAAGATGTAATTAAACTGCAACGTAAGGTGACTTTATATGAGCAGAGTGATTTTTGAACTTTACCCAAGGACAATACCTTTATTGTTTAGGGGGCTTTTCATAGGATCAAATTTGTAAGTTCTTAATTGGATCGTGAACAAATTTATTTTCTAAAGTATTTTTTATTTTGAAACAAAAAAATTACCTAAAATGGGGGGAGGGAGAGGAGGCATCTTGAGACTAAAATCTTATAAAATCAACAGTTAATAGCTTCTTATATGCACAATTTGATATTTTGTATAACAAAGTCACTCCCTTACACATATAAACATAATGTATATACACACAGGTGAGTCCAGTTGCAGAGTGAGTAAACCCTTGGTAACTGAGTTATTTTATACCTGGCTGTCAGCATAGGTGAGCTGACTCCTGGCATGGATAAGCTGCCTTACTGATCCTAAAAAAAATGTCTGACTTCATATCGGACCTACAGCTAACCACTTCCTGCGTACTGTGCATGGAGTGCTGCTAACAACAGTTTCTGTGTGCTGCCATGCACTAGAAGCGCTGCCAATTTCACTCGCATTAGCATGGAATCTTGACACCTGAACAGGCATATTAATGGGTAATCTGAAAGACGGCACTTCTACAATGCATGCATCCACAGTTAGCCTAGAGGGCCGATGAGCTCAAAGTCATGATGTGGGCTTGAACTCAGAACCTTCTGACTCTGAGGTAAGAGGGTTTCCAACTGAGTCAAACTGACACTTGTATCCGTGCCAAATACATACAGTGCCTGAATCTGTATTGATTAGTTTTGAGACGTTGCTTAGCAACTAATATTCAATTTTCCACTGGAAAATCATAGAATCGTACAGCACACAAAGAGGCCATTCGGCCCATCGAGTCTGTGCCGGCTCTTTGAATAGAGCAATTAATGTCAATCCCACTCCCCCAGTCCTTTCCCCATAACCCTGAAGACCCGTCCTCCTCAAATACCCATCCACCGCGTTTTTAAAAGTAGTTATCGAATTGGCCTCGACCACCTTTTCAGGCAATGCGTTCCAGATTCGAACAACTCGCTGTGTGAAAAAATTTCTTCTCACCTCCCCTCTGCTTCTTTTAGATACTATTTTGAATCTGTGACCTCGAGTCACCGACACACCCACCAGTGGAAACAGTTTTTCTCTTTATAACCTATCACATCCCCTCATGATTTTGAAGACCTCTATTAGGTCTCATCGTAACCTTCTCTGCTCCAATGAGAATAATCTCAGCCTCTCCAGCCTTTCCTCATAATCAAGGTCCCTCATTCCTGGTACCATCCTCGTAAATCTCCTCTGCACCTTTCCAATGCCTTAACATCCTTCCTATAGTGTGGTGCCCAGAACTGGGCGCAGTATTCTAACTGAGGCCTAACCAGTGTTTTATATAGGTTAATCATAACCTCCTGACTCTTGTACTCTATGCCCCAATTTATAAAGCCTAGTATCCCATATGCCCTTTTTACAACTTTATCTACCTGTTCTGCCACCTTCAAGGATTCATTTACCTGCACCCCTAGGTCTCTCTGTTCTTTTACCCCCCTTAAGATGTTTAGCATTACAGTGTATACTTAAGGTTTTGCTATATTGCTAATTTACATTCAAAGAGTAAAATAGTCAGTCTCCTACGATACAACTGCAAACATAACATTCTTCATGAAAGTTTAGAATTGGATTTTGTGGTGTCATTCATTGATAGGTATTAAGAGTTTGGGATATCTAATTGTAAATAAAAATTCTGCTGAATCAGTCCCTCAGAATGATAAGGCAAAATCTCCTGAACATATTCTACAGACACTATACTTGACTACCTTCACTCTAAAAATGTGTTTAAAATGAAGCATTTACTTTGATATATTTACCCATGAAAAATCTTTAATTGTTTATTTTAACAGATCATGGCCTTAAAACCCTATGACCTTCGAAGACGATTGTATGTAATATTTAGAGGAGAGGAGGGGCTGGATTATGGTGGATTGGCTAGGTAAAGTATTTTCATAACTATTTTCAAGTAAAGTGCTGTTTCCAGTAAGGTTTAGAAAAAGTTATTTGAAAGTCGATATTGGTATGGCATCGTGGATAATATCCTGTGTGTTTTAACATGCTCAAATGCCAGTAGTTTCCTGACCTGGTAATTGTAATTCACAAATCTACTTTGCCTCCTCCAGTACCAACGCCAGGTCTGCTGATGTTCTATCAGCTTTTCTGGCAGACATCAGGGCCTGGATGAGTGCAAACTTTCTGCAGCTGATTGTGGACGTGACGGAAGCCATACATACTCCTTGGCTCCCGTCAATGTCTTCACTCCTGCGGATCTAAACTCCTCAACCTCCCTGGGCTCTCCCTCAGACTCACTGAATCAGTGTGCAATCTATGTATCCAGTTCAACCCCCATCTGTCCTCACTGCCCACATCCGGCCACTCACCAGGACTTGCCTTCTTCACCTCTGCCACATTGCCCGCCTCTCACCGTACCTTACCCCAAATTCAGCTGAAACCCTCGTGCATGCATTTGTCAACTCCCACCTGGATTACTCAAACGCACTCCTCGCCGGTCTCCCAAGCTCCACCATTTAAAGATCCAGCTCATTCAGAACTCGGCCGCCCATGTCGTATCCACATCTCACCAGTTCTGGCTAGACTCCACTGGCTCTCCATCACTGAAAGGATCGACTTCAAGATCTTCACTCTCGTATTCAAATCCCTTCACTGTCTGGCACCTCCCTATCTCTCCGAACTCACTCCCTAATACACCACCTGGCACCTCCATTCGACTGGTGCCAGCCTCCTGCTCGCCCCTCGCACCCTCCGCCCCGCCATCGGAGGTCTGCTTTCATCTACTAAACCCCAAAACTCTGGAACACTCTCACTCAATCCCTCTGCCTTGCCCCCTCTCTCCCCTTTTTCAAGTCCCGCCTGAAAACCTTCCTCTTCAACCTTGTTTACATGCTCCATTTTTTTGAAGCCTGTTGAAATCAGTTGAAATAAGATTGGAATGAATATTTTGTTTTACATTAAGGATTATGTTTTTTGTTCAGTTTGTTGCTGAACTCAAGACTGTCCCAGGAAATGTGGGACCTACCTTATAGTGTCCTATGTTCTTTCTGAGCATGGAAGATCTAATTTTAATCAGTGCTTACCTGGGGTTGCCTGAGCGTGGGACAAAGTAGAGGGAATTTTACACGCCTCTGCCGTTTGACAAAATTTGACAGAAATTTTGAAATAGTCATTAGTGATTTTCAAACTAATTTATTTTGCAGAGAATGGTTCTTTCTTCTCTCCCATGAGGTGTTAAATCCAATGTACTGTCTTTTTGAGTATGCCGGCAAGAGCAATTACTGTTTGCAGATAAATCCAGCATCCACAATAAATCCAGACCATCTATCATATTTCTGCTTCATTGGCCGATTTATTGCAATGGTGAGTACATTGTTCCTCGATCAGTTGAATTAAGTTATAAATTCCAGAGACATTTTGTAACACTAATTCCTTGGCTTCAGGGGTTAGGAAGTTTTGTTCTATAAAGATGTTTTATATTTAAAATAAGATCTGTTTCAATATTATAATTTTACATTTGTTAGTTTAAGTAAAACTTTCAAAATGAAGGCTTGAATCTGTTTTAAATTGAGGAATAGAGAAAATAATCTACCAAATCAATTAGTGTTTAACCAGCAAGCTGCCCTGCATGCTTGCAGCAAATAGTTTTTCTCAATGATTCCTAACACAGTGTGTTCTTCATCTAAAAAGGGCTACTGCAGGGGTTAATGATTGTTAATAATCGTTAAGTGCTGCGTGATACTACCCATTATATAAATTCAAGTAATAATGAACCGAGGGGAGTCACTCTTCTGTCAAAGGCACATCAGTGATCTGTAAATTAGCTTGTACTCCACCTGGTGGCTAGCTGAAATGATATTGCCAGGAACATGTTAACTAGATTGACAACCAAATGGTTTGGCTCTCAACAATCTGGCAATGTTGAACTGAAAACTTGTTTTATACTTCTTTAGTTCCCACTCTTACATTGCATCAAAGATGAACAATCAAACATGATGTTTGTATTTTAATGTTTAAAAGCCAGTTGTATGTTTGTGTAGTAGTGTTTAATTACAGCCCATAGAAAGTTCCAAACATGGGAACTTTCTGCAGGTTACAAGGGAGCATCACTCCATCCTCTGTACAATTTGTGTCCCTCCTCTTGTTGTTATGAAGAGCGCAGCTCCACCATGATTTACCCCTTCTCAGCTCTTATTTATACTCATTGGAGACAAATTTCTGCAATTCACCAGAATACTGTGTATTCTGCAAATGTATCGTAGAAATACAAATTTAGATAACACAAACAGTGCTGGAGCCATACTCTTCATGGTGCCTGGAGGAGGTGGCTTCATGAAGCATAATGAAGATCAACCAGTAGATCTTTATATTTTCATTATAGAGAAGTCTGATTGCTTTAGAAATTTTCGATCTTAGCTCAAAATTCTGTAACAAAGTAGTTCACAATGCTGGGAATGAAGCACGAGTGGCATCTGATACAGTTCTGCATGTAGACTTTTAAAGAAGATTAAAGTTCATGCAATTCATAGTATTTTGGATAGCTGTATTGAAACTCAGTTTGCAATTGCAAACCAAAGTGGTAGTAATGGAAAAGATTCTTGTATGGGAAATTAATGACGAATAGAATCCATAGTCTGTTTATTAATAAATTATGAGTGGGCATGCATTAATACATTTTAGAATAGTATTGGATATATCAAGCTGAATGAACATGTACCAGTAAGGGGAAATGATTCTGTGCTAATAATTAATAATAATAAATAATTGCATTTGATATAGTACCTTTCACATCACCAAAGGCACCTCAAAGTGCTTGTGGAATTCACTGTGAAGTGTAGTGACTGTATTTTGTAGGCAAAACTTAAATACTAAAGTCACTTGAAATGCATTTGATTTGGTGCCAGAATAGATTGGAAGGGAAAAATAAAAGGAGTGGTGGAGCAGAGGCACATATTTATATAACCTGGTATTCTATTTATTTTCTTAAGCACTTTGTCCACCTGCCTTCCTACCTTTTAAGGACAAAGCAGATAACTTCATACTCTCTAGCAATTAAAAAAAACCTGAATATACGATTGTGTAAAAACATGGTTGAAAGGAATGAGAATAGAGGATCAAATACTCTGTTGGAACAAAATAATACTGGGCTACTGGAATTTAATTGATCCCAGTTAAATAACATGTGTTCTAAGGCTATATTAATGCTCTGGAGTTTTGTGCAGTTATCTTCAAAATCAAGGAGGAATTTTTAGTCAGCTTTATCTTACTGGCTATGGTTGGACGCCTCACTTGGGTAATGAAGAAAATGAAATGAGGGGAACTCGATATATTCCAAAATGTACATGATTTGTGGAGAACCTTGGCTTTGTGGGTCAAATGACCCTTATATCACATGTTTAACCATGATTTAGGTGAGCACATTAATTTAAGTTGAGTGTTTAGATGTTCTAATTGGATGTTTTTTGTGCAGGCCCTTTTTCATGGAAAATTTATTGACACTGGATTCTCGCTCCCATTCTACAAGCGGATGCTGAACAAGAAGCTTACGATAAAGGATTTGGAATCCATTGATCCTGAGTTCTACAACTCTCTTATCTGGATTAGGTATGTATTTTATGATGGGATTGTAAACCTCAGCATTTGAATTTGAGTAAATTTATTCGTAATTTATCCTTCCAATGAGATGTTAAACTAACATCCCACGTGGCTCCCGTTATCCCTGCAAGCCGAATCCGAAACAAATAGGGTGGTTCTACCACAACAAGTAGCGTGATGCTTGCCAGACAGTGCTTTCAATGGTGTTTGGGATTTTAGCTAGTTAAACTGTAGGAGTACCCTAACTTTGGCTTCTGGGTACATCCCTCCAGAAAGAGAATGTGTTAAGTGTTCCCTAATGGGAAAACTGCAGGACCTTACACATCCGATTCTGTGAATATTTTTGCAATATTACATCTAGAAATGCTTCTGCTACCTCTCTTTTTCTCATGTGCTTGTTAAGTTCACTTGAATCCTAATCACTGATTTGGGATTTATCTGGGATCTGGGCTCCAATATATTATCGCATTCTTCTTCTTTTGATTGTTTAAGAATCCTCTGCTTTCTGGCATTGTTTCCTCTCTCCTCTGGTGGCTTACGAAGTTCTCAGTCTTGCTTTCCTCTTTCTGCAGTGTAACAACACTTACTTCCTCTTGCCTAAGTAACTGCAACTTTCTCTAGCAGGTTCTTGTTTCCACCTCACATCAGCATATTTTACAACTGACCATGTACTTTATCAGGTTTTTCCCCTCCTCCCTCCCACACAAGCCAATTAAAGAAAAAATCATATTAGAAAGAATTATTGATGTCAATCAATTGATCTGATAAATAAGTAGTTTTTAATAATGTTATCTAAAATTGGTTAATTTCAGGGATAACAACATCGAGGAATGCGGCCTAGAAATGTATTTTGCTGTGGACATGGAGATTTTAGGAAAAGTTACCTCCCATGAACTGAAAGCAGGAGGATCAAACATTCTAGTAACTGAGGAAAACAAAGAAGAATACATCGGGTAAAGTGCTTTTCCAACATGCAATATACGTGTTTGGATTACTTAAAATTGCTCCAGTATGAGCCATCTCTGTAGATTACTGTTAGTAAACTTATAGTCATTCACATAATTATTTATTAATAAAGTAGAGTGCCACTTGAATAGAAATTGGTTCATACCAGAAATATTGGATTAAGAATGTAAAATATAACAATAATAGGTGTTTTTAAATGTTATCAGACTGGAATTTTTTAAATTTCAATTGGTATTAGAGAAGGTAAACGCTCTTTGTGCTGGGAAGTAATGGTTGAATTTAGTATGAATTTAATGCAGGATACATTAGGGGTGGGCTCAGAATGAACATTGTTTATCTGACAAGGTCCATTTTTCTCCTTTTTGGTTTTACTTTACACTCCTGGTCACTGGTCTCCTTATTTAGGACAATCTAAATTCACAGCCTTATTTAGTTAATGGTGTTGTGCCCTTTTCAGGCTTATCCAGTTGCTGTAATTTTTTAGTGTCTTTTCACTTATAGTAATGTTTAAATGATGGATATTTTCATGGGTTATTTACACCATAACCTGTGCTCCTGCAGTCTCATGGCAGAATGGCGATTCACTCGTGGTGTAGAAGAACAGACCAGGGCTTTTTTAGATGGCTTCAATGAAGTGGTTCCGCTTCAGTGGCTCCAGTACTTTGATGAAAAAGAACTAGAGGTAAAAAATAGTCTTTTTATTGAAAGCTTGTGAAGAATCATATGGCAAAATACCGGAGTTGCCTGAAGACCTTGTCATGTTGCCTGCTTGTCCAAATATTTGCTGTAGGTATATAGTTGCTGCTTTACCATATTGGTCATATTGTTTAATTTTCAATACAGCTATGAGAAAGGAAAATGGCAATCAAATTGGGAAGAAATTGTATCATAATGAGAATCCTTATATTTGATTATTACATTACAAATGTGCATTACACATATTACATTAATAGAGGCAAACTAAAGGTGAGACAACGGAGGCGGTACAATGGTTCTTCATAATTAGAAGAGATAAATTATGGCAAAGTGAAGTATTTCAACCTTGCAGTTTGAATGGAATTGTTTACAATTTAGATTATAGTCTAAAACTGCATGATAACTGATCATCATGCAGTTTTAGACCATAAGACCCTTTCTGACCCCTGAAACGTTTAGTCTTAGTTGTTTAAAGCTATTGTCTTAAAATGTAATATCAGGCAGAATTTTGGAAAATTCTTAAATTTAATCTTGAATTTGGAAGTTCAATGGTGTGGTCAGAATGGAATTAACCCACTCTGTCTATCCTCTGAATTGGCCAGAATAGAATTTAACCCACTCTTGTCTCGCCTGGGACAAATGTTCTGCACCCGAGTTCTCAACACTGGAAAAAAATGTTTACTTCTGATCCCTACAGTACTTCTGGAAAAAAACAGATTGTAATTAAGGCTTAATTTAATAATTTTCCAGAACTAAGCACATTTTAAAATTTTAGGATAATGGTGGAGTCCTGTAGCTTATTGGTTAGAGTACGCACCTCGCAAGCAAGAGGATCTGGGTTCGAATCCCGGGCAGGGAGAAATGTTGGGCAAGGTTTCTTACTCCACAAGCCTCTGTTTACCTAGAAGTAAGTAGGAACTCTGTTGATAGTCAACTGGGTGAGTTGCTTATTCTTATTTTCATCAATAAGTCATATTACTGTCTGTCTCTACAGGTTATGCTTTGTGGCATGCAGGAAGTAGATCTTACTGACTGGCAAAGGAATACAGTCTATCGCCATTATACCAGAAACAGTAAACAAATCATTTGGTTCTGGCAGGTATGATGCACAGGATTTTTCAGAACAGTAGCATTCTTCTGAACTAATGGACAGCTATATGGGATCTTGACCATACAATAGTATTTGTACATTGTCCAACAGCATGCTATACCATAATATTAGCTGGGTATATATAATTGCTAATGTAGGGATCTGCATTATTATTTGTGGTATGAATTTTAACATTTTCAATGATCCTCTGAATTAGAAAAGGGATTACTTTTCAATCACTACAACCTAAAATAATAACAACTTGCATTTATATAGCACCTCACGCAGGGTAGCTTCCCAGAGCGCTTGACAGTGGCGGAGCATAATTCCACGAGGGGGGGTGACCATTGGCACGGTCGAATACAAAGGTCTTCAGACATGACCTGAAGATAGGGAAGGAAGGGGCAAGATGGAGGGATAGAAGAAGAATGTTCCAGAGTTTGGGGCGTAGTGGTTTTTATTTAAAAATCTTCCATTTAAAAGGTTTCCCTCTCATGGCAAAATAATCTAAACAGTGCTGAAAGATTTTAAGTCTCATTGTCTCAGAAGGTGAATACATATTTTTCAGTTTGTCAAAGAAATGGACAATGAGGTGCGGCTACGCTTGTTACAGTTTGTGACTGGTACTTGCCGGTTACCGTTGGGAGGATTTGCTGAGCTTCTAGGTAAGCATCATTGCTCAGTAATATTGTTGTAATTTCTGTTTTATGACATTGCATCACTAATCATATATTATTGTAAATTGTTATAGTATTTTCCTAAAATTTCAGTCATAATAATAATAATAATCCTTGCATTTGATGTAGCGCTTTTCACGTCTTCTAGCGTCCCAAACACTTCACAGAATAATAATAATAATAATAATCCTTGCATTTGATATAGCGCTTTTCACGTCGGGAGGACGTCCCAAAGCGTTTCACAGAACACACTGTAAAGTGAATTGACAGTATATTTGTGGGCGAACGGGGCAGCCAATTGCGCACAGCAGTGTCCCACAAACAGTCATGGATTGAAAATGACCAATTTATTACTGTTTTGTTTTAATAATACTATCAAATGCAAGGATTATTATTATTATGCCTTGTAACATCAAAATATTTCAAAGCGCTTCCCAGTAACTATTCCTAGGCAAATACAGGGGCTATTTGTACATAGCAGTGTCCCACAAATAGCTGGAATATTGTTAGCTATGACAGAGGGAAAAATTCCCTTCTCTTTTCAAAATGTGTCATGGGTTCTTTTCACATCCACCTGAATAGGCAGCCTTGGTCTCATCCGTATAACGGCATCACTAACATTGCAGCACTTCCCCAATGCTACACTGGTCTGGTCATTTTAGACCATGAGCTCAAAGGCCCCAAAGAGCTTGAACCCTCACCTTCTGAGCAAGAAGCAAGAGTGCTACCATGTGAGCTAGGCTGATAATTGGTGAAATTACTTTGGAATAGTGCAGAATTAATTACATAGAACATCTTATGGTCTGAACATTTTAATGTGGTGTAATTTTGAGAGAGGATGTTTCAGTAACCAAGCTGTCTAAATTCTCCCTAACCAGATATGTACCCCTTTAAATAAGAGCACAATAACTTGCTTTTCAGCAATACTTATAATGTATTTGTAAAAAAAAGTATAATCTTGGTTGGTAATATGAAATACTGTGGCATTGTGTGGGGAAAATAAATAATAAACAGCAGCTTTCACATAAGTGAATGTCTGAATGTATGTGAATGGTATGGGACACTGAGCAAGTTGGGAATGAGTGGCTTCAGGGAAGATGACTGAAGACATGGTCAAAAGCAGATTAAAAGAGTTTTAAGGATGGGGATGGAAGGTCAGTTGGGAAACTCAGCATGTCCCTGAGCTGTGGAGTGAATGGGAGATGGCTGAAGACATGGTGAGAAGACTTTTAAAGATGGAGATAGAGGGTGCAAAGCAGGAAGATGTTATGAGGGTATTGAGGGAGAGTGGGGCTGGAGGAGATTGAATAAGTAAACATGACCATGAGGTATTTGAAGATCACATGAGGTTCATGATGTTGATCTGTTGAGGTACAGGGAACTGCTACAGTTTAATGAAAATACAGGTGATGGATTCACAGATTCCAGTGCAGGAGAGGATAAAATATTGTGGAGTTCTGGATGAGATGGAGCTTGTGGAGGGTGAGTGTGTTTGGTTGGGTGGGGGGGGTGGGTGTGGTGTAGAGAAATGCAGCCTTTTTGAAAAGTATTTTGATGAAGAACTAAGTCTTAGAATCATAGAAGTTTAAGCACAAAGGAAGTCCATTGTGTGACCCATTACCAGTTCCCTCATGAGATGGGCCAATTGAAAAGTGTGGAAATATTTGCCCCAAATTATGGCGAGGTTTGGGAAATTTGTGGGAGGAGGGGTTGGCAAATTTTGCAGAAAATGGCACAGAGTTGCTATTGAGGTACATTTTACTGCCAACCATACACTACATTTATAGTGAGTTTGAAGAGTCCCACTTACCTTTCTCCATATCCCTGTAGCTGCCTTTTTTTCAGGTTAATTTTTCTTATGTCTATGACTTGATGTCATAGTTTTGCAAGTCGACGATTCACAATTGTGCAACAATTTAGGAAGTATACTGCTGAGTATAGTTTAGCAGTTAGAAGTGAAAACCAGGGATAACAAAACAATAAGAGCGTGTCTTAAAAAAANTGGACTGTTGTGTAAACTGAATTGAGATCATTTTTTGCCCAGTCAGGTCACTGATTGGTGTGATTTGTACAAAACTTTTCCAGATGAGACTAATAAAAGAATAATATTTAACCTGGCATGACAAACATAGAATTTATCCTGTCTCAGTCAGTGACATTAATTGTCAACAACTGATTTGTTTCAAAACAGGGAGTAATGGTCCTCAAAAGTTCTGCATTGAAAAGGTTGGTAAGGAAACTTGGTTACCCAGAAGTCATACTTGGTAAGTAGCATTTAGGACATTGACGTTTACTTTTAGTGGAAAAAATACTATTTGATCTAATGCCTCCAGAATATATATATTTTATCTCTAACGTTGCTCATACATCTGGGAAAATTTCAGCTCCCTGAGGCAAGTCATGTTTTTAAAAGTTTTCAATTCACACAACTGCTGAAAATATGCAATAGATATGTAAATGTCAAATTTATATATCATTTATGCAATATTAAAAACTTATTTTCCCATCTTTCCTTTCTTACTCCATTATGTTTTTTCTGTTATGTTGCTACGATTGCTTGAACGTAATTTCCAAGATTTCTATAATTCTGGAACACAAAATGACTTATTTTCTCTGTTGCCTAAGACCGACTGTTCAATTTGGAGCTAGGAATAGTATCCGTAAAGTTGGATTCCCAATTAATAATCCTTGCATTTGATATAGCGCTTTTCACGTCGGGAGGACGTCCCAAAGCGCTTCACAGTTGGCTGAAACCTGGCTCCAAAGTGCTATTTTCAGTCAATATCCAACAACTTGCAGTTATGTAGCGCCCTTCACATCTAGGCTCCACTATGCCAACTCCCTACTTGTCAGCCTTCCCATCTCTTCCCTCCACAAGCTGCAGATCATCCAGAACTCTGCAGCTCATGTTCTTTCCCGTACCAGCCTCTGTGACCCCATAACCCCCACCGTCGCTCGGCTCCACTGGCTCCCCATCCCCCAGACGATAGAGCTCAAAATCCTCGGCCTCGCCTTCAAAGCCCTCCGCAGCCTTGCCCCTCCCTAGCTCTGTGACCAGCTGACCCCTTATCAATCCTCCCGCTCCCTCCGCTCAGCAGGCTCTGGCCTATTCCACATTACCTACCTGGCGGGTCCCATCATCTGCGACCAGGCCTTCAGGTTTCTTCCCCCACCCTATGGAACTCCATCCCACATTCCCTTTGCCTCACTCCCTCCCTTGCTTCCTTCAAGGCACGTATCAAAACCCTCCTCTTCGACCAAGTCTTCAGCCATCCTCCTACTCTCCACCCACCCCAACCCCCAACTCGGGTCCAAATTCCTGACTGTCCAATGCCTGGAGTAAGTTTAAAATCTCCAGTGCCAGCTACACACACAATGACGACCATGCAAATTACTTGCAACTGCAGCACAATAATTGTTATCAGTTCAAAACTTCAGTGTGCTGCTTTAAACCAATCATGATTATCAAAGTATCTGTAACATTTGTTAGTGTTCATTGAGGTAAGGAATTCCACTTTCAACTCTCTGGTGGTCTATTGAGTAAAAATGTCACTGGGGCCTACTGGCCCGAAGGTTGCAGGTTCACAAATGGGTGAAATAGATGATCTTAGTCCAGGCAACAATTAGCCCTTGTGTCCTTGGGTTGACCTTAAGTAGACCAGGATTCCAACTCCAGTGGTTTCCATGGAACTGTAGTGGAATAGAAGGTACAGAAATCAAAAACGTATTGAGGAGAAAATTTAGTGGAGAAAAGTGATGTCAGTGTTAGGGAATGGAGCACATTCCCCCTTCTAGCACACATTAATGGAGTACAACAGCAGCGAGGTGTACTGTAAAGCTCCCTTTATCTCAGCCATGTGCCTTTACTCTCTTATAATGATTGGAACACAAATCATGTCGCCTAGATTGGCAGCTTTGTGCAGTGAACCTGCTCATATTGCACTCAGTTGAATAAGAGGTAACCCCAAGAGTCCCTGAGTCTCTTAACTCAAATGATTGAATCTACTTGCTGGAACAAAATATTCAGATATGTGTTTTCCCCACAGTTTTAACCGTTTGGACTTGCCACCTTACAAAAGCTATGAGCAACTGAAAGAAAAACTGCTTTTTGCAATTGAAGAAACTGAAGGATTCGGACAGGAATAAACACAGCAACAAATTTGTTAACTGATAACATCAAAACGTGTTTTTATTTGATATCCAGCCACCTACAGTTGCACAGACATTGATTATTGTATATATGCTATCTGCCCGACTGAAGTAATTTAGTTCTGGAACTCAATAGAACTGATCTGCTTTTCTTCCAGATTCATTATGCAAAATATCTGTCTTGAACAATATATAGTATTTCACATATCTGTGTTTTCCCTTTATAATAGTTTGAGGAGAAAACAGTTTGGCTGCTTTCTGAAACAAATAATGGATTTTAAAAAGAACAGAAACAGCTGGAATACCAATGGCTCTAGTTTTATAGAGCGTACTTGAAAAGAGATTTGGTTGGTGTGCTATTGGGCCTCTGCTTAGTCTTGGCTGTATCTTCCAGGGAAAACAAACTGTGGATTGCTCAGTTTCCACTGTTGTAACCTCTGCCACAGTTATTTCTTGCATGGCTGTCATTAGAGTATTTAAGGCTAATGCCAAACACTGTCAATAAGTATCTAGAATTAATGCTGCTGGCTTGTTGAAATAATAGAATGTGTAAAATGCTGACCTGAGATTTTCTTTTATTTTCTTGTGTTATTACTGTTTATGTATGTCTCTTGTGTATAGCAGACTCGATAAAAACAAAAGTAGAGGTGATGGGCAGTACCTCATAATACTAATATAATGTAAATTTATATACAAAAAGCTAATGTGGACAATTTTCACAGTGTAATTATGCAAAATATTACCTCTGTGCTGCTTTCATGTTCAGCCTTTTAGAAGAGTTACATTTATCAATCAGGAATACAAAAAGTATAAATCAATATGTAAGCTTTGCACATTGTAAGGAATGTTGTGTAATTAGTTTTCCATTGCAATATTATGCTGTTTTCCTAATGGCTTTCATGTAAATTACATTGTATTCAGAGGTTTGATTTCTTCTCTGGCTTTGAAATATAATTTCTAATGTAGACCTTCAATTCTAGAAATATTCAAGTGATTTATTTTTTTCTTAAATACAGAAGTTTCAAAACATGCAAGAAAAGGATAAGTTTAAAATAGTTTCACCAGTATTGAGGACATCTACTTAATTACAACCTGTAACAAAATTCTATTTAAAATCATAATTATGTGAATTATATGAAACTGCAAACTAACAGATCATTATCTTGCAGTGAATGGGGAGCTATGGACATTTGAAATGTAACATTTGTAACACTTTAAATTTAAACATTGTAAATTCCATTAAAGTTTTTAATTTGTATAAAGTTTTGTAAACCCCTGAGTTTGGTCAGTTTTTCCCCATTGCAAATCAAATTATTTTACTGTAACATATCAAGTGTAGTCAACACTGTAAAAATTGTAACAGCTATTGCTGTAAAAAGTAAAGTGTACAGAAATTGTTGATATGACTTTTGTTATTTGTCCCTACCTGCCAGCTGGTGTCATTATTGAGAAAAGGGTATTTCCTGAAGTGTGTTAGATCGGCATTCAAACTTCTGTTTATCTTCTGTCAGGTGCTCAAGATAACCTCTTCCCTTCAAATTTCGCTGCTAATTGTGTATGGAGAAATAGCTTGAAATATATGGTAATTTCCGTTCTCCCTCTTTTTCTGTGTACGTTTATTGTTTCATGTTAGATTTTCTCAGATGAAAGCCAACTAAATTCTTGTCAATCTGTACTATTGGCAAGTGGGAAAAGTGCTGGACTGCAATTTATAAATGTACCAAAATAATGCTAAAAGCCACCTTTAAAGACATTGACAAAAAAATCATTGAGCTATTTGTAGTTTGATATTTTTGAGAATTTGAATACAAAGTGAATTTCTGTACAAGTGACAGAGTGATATTAACTGGTGCCAGATGGACAGTCAGTTTTATTTCTCTGAACACTGAACTGCGCAAGCAATCTAGTGATGAATAACTGTGTGATTCAAGCTCAATATCTTCTTTCTGGTTGAGTCAAATACTCAACACTTGAGTTGCCTACTGAAGAACCTTTGTTTTGCAAATATATATATAACAGTACACAAAATACATGATGTAGAGTATAACGTTTAATATTGCAAGGCAATAGTTTCAACCTGTACAATTTCATTATTGTAGAATTCTAAAATGATTTACAAACCTTTAATAAAAATTCTTTTGATTGAGTAATGTTCTGAGAAATTAATGAAAACCTTCACTCATTTTATCTTACAATAGAATATCTTACAATAGAAATGATTCATTTCACAATTACATTGCATTGAGCTTGATTTGAATCGGCTTCTCACTTCACACCCATTGACTTCAGTAATTCAGCAGCTTCTTTTTGGACCTTTTTAAAAAAAAAAAGGAAAATGACATCTAGGTCATCGACTGGCTGAATGGCCTACTACTTGTTATACATCTCTATGGTTCTATAGGTCATAACTAAAGGAAAGCTTGTTTATTCATTCCTTCATCCCCCAAACTTTCTCCTCTCCACCCCAATGAACTAGTATATTTGCAAGATTGATATAGCTGAAGATTATTCAATCTAATGCTTCCAGAATACCCACCATAGTTTATTCTTATTACAGGATTTATGGTATTTTGAATCTGCTGCATATATAATATATTGGTGAAACTTGTCAGCCAATTGCGCACAGCAGTGCCCTACAAACAGTTGTGGATTGAGTGACTTTTTTTAAGGGATTATTAACCCCGGAAACGTAATCGCCAATTGACTAACAACCAGGTTCGTACTGACTGCTAGTTGAACAGAGGCAGGTGGAGTAAGGAAACTTGCCCAATGTTTCTCCCTGCCTGGGAATCAAACCCATGTCCTCTCGCTTGCGAAGCTAATCACTATGTTACAGGTCTCCACTATTGGGTGAGTCAGAAGATAGTGGGTTGCCAAATTTTACAAGACAAAATTACATTTGTATAGCACCTTTCACATCAGAAGGACCTCCCAAGGCGCTGGACAGTCAGGGATTTAGACCTGAGCAGGGGGTGGGGGTGGAGGGGGGAAGAGTTGGAATCATGGAGAATAGGAGGGTGGCCAAAGGTGCGATCGAAGAGGAGGGTCTTGAGACGTGCCTTGAACGAGGCAAGTGAAGGAGCAAAACTTTAAATTTAGTATGTCATCCTTTTGCTGACTGCTTTAAAAGCGGGCAATAAAGCTTCAGAAATGTTGCAAAAAGTATAGAATATTCCAAATGAAGTGAATTCAGATTCTAGTTTTTCTTATGTGAACAGCTTGTGACATTAGTAATGGCAGAGAAAATGAATCCATAACTGGCTCTGCTTATGTGTTTGACACAAAGGATAAAAGATGAAATTCAACTGTTCAACTGCAGATCACCTAATCATGTTTATACAAAAGTCTGCAAATAAAATAAAGCAAAGGCTTTTCCTTCTCCCTTTACACGCGCAAGTTAAAAGGAGTGTCATTTCTTAACTGGCTATTTGCTGTGAAATTACAATATTGTGATTTTAGCCAGTTAAAGCAAACCCTTCAGTGCAGTGGCACTGCACTGTCAGACTGAAATGACTTCATGAACTGTCCTTGGGACAGCCAGAGCCATGTTAGTGTCATGTCTCATTTCTTGAACTGGACTGACATGTTAAATTAGCAATTGTACTAGTCATGAACACAAATAATATACAACAAGGAAACAGGCCACTTGGCCAAATCAGTCTGACAGTATTTATACTCCACATGAATCTCCCACATGTGAAGATCTAGCTTCCTCTTGAATGCATCTAAACTACCTGAAATAAAAGGTATTTATTTTATTTTATTTATTTTTTTAATGAAATTCTAATTAACTGCAGAGAAATTTCCTGTACAGTATTATAGATTTGTGAAATTGGTTACAGTAAATAAAACTCATACCTGCACATCTTCTTCAGTACGTGTTGGGTAGTTTTTTGCTTTATTCAGCCACAGTATGGCATTCTTCACATTTTGTAACTTCATGAATGTTTTACCTAACATCAGTAAGTTTTTGCTGTAGAAATTTGGATCAGCTGTAACAGAAACAATTAAGTTTTGTGATCTTATGAAACCTTTCGTCTGGTCAGCCAGATGTCTGCTATATACAGAAACCAATCACCATGTATAGGGTAGCCAAACCAGACAGAGCTCCATGCATGCTACATACACATGGAAATTTCTGTGTCTGGACAGCGCTGATGCCAGAGAATATTAGGCACAGATTATAATAATAATAATAATAATAATCCTTGCATTTGATATAGCGCTTTTCACGTCGGGAGGACGTCCCAAAGCGCTTCACAGAACACACTGTAAAGTGAATTGACTGTATATTTGTGGGCGAACGCGGCAGCCAATTGCGCACAGCAATGTCCCACAAACAGTCGTAGATTGAAAATGACCCAATTTTTTTTTTATTATTGTTTTTTGGTTTTTTTGGAGGGATTATTATTATCTTGTTGATACTCGTCAACAAGGTGATGTCTCACCACTGTAATCATAGACAGGCTGCAGACATGGTTGGGAAGAGAGACTGGAGACATGGATGCAGTGGGCATGGAGAGAAGGAATAACATGACCAAATTCAGTGGCAGCCGGTTTCATAGCCAAGACCAATAATTTATATTTTGAAATAGACTGAGAACAGGAGAACTGTCTGCAATTGTTGTAGGCCTAGAAGCTTTCTTGCTTAAAAGCAGATATTTGAAAAGGTTAATGGTGGATTGGGCTTGGAAACCCCAGAGTGTGCGTTGGGATACTGCTAGAGTTTAATCAGTTAAAACCACAGCTTGCCATTGAAAGCACCCTGCCAAGTTTCCTCAAATTAATTTATAAGTGTGTATGTGGTATATAATTACACACTGATTAGTCTCAGAGCTGATGCCACTTATATGGGTAACGAGTAACTAAATGGTTCAACAACAACTTGATGTAGCATCCTTCATGTGGGGTAGCGTCTCAATGGGTAGATAAGGTTGTCTTGTCCATTATATTTCTAAAATGAACTAACTGAATGAGTCATGTCTCTCACCCTCTCTCGCTCTAGAGTTCCTTATAATTGCAGGTATGGCATTAGGCCACTAAGACCAAGAAGATCCTGTGTTTCATGCTTGGTCCCGAGCTGAGGGTCAGGATTGGGGAGGTTGGAGAGTAGGGGGATGGAGGATGGCCGAAGGCGGGGTCGAAGAGGAGGGTTTTGAGACGCGCCTTGAAGGAGGCAAGAGAGGGAATGAGGCAATGGGAATGTGGGATGAAGTTCCATAGGGTGGGGGCAGAAAGGCTGAGTGGGGTCATGGAGAAGGTCGGTGCCTGCTGAGCAGAGGGAGCGGACAGGTTGATACGGGGTCAGCAGGTTGGAAGAGGTAGGAAGGGGCAAGGCCATGTAGGGCCTTGAAGGTGAGGACAAGGATTTTGAACTGTATCCTCTAGGGGATGGGGAACCAGTGGAGCCAGGCGAGGGTGGGGGTGATGGGGTCACGGAGCCTGGTGCGGGAGAGGACCTGAGCTGCAGAGTTCTGCATGAGCTGCAGCTTGTGGACGGAAGAGTTGGGCAGGTGAACAAGCAGGGAGTTGGTGTAGTCGAGTCTAGATGTGGTGAATGCCTGGATGAAGGTTTCGGCAGCGTAAGGGGTGAGGTAGTGGCGGAGCCGGGCAATGTTGCGCAGGTGATAATAAGGAACTGCAAAGTGAGAGAGGTGAGAGACATGACTCAATCAAAGTTAGTTTTACAAATATAAACCTTAAACTAGAGTGCCATCAACTGAGCCAGCCAAGGGTCACCATTTGTACAGCCAAGGGTCACTCCTTTGTACAGTATATTTCTAGGAAGACAACATAATTTTAGCCAGTTATGTTCTATATCTGCTATAAAACATCCCAGACATTTGGGGCGGTATAAATATTTAAATGTTTCATAGTACAGTTGCAGTTTTATTATACAGCTACAAATCTTAAGCTGATCAGCGCTTTACCATTCTGAGAACATACACTACGACCGAGAACCACATTTTAATTGTGGTGAGGAAAATGTAACAAAAATTGCGTTTCTTTTTGCCCCACACAGAAACACATGGCTTGGAAAAACAAGTAGGGGATTTTATTGCAGTTTAAGCAGCATTTTATATATACATTTTCGGTCCAAACTCAACTTCTTGTTAGTTTCAGCCCGTAAAAGCAGTGTCTTAAAATTCTGCATAATTGTGGAAAATTCATAAATTGTTTTAATTTGGAAGCTGTTTTTCTGCAGTTCTTAACAAGAATGTCTTCCAAATTAAGACTGTAATGAAGTATTTTCCACAATTCTGTATGATCTTAAATTTTAAGACAAAATGGTCTTACTGATATCCCCTACACCCAGGCTACATGGCTCCCTGTATGCATGAGAAACCACCACCTCCTACTATCCCATTAAAACAAATTGGAGCATATGATCCAGGGTATTTATTAGCCTTCTTACCTTTCTCAGCTTCAGTAAAATATTGTAGAGCCTGAAACAAAAATGAAAGACAGTTGCATCAATTTTAATATAAAGTTTACATATAAACTCACTATTCTTAGAAATAGTGCGGTCTGGATGGCTTGCATCCCAGGGTTTTAAAAGAGGTAGCTTATGAGATAGTGGAAGCCTTATGTCTGATCTTCCAAAATTCCTTGGATTCTGGAACAGTCCCCATGGATTGGAAGATTGCAAATGTCACACCACTATTTAAAAAAGGTGGAAAGGAAAAGATGGGGAACTATAGGCCAGTTAGTCTCACATCAGTGATAGGAAAAATTTTAGAATCGTTGATTAAGGATGTGGTAGTGCGGTATTTAGAGGAGCACAATATAATTAGGCCAAGTCAACATGGCTTTACAAAAGGGAAGTCATGTTTGACAAATCTCATAGAGTTTTTTGAGGACATTTCCAGTAAACTGGATAAGGGTGAATCAGTGATTGTGGTCTATTTGGACTTCCAGAAGGCAATCGATAAGGTGCCACATAAAAGGTTAGTCCAAAAGATAAGGGCCCATGGAATTGGGGGGAGCATATCAACGTGGATTGGGGAATGGTTAACGGGTAGGAAACAAAGAGTAGGGATAAACGGGTCCTTTTCAGATTGGCGGGATGTGACTAGTGGAGTGCCACAAGGATCAGTCCTTGGGCCTCAGCTATTTACCATCTACATCAACGATCTAGATGAGGACATCAAAGTTAATATATCTAAATTCGCGGATGACACAAAACTAGGAGGAAGTGTCAACACAGAGGTCGACATTAAAAAATGCAGCGAGACATAGATAGGTTAGGTGATTGGGCAGGTAGGTGGCAGATGAAGTATAATGTAGGGAAGTGCGAAGTCATCCACCTAGGTAGCAAAAACAGTAGAGCGGGTTATTTTTAGAAGGGGAGAGATTGGAATGTGTTAGCGTCCAGAGGGACTTGGGTGTCCTTGTACACCAATCACAGAAAGTTAGTCTGCAGGTGCAGAAGCAATTAGGAAGGCAAACGGTATGTTAGCATTCATTATGAAAGGATTAGAGTATAAGAGTAGGGAAGTCTTGCTGCAACTGTATAGGGCCCCGGTGAGACCACACCTGGAATACTGTGTCAAGTTTTGGTCTCCTCATTTAAGGAAGGATGTAGTTGCCTTGGAGGGGGTGCAGCGTAGATTTACTAGGTTAGTACCAGGGATGAAGGGGTTGAGTTACTAGGATAGGTTGACCAATTTGGGCCTATATTCTCTAGATTATAGAAGAATTAAAGGGGATCTTATAGAAACCTATAAGATCATCAAAGGGCATGGTAGAGTAGATAGTGGGAGATTGTTTCCTCTGGTTGGAGAAACTAAAACCAGGGGTCACTACCTTAAAATCAGAGGCCAACCCTTTCACACTGAGTTGAGGAAGAACTTCTTCACTCAAAGGGTGGTGAATGTATGGAACTCGCTACCCCAAAGGGCTGTTGACGCTCAGTCCTTCAACATATTCAAGACTGAGATAGATATATTTCTTATTGTAAAAGGGATTAAGGGATATGGGGATAAAGCAGGTTTATAGTATTAGCTGGAGTTAGATAAGAAGATCAGCCATGATTGAATGGCGGGGCAGGCTCGAAGGGCCGAATGGCGTCCTCCTACATGTTATGTTAAATTATCTGAGGATTTACACACCTCCTAGTGGTGAGTCAGCTGTCTCTGCGACAGTTCATTGCATGACCCAGGGATACAAGGGCATAACGAGAAAATAGGATTTCTAGCCTTACTAGAAAAACTGTAACAGGCTATTGCAAACATTTGTTTCAATCCCATAGAGATTTTTTTTCCCCCCAAAATGGGATTGAAGTGTTGCGTTTCCATTACCTCGTCAAAGGTAGAGCTTGGTGGTATGGAAAAAAACATGGCCGCTATCTTCTTCTGGACCCAGGGTAGTTCTGCAAAAGTGTAGCACCTAGAAAATAAATACATTTCAAATCTCTTATTAAATGATTTACCTTGTCCTTACTCAAACATGTTTAAGAATTGGAACTTATTGCCAACTGCTCATGGTTACCGGCTCAAACGCAGTATTTTGCTAAATTATACCAGTAATGTGGTCCTCAAAGATTAGCTGTGACCAGTGAAGATTGATACATGACAATTTTATCTTCATTCAAAGCATATCTCAATCGCCAAAAATTCAGAATGCACAGCTCAGATTGCTTCACAATACTGGAGCTGTTCAATTTGTTTTTCAGAACGCTTGCTTACCAGGAATCAGTAAAGCTGTATGCCAGCTTGCAAGATAGTGCACCAAAGGCGAATTCCTGCTTCAGCAGGAAGTTTGAAGACAAAGTGTTTGACTTAGTTACTCTTCTTTCATATAGTGGTACAGCAACAATGTGGACTTTATTCAGGGAAAAGACAAGATTGCAATCCCAGCCCACCAAGTTTTGCTTAAAAACTATGTCTACCAGAAGTAGAATCATAAAATATTACAGCACAGGAGGAGGACATTCGGCCCATCGTGCCTGTGTCAGCTGTTTTTGGAAGAGCTATCCAATCAGTCCCACTCCCCTGCCCTTTCCCCATATCCTTGCAATTTTTTCCTTTTCAAGTACCTATCCAATTCCCTTTTGAAAGTTGTTATTGAGTCTGTTTCCACCATCCCCTCCAGGCAGTGCATTCCAGACCGTAACAATTCTCTGTGTAAAAAAAAATTCTCCTCATCTCCCCTCTGGTTCTTTTGCAAATTATCTTAAATCTATGTACCCTGATTACTGACCCACCTGGGAGTGGAAACAGTTTCTCCCTATCTCCTCTATCAAAACTCCTCATAAATTTGAACACGTCTATTAAACCTCCCCTTAACTTTCTCTGCTCTAAGGAGAATAATCCCAGCCTCTCTATTCTCTCCACATAACGAAAGTCCCTCATCCCTGGTACTATTCTGGTAAATCTCCTCTGCACCTTGATATCCATCCTAAACTGTGGTGCCCAGAATTGGACACAATATTTCAGCTGAGGTCTAAACTAGTGACGTGTAAAGGCTTAGCAGAACTTCCTCGCTTTTGTACTCTATGCCTATTTATAAAGCCAAGGATCCCATGTGCTTTTTTAACAGCTCTATCAACCTGTACTGCCCACCTTCAAAGACCTGTGTATGTGAACCCCCTTTAAAACTGTACCATTTATTGTAAATCGCCTCTCATCATTCTTCCTTCCAAAATTAGCAATTTTGCTAACAGTCTATTATATATCACCTGATCAAACACCTTCTGAAAGTCCATATACACTACATCAACTGCACAATCTTCATCAATCCTCTTTGTTATTTGATCAAAACTCAATTATGTTTGTCAGACATGATTTGTCTTTAACAAATCTGTGTTAACTATTATTAATTAACTTGTGTTTTTCCAAGTGAAAATTAATTTTGTCCCAGATTTATGGTCTCTAGAAGTTTTCCCACCACTGATGTTAAGCTGACTTGCCTGTAGTTACCAGGTTTATCCCTCCCGCATTTTTTGAACAAGGATGTAACATTTGCAACCCTACAGTCCTCAGGCACTACACTCATATCCAAGGAAGATTGAAAGATTGTGGCCAGAGTGTCTGCTATTTCCACCTTAACTTCCCTCAGCAACCTAGGATGCATCCCATCTGGACCGGGTGACTTTTCTGCTTTGAGCTCTGCCAATATTTTAAGTACTTCCTCTCTATCTATTTTTATCCTATCCAATTTCTCTAGCCCCTCCTCCTTTTCTGTGCCATTAGCAGCATCCTCTTTTGTGAAGAAAGGCGCAAAGTATTCATTCTGTACCTCAGCCGTGCCCTCTGCCTCCATAAGAAGTTTGCCTTTTTGGTCCCTAATCAGCCCCACCCTACCATTGACCATCCTTTTACAATGTATATGTTTATAGAAGACTTTAGTGTTCCCTTTTATATTACCCATTAATCTTTTCGCATATGCTCTCTTCGCCCCTCGTATTTCCCTTTTCAGTTCTCCTCTACACTTTCTGTATTCTGCTTGATTCTCTAGTGTATTTTGAATCTGACATTTATCATATGCCTCCTTTTCCTGTTTCATTTAATCCCAATTTTCTTAGTCATCCAGGGAGCTCTAGCTTTGGATGCCCTACCTTTCTCCCTCATGGGATAAGTATAAGAACTAAGTTACTGCAAGTTTCTCCTTCAGATCCATCAAAGTGCTGAGCATGTAATTCAACATTTTATACTGTCAATGTCTTGGTTTGCTTAACTATTTGTTAGACTAATCAAAATAACTACAGGAAAATCAACACAAACTTGATAAAGTTACTAGTTTCCACAAAATGAATTCAGTGCCCACACAAGTGTTAGAATTATTTGCCTATAGCAGGCATTCTAGAGCAGTCCTCTGCTTTCCTAAAGATTGAAGCAAAATATCTGCTAAGTATATTGTTCTCATTAACCCAAGTACATCCTGCTATTTTTATTCACCAGTAAAGCCTAAGACTTGGATAAAGTAATGATTTGCGTCAGAGGCTCCCAAACCCCTTATGTAGGAGCATCTTTCAAGGCCACAAGAATGTAACATAAAAATGTCTTGAAATTCAGCAAACATGTTAGATTTGCTTATGTGGATCAGACTGAGGAACACATCTACTAAAAGGTGAAATGTAAGATACATTCAACTACAGAACAGCAATTTGCACTTGTATATCGCTTTACACGTTGGGAGAATGTCTCAAGAGTTTCGCAAAGACTGAGGAGTCCAAGCTGGGAGCAAGCTGGGAGTAGACAAAACCGCAGATAAGGAGAAAGCAGAGAGGGTGGGCATGAGGGGATGTACTTCGGAAAAGCTTTCCAAAGGAAGAAGACAAAATATCTCAAGACTCACCCACCGATGGTGGAGCAGAGCAGGCAGGGACATGAAGAAGGCTGGAAACAAAATACTGAAGCAAAATTGCACAAGAAGCTATGCTGAATACAAGCACTATGAAATAAGTATGATATAAAATTATTTACCATAATCCCATTAAGTGAATTGATGTTGCATCAGTTGGATTAATCTCTATGGCCTTCTAAAAAGAAATGTTTTGTAAAATGAGTTCTTCATTGATTCATTCATTGATTCATTCATTCATTCATCAAGTAAATCAATTGCTGTATAATTCTACATTAAAAACTCACCAAAATGTTGTACTATAAACTCTGAGTACGAGTCTCGAGAGCTATGTATACAAGATTGTGTTTAGATGAAGAAGGCCTCTAAGGTCATTTTATCTCTTCTTTCCAGAATACCCACCCCACACTCCTCCCATCAAAACATCCAAACTGGATTTTAAATGAGTACAGTTTCCCAACCTCAACCACCCTTCTTGGCAACTTGTTAGTAGTGAATTAGCTTTTTGGGTAAAGAAAAACTTCCTGGTGTCTATCTGAAATAGTGCTTTACAGTTCTAAACTCATGTGCATGCATTTGTCACCTCCGCTTGGATTACACCAACCCACTTCTCGCCAGTCTCCCCAGCTCCACCATTCACAAGATCCAGCTCATTCAAATCTCTGCTGCCCACATAATGACCCGGACCAAACACTGTTCCCCCATCTCACCAGTTCTGACCAGGCTCCACTGGCTCCCCACCACTGAATGGATCGACTTCAAGATCCTCACACTTGTGTTCAAATCCATTCACTCCCTGGCACCTCGCTACCTCTCCGACCTCCTCACTCCCCAATCCACCACCCGGTGCCTCTGCTCGACTGGCACCGGCCTCCTGCTTGTCCCTGGCACCCTCTGCCCCACCATTGGAGGTTGTGGTTTCAGCCACTATGCCCCAAAACTCTGGAACACTCTCCCTCAATCCCTCCACCTTGCCCCTTCTCTCCCCTCTTTCAAGTCCCGCCTGAAAACTTTCCTGTTCGACTGTGCTTATGGCCACCTCCCCCCGGCTCGGAGTCAGGCGCCACCACTGTTAAGCACTTTGAGACGCTACCCTGCATGGAGGACACTACATAAGCACAAGTGGTTGTTGTATGTCCTCTTGTTCTAATGTCATAAATACAATTTGTTCAGGTTGCATTATTCCAACCCAGGAGAGCAGTCAACCTGTTGAATTAGGTTTGGGCAGAACATAGTGAGACACATCAAATTTTAATTGCCAGAATACACAGTAAGACCTCATCATGAATAAATCAAGGAATCTGTTTGGAATCATATCCAAGATACAAATATTAATAAAGGAAAGGTGTCAGACTGGTTCAGCTGGTAGTCTCTGGATTCAAGCCCCTCATATTGGAATTTGAACTCACATATGCTGACACTCCAACCTGGTGCAGCGAGGGGAAAACTTGACAGCGATCCTGCTCTTGATTTCTTGTATAGCAATCTCTACTCCTCGCAATGCAAGTGTGGCAGCTGGTGAGGAGAGCACTCATTGCCAAGTCTCAGATGTGAACAAATACCACTTAGGCATGATAACCAGAGGCCAACCAGGCCCATTAAACCACACCCAGCAATGAGGAGAAGGGACCAGGAGCAAAGGGGTATCCAATGCAAAGAAAATTAGAAAATAATTGGACACATTTAATTTCATTTTTCTGCAATGAGAATTTATCCCCAAATTATTTGACATTATTCACGGGACGTCCTCCTGGCATGAAAGGGAATATACAAATGTAATTTTGTTTATTTAAACGCTATACAATAGGAGTTACTAACAGTCACACCTAGTGGCCAATTATCAGGATTGCACTAATCTAGTTACAACCCTGATTATTGGCCACTAGAGTCTAGAGTTCTTTTGCGTAGTGGTTAGAGCCCTCGCCTCGCAAGCGAGAGGAAAGTTTCCTTGGATAGACACCAATTTCATTTTTTTGTATTGGGTGTGTTTTATCGGAGGGTTTCAATTACAACCAAATATCAGAAACCCTAAATACATTTTATATTGTATATTTGCTAACATTAATGGACAATTCTTGTTGATTACCAGATAATTGTAATGTACAAGTAGCCTCATTTACATCTACCAGGTCAGTTAGAAATACTGAGAGCTTATAACTTTCACTGTAAGTAAATGATACACTTAAACCTCTTTCTAGGAAGATCAATTGCAAACTTCAGTGATTCAGATTCATTATAGTTTGTAGTTAATTTCCCATTGTTTGTCGGCATTTTAGAAGGTACTGACTTTAAGATTGAAAAAGTGCCAAATGTCAGTGTAAAAGATACCACAGAACATAAAATGCATCTCCCGCAGGGATCCCTGAGTATGCCATTCCAATGCATGAGATCATGGCTCTGAGATAAGACTTTGTGTTGGAGTCCTGTAGCTCAGTGGTTAGAGCACTCGCCTTGCAAATGAAAGACCTGGGTTCAATTCCAGGCAGGGCAAAACCTTGGGCAAGTTTCCTTACTCTACACGCCTAATAATAATCCCTCCAAAATAAAAAACAATAAATTGGTCATTTTTAATCCATGACTGTTTGTGGGACATTGCTGTGCGCAATTGGCTGCCGCGTTTCGCCCACAAATATATGGTCAATTCACTTTACAGTATATTCTGTGAAGCGCTTTGAGACGTCGAGAAGACGTGAAAAGCGCTATATCAAATGCAAGGATTATTATTATTAGTCAGTGCAGTCCTAGGGTTGGTGTGATATACGTTGAGTTCCCTTTAGGAGATGCACTTCAAATCCAGAGGCATTTCCCATTTACTCTGCTATTTGAGGGCTTCTTCAACCACTATAAAATTTGCTGTATCAACTGTTAAAAACAAATATGAGTTTAAAATATTCAACTCATACTCATTACTCCCCTCAGTGCATTACATAGGTATAAGATTATTTTGACTAAAAGTAATGGCACGTTGTAATATTTTGTAACAGGAAAAGATTGTTTGTAGCGGTTGCTTACTTTACCTGGAAATGTTCTTTAATGACATATGAATTTGCAATTTTAGCCTTGATGCCCTCGTAGTCCCCAACATCACTGATGCAGATAGCGTACCACTGTGGGAAGATAACACAAACATATTAATATCAGCGTCAAATACATCATGATATAATTAAACAGGACACGGAGAGCTGAGTGAGAAAAGCCATTCACCCAATGTAGCAGTAAACCTTAGAGGTGTAAATCCCAGTCTATCTGATCTAAACTGGAGCAGTAGATGTTGTGCTACAATTGGTCTCATTAGCCCTGAATTAAAAGAGAGCCAAAGATGGCTCATGCTTCCAACCGCTATCCAGAGACCCTTGCTGGAAGGTGTGTGTATACGTTTGTCAGGTGAAGATCTCAGCAACTGACCTCAAATGAATAATGTCCACTTTGGCAAGGCATTAGAAGGAAAACAACGCTTGTGGAAAAATACCCTAATAAAATGGAAAAGGAGTCAAAAGACTTCAGGAAAGAGGAAAAAAGTACATGTAAATTGTCTGTATTACTGACCTTATGAGCTGCAAAACTAGATTCATTTTTCTCAAGTGCCTTTTTTGCATATGTCAGAGCCTCGTATGTCAGCTTCTTCTTATTCTCTGTCGAGGTGGTCTTGAGCTGAGCCAAGTCACGCGATGCACGAGCTAAGCGCCACAGAATCTCACCGTTTTCACTGGATTGAAAGCATAGGGACCAAGTGAAACTACAAGTCAAATCGCATTTTTTTTTGCATTCAGAGTAATTACTCTTCTCCAACACCTTTCAGGCTCACACGCACATTAACATCATCATCATTTTTAGATGAAGTAGGTGGACAGAAAATTGGGCCTTTATCAGATGCATGAGAGCAGTTTGGCTTGACCTCTCCTGAGGAAGCACCTTGTGTCTGCACAGCACCTACTGCTAACCTTCAATGGTATGAATAGAATCAGGAACTTGCAGTCAAAAACTTACATCCTATCTTTCCACGGCATAATACATTGATCTATTGCACAACCTCAGAGTAGAATCCAACTTGGCAAGAATTCATTTTGCAGCTAAATATAATGACTTTGACATAATAATAATCCTTGCAATTGATATAGGTACGTCTTCCGAGACGTCTCAAAGCGCCTCACAGAATATACTGTAAAGTGAATCCACTGTATATTTTGTGGGCAAATTATGTTTCTCATCAGTAATGTGAAGCACATTAAGAAATTCTCTCAAGGTGAATGGCATAATATAAATGCAAATTGTAATTGTGATAATCCCTTTGGGTCCCACTGATCTCTTGCCAGAATGTCAATTATCCAGGTTTGAGATTCATGAGATTCACATCACAATTGTCTTCATTAACCTGATGAGTTGCACCTATGCCAATCACCACCTGCTAAATAAAGTGTCCTGGTTAGCAAACCCTACAATAAATTCGGCAATCACTTCATGGCTGTTTGTAGGACATTGCAATATGCAAATTGTTCGCTAAATTCACCTACAAAGCCACAGTCACTAGTCACAGCAATTACCTATGAAGCACTTTGAGACATTTTAACGTTATTGCGGCTATATCAAATGCAAGAATTATTATCATTACTAATCTAGGTGCTGTTATACCTGGAATTGCACTCGATAAGAAGCTGATAAAGTTTCTCCACTTCCCCAGTGCCATAAAGGTAGTCGGCTTGTTCTATAATGTCTTCAACTGGAAATACAACACAGGAGAAATACAACTTAAGATGAATAGTATTTTTTTCGGTAGTGCCGATTGAAAACAAATTCCAAAGATTTTGGCAACACACAATGCGTCTAGTGTAATTGTGGTTCTTAATCGAGGATGTTATTATATTTCGTACATGTGCAGAAAGCCTTGTGAGTGCAAAGGGTAAATATTTATTGTGTATGCAATATAAACCAATTGCATTTTTTTTGCATTCAGAGTAATTACTCTTCCCCTATACCTCTTCAGGCTCACACGGCTCTGCAATAAATATTTCCTAACATCTTACATTTTCACTTACAGTATTGAAAGAAGATTTCTACAGACGGGCACTACCAGTAACAGCAGAGACAAGCAATCCTTTCACTAGGTCATAGTTGTTTCAGCGCTCAGAATTCTAACGCAAATCTCCAAGACTGGGGTCTCCGCTTACCTTTTTCAATTGCACGAACAACCAAGCATTTTGGGATGTTTCTATAAGCTCCATAACCCAGAAAGGTCACTAATGTCAGAGTAAATCCTCTTCCTAAATGAATAGAGCCATCGAGAACCTACACAGAAAGAAGAAACAGTTATAGTTCCATGTAAGGGAGTCCCAAAGCAGGAAGAAAACTGCAATGATGTTTTAATGTTACATGGTACATGCCTGGTACACCTGTCACCTCCGCTCCCTAAAGGCGTGCTGCTGAAATCCAACTTAGCGATCCATCGTCAGATCTGACCAGACCTTTCAAAACTTACCAATCCGCTTCTCACCTCCATTAAATTGTCCTTTTACTCCAAGACAATCTTGGAGGCCAAGGACAACCCAGGCTCCTCCTCTCCATCACCGACCAGCTCCTCCGCCCACCCTCTCACTCCTCGCCCATCCTCTCCTCCAATGCCAACTGCAAGGAGATGCTGGACTTCCTTGAAATCAAAGTTGAGGGGATCTGCTCAGCTGCTCTGCCCTTGTGACTACTGTCCCTCCCCATCTACCCTTCCCATCCCGGCCCCTACCCATCCTTCCCTCCACACCTTCAAATCTGTCTCCGAACAAGTCCAAAGTCTCCTGATTGGCTTTCATCAGCTTATCCTATGAAGCACTTTGAGACGTCTCGATGGTGTGATAAGGGGCATATCAAATGTAAGGATTATTACTGTATTTGCTACTGGAGTCCTGTGGCTCAGTGGTTAGAGCACTCGCTTTGCAAGTGAGAGACCTGAGTTCAATTCCAGGCAGAGGGCGAAACCTTGGGCAAGTTTCCTTACTCCACACAGAGCCTAATAATAATCCCTCCAAAACCAAAAACAATAATAAATTGGTCATTTTCAATCTACAACTGTTTGTGGGACATTGCTGTGCGCAATTGGCTGCCGCGTTCGCCCACAAATATACAATCAATTCACTTTACAGTTTGTTCTATGAAGCGCTTTGGGACGTCCTCCCGACGTGAAAAGCGCTATATCAAATGCAAGGATTATTATTATTATTACGGCGTTATTATGATGGAAGGACGTCTCAAAGTGCTTCACATGATTTATTGTGAAATGTGTCTTTGTAGGCGAACGTAGAAGCACAATTGCACACAACAATATCCCACAAGCAGCCATGGAGTGAGTGACCAATTTTATTTGGGGAATGGTTGGCCAGGACACCGGAAGCAACTGCCTTCTCTTTTCGAATAGTGCCATGAGATCCTTAACATCCACCTGAATAGGCAAACAGGACCTCAGTTTAATATTTCATGTGAAGGACGGCATCTCTGACAATGCACCACACCTCCAACATTGGAGTGTCAGCTTAGACAATAACAACATTACATTTGTACAGCGACTTTCATGTCAGGAGAAGGTCCCAAGGTGCTGGACAGAGGGCACGGTTGTAGAAGAATCTTGAGATGGGTCTTGAAGGAGGCAAGAAAGGGGTCGAGGTGGAGGGACTGCGGGATGGAATTTCAGAGAGTGGCCGAAGAGCTGCTCGCCAATGGTGGGGCGGGCGAGGTGGAGGATGTGAAGCAGGCCGGAGCCCGCTGAGCGGAGGGAGTGAGCAGGATGGTAGGGGGGCAGCAAGACCATGGCGGGCTTTGAAGGTGAGGACCAGGATCTTGAACTGTATTCCTTTGTGTGATGGGAAGCCGGTGGAGTCGGGCAAGGATGGGGATGATAAGGTCATGGAGCCTAGTGCGGGAGAGGACACGGGCTGCAGAGTTCTGGATGATCTGCAGCCTGTGGAGGGAGGAGTTGGGGAGTCCGACAAGCAATGAGTTTGCATAGTTGAGCCTCGATGTAATGAAGTGTATGAAGGTTTCGGCGGCCTGAGGTGTGAGACAGTGGCGGAGCCGGGCGACATTGCGGAGGTGGGGAAGGCAGAGCGGGTCATGGCGCTGATGTGGGGTAGAAAGGATAAGTGAGGGTCAAACAAGTCCCCAAGGTTCCAGATTGGCTCAGTAAGGTGGAGTGTGCACCATGGATGGTGATGCTGTCAGCGCCTGAGGTGTAGAGGCGCTAACGGGAGCCAATCAGGAGAGCCTCGGTCTTGTTGACGTTCAACTGAAGAAAGTCAGCTCTCATCCAGGACTTGATGTCTGACAATGGTCCTGGAGTGAAGGGTGGAGGCAGAGAGGTACAGTTGGGTGTCATCCGCATACATGTATGACCCCATGTCTGCGGATGATGTCACCGGAGCCCTGAGGAATGCCGCACAAGACGGTGTGGGGGCTGGAGGAGAAGCCGTTTGTGGAGATGAAGTGGAGGCAGTGTGAGAGGTAGGATCTGAACCATTCAAGGACAGAGTCGCGGAGGTTGAGGTGAGAGGAGGTGAATGAGGATAGAGTGGTCGACTGTGTTGAAGGCAGCAGAGAGGTCAAGGAGGACGAGGAGGTAGAGGGAGCCCTGGTCGCAGATGGAAAGAAAGTCACTTTGGCCTGGGCTGTTTCTGCGCTGTGGGCGGCACATACCATATGATTCAAAATTGTGACTCGGAGGTGAGAGTGCTACCACTGAGCCAAGCTGACACCCACCCACTATAATGTATACCCCTGTACCCACTATATCATGTGTCTTGGAACATGCTCTTGACGTGAAAGGCGTTATACAAATGTAATTTGTTGTTCTTGTATACGTAACGTATGCACTATAATACACTCCTTTATGTACCCATTAAACATATATGCCTCCCTGCACCTTCTGAAAAATATGCACTCGCATCCACTATAACACATTAACCTCTCCAACTATTTTAATGTGTAACCTCTCCCCCTGTAACCACTTGAACATTGGCCCCATCCCCCATTTCCTGCTATTTGTTGGAGAGATCTGCTAAACAGGACTTTGCCTCTTCAGTCACAAGCACAGCGGCGCATTGCACATGACAACAAGTCAGCAGCCTGAGCACCAGAGAGAGAGAGAGGGAGAGCAGCCATCACCAGCAGTCACTCACTCAGTCAGTCAGTCTGTGTCTGCACAATATACCACGGCCCGTGCAACCCCCACACTGCTCTCACTCACTCTCTCTCTCACTCACTCACTCTCACCTGTACTGTACTGTACTGTACTGTACATGGGATTGTGATCAGGAAACTCACCGCCTGCCCCCGGGCTCGGCTCCTGCAGCCCCAGCAACTCACAGCCTCCAACAGCAGCCTCGGCCACCAGCACAGCACAGCCCTGCGGCCCCCGGCCATCACAGCACAGCACAGACCAGCACAGGCCAGGCCAGCACAGACCAGGCCAGCACAGCACAGCACAGGCCAGGCCAGCACAGACCAGGCCAGCACAGCACAGGCCAGACCAGCACAGCACAGCCCAGGCCAGCACAGCACAGCACAGACCAGCACAGACCAGCACAGCACAGGCCAGGCCAGCACAGCACAGGCCAGACCAGCACAGGCCAGCACAGGCCAGACCAGCACAGACCAGCACAGCACAGGCCAGGCCAGCACAGACCAGCACAGGCCAGACCCCCCCCAACACACACACAACCCCAACCCCCCACAGACTCCACCCCCCACCCCACAGACTCCACCCCCCCACCCCACAGACTCCACCCCCCACCCCACAGACTCCACCCCCCACCCCACAGACTCCACCCCCCACCCCACAGACTCCACCCCCCCCCACAGACTCCACCCCACTCCCCACAGACTCCACTCCCCACAGACTCCACCCCCCACCCCACAGACTCCACCCCCCACCCCACAGACTCCACCCCCTCCCCACAGACTCCACCCCCCACCCCACAGACTCCACCCCACAGACTCCACCCCCACCCCACAGACTCCACCCCCCACCCCACAGACTCCACCCCCCCACAGACTCCACCCCCCCCCACAGACTCCACCCCCACCCCACAGACTCCACCCCCCCCACAGACTCCACCCCCCACCCCACAGACTCCACCCCCCACCCCACAGACTCCACCCCCCCCCACAGACTCCACCCCCACCCCACAGACTCCACCCCCCACAGACTCCACCCCCCACCCTCGCACTCCTTTTCAAATCCCCTCATGCCCTGGCACCTCCCCGTTTCTCCGACTTGATTATCCCCCGACCCACAACCCGCTGCCTCCGCCTGACTGGCTCTTGTCCAGTCCCTCGTGCCCGTGTTTCCACCATCGGCGGTCGCGCTTTCAGCCACTACGCCCCGAAACTCTGGAGCACTGTTCCTTTATCCTTCCGTCTTGCCCCTTCCTTCCTTCCTTCCTTCCTTCCTTCCTCATCTTCAGGTCGCGCCTACGACTGTGCCTGCAGTCACCTCCCCCTCCCAACGGCTTTGGGATGCTGCCCTCCGTGAGGTGCGAGGCCCGCTTTATAAATGCAAACTGTTGTTGTTGTTGTTGTTACTGCTGTGACCAGAGTGCCCTTTGTGCGATGACTCTTTCTCCAAACTTACTTCAGAATTCAGAATTGGGACAGATCCCAATTAGTGGGAACACCCGACTATCTATTGTAACTTCAATTTACTTCAACTAATCCAATTCTAGTGTTATGTCCACCAGAGGGATTGAAAATTCTATTCTATTTTATTTAATTCTGAGCATTTAAGACCAGTCCTGGTCATCACTGACGTGTTATTCAATAAAACAATCACCGTTGTGCAAATTCAACCACAGTTGGAAGCGAGTGAACAGGAGTTGGTAAACCACAGATCAGGATTTCCTGCTTTGACTTTTACTCTATTCCCAGCAAGAAGGAAGTTCTGGACTGAGAGTTGGAATGAATGCCCTTTACACCCTGTCACTGGCTAGTTGTGATGATGTATGACGCTGAACACCCTGGACACTGGTCTCCCCAGCTCTTCCCTGCATAAGCTCCAGACATCTGCAGCGCATGTCCTCAACCATACCAGGCTCTGCAAATCTATCACCTCACCTTCGCTCAGCCCCACTGGCTCCCCATCACGCAGTGGATTGAATTGAAGATCTTTGTCCTTGCATTTAAATACTCTCACAGGCTTGCCCCACCCTACCTCTGCAACCCTCCCACCCTGGCCACCCTGCACTGCTTCTCGTCCCCCACCTGATCCACACCACTGTCGATTGGTGAACTTTCAGCCATTCTACCCCTGCACCGTAGAACTCCATTCCAGCGTCTCTCTGCTTTGCCCTTTCCTCACCACCTTTAAAGTCCACCTTAAGACCTTTCAACAACAACAACAAAATTAAATTTATAGAGCGCCTTTGATGTTGGGAGTACGTCCCAAAGCGCTGAACAGTCAGGTGTCGGGGCCCGGGTATGGGGGAGGAGTGGTGTAGGGGTCAGGGAAGGCAGAGAAGTGGGAGGGTGACCAAAGGCACGATCGAAGAGAAAGGTCCTGAGACCGGTCTTGAAGGAGGGAAGGGAGGAAGCGAGGCGAAGGGACTGTGGGATGGAGTTCCAGAGTGTGGGGGCAGAGAGGCTGAAAGCTCGGCTATTGATGGTAGGGCGGGTTGGGCGGGAGAAATGGAGCAGACCAGAGCCCAATGAACGGAGGGAGTGAGCAGATCAGAGAGGTAGGAGGGGGCAAGGCCATGGATGGCCTTAAAAATGAGAATGAGGATCTTGAACTCCATCCTCTGGGGGACGGGGAGCCAGTGGAGTCGGGCGAGGGTGGGAGTGATGGGGTCACGGAGCCTGGTGCGCGAGAGTACACGAGCTGCAGAGATTTGGATGATCTGCAGTTTGTGAAGGGAAGAGTTGGGAAGGCCGATGAGGAAGGAGTTCCCATAGTCGAGCCTTGATGTGACGAATACGTGGGTGAGGGTTTCGGCAGCCTGAGGGGTGAGGCAATGGCGGAGTTTGGTAGTATTGCGGAGGTGCTGGTAGGCAGTGCCGGTCGTGGCGCAGATGTGGTGGAGAAAGGACAGTTCAGGGTCAAACAGGACACCCAGGTTCCTGACTGGCTTAGTGAGGTTGAGTGTGCAGCTGTGGAGGCTGACTCTGCCACCACCTGAGGTGTGGAGACGCTGGCGCGAGCCAATCAGGGAGGCCTCGGTCTTGCTGACGATGAGTTGGAGAAAGTTATCCCTTGTCCAGGACTTGATGTCGGACAGGCAGTCAGTCAGAACACCAGTAGTCCTGGGGTTGAGGGTGGAGGCAGAGAGATAGAGTTGGGTGTCATCCGCATATTGTGGAAATTTATCCCATGTCTGCGGATGATGTCACCAAGGGGGAGCATGTAGAGGGTGAAGAGGAGGGGACCGAGGACAGAGCCCTGAGGAATGCTGCACAAGATGGTGTGGGGGCTGGAGCAGAAGCCGTTTGCCGCGACGAAGTGGAGGCGGTGTGAAAGGTAGGACCTGAACCAGTCAAGGACAGAACCTTGAAGGTTGAGGTGGGAGGAAAGGCGGTGGAGGAGGATTGAGTGGTCCACGGTGTCAAAGACGGAGGAGAAGTCGAGGAGGATGAGGAGGCAGAGGGAGCTCTGGTCACACATGGTCAGGATGTTGTTTGTGACCTTGACCAGAGCAGTTTCTGTGCTGTGGGCAGCACGGAAACACGATTGGAGGGGTTCATGGAGGAAATGAGGGGAGAGGAATGAGAGAATCTGGGAGGCAACGGCTCTCTCAAGGACCTTGGATAGAAAGGGTAGATTTGCGATGGGCCGGTAGCTAGATAGCTGTGATGGGTCGAGGGAAGATTTCTTCAGGGTGGGGGTGATGGTGGCTGCTTTGAGCAGGGAAGGAGCAGTGCCAGATGACAGGGAGAGGTTAATGATGTCCGCAAGTCGTGAGGCAAGGAGGTAGAGCTGGGATTTAAGGAGAGGGGTGGGGATGGGGTCGAGGGAGCAGGTGGTGGGCTTCATGGAGATTATGGTGGTGAAGACGGATCAGGGGGTGACAGGTTCAAAGGTGTGGAAGGAGGGATGGGTTAGTTGTCGGATGGGTAATTGTGTGGGGTAGGGGTAGGGAGGGGGTGGAAGTTGGGAGGGAAGTGGCAGCTGTGGATTCCCTTGATTTTGGACTTGAGAAAGTCCAGCATTTTCTCGCAGTGAGAGTCAGAGGAACGAATCTGCGAGGCGTGTCGGGGAGGATGGAGGAGCCGGTTGGTGGTGGAGAACAGGAGCCTGGGGTTGCCCTTCGCCTCCAGGATTAACCTGGAATAGAGGGACGATTTTGCCGAGGCGAGAGCGGAGCGGTAGATTTTGATGAGATCCACCCAGATGTGGAGGTGGACCATTAGGCCGGATTTGAACCAAGTGCGTTCGAACGGCTGCCCGCACCTGGCCCTTAAGTGGCTGATGAACCAGGGTGAGGATCGGGAATAGGAGGCAGTTCGTGAGGTGAGGGGGGCAAGGGCATTGAGTGTGGTGGAGAGAGTGCTGTGGAGGAGAGTAAGCACAGCTTTCATTTCAACAGTGGTTTTGGTCAGATTTCTCGAACTCCTTCCTCTACTCTTCATACCAGCTTGGGCTTCCAGCCAGCTCTGTGAAACATTTTGAGATGTTGACTTGTCCGTCTCATGATCTGAACTTGCTCACATTCTACAAGACACGTTTGCTAATAATCTGATTCACTGACTTACAACATCACATCCTCCAAAGACAGTCTTGTGTTCTGCTACTTTCACAAGAGAGACCTGCTGTATGTTTCTCAATACTTTGTGGGATCAGGTTCACCGCAGTCTTGATTTGTTCTGTAGCAATAACATTACGTGACAAGGGAATTGTATGAAGAGCCAGATTCTCTATGCGGTTTTGCTATCAAATTTGTTACAAATATATTGAGATATTAAACGCCAGAAAAGGATATATTGCAGCTGTTGTTTTGGTTTCTGACCTTTGGTTAGATTTTTCTTAGCCAAGAAACAGCCCCAAATAAAAATGTTGATTGTGATCACAACATCTGTTTTTCATCTGCAACCCCATTCTCCAATTTAAATGCTACTGTTTTATTTTTCATAAACTATATCAAAATACTCAATTAGATTAAAACCGTGGTCTAATATTATAACTTTTGAATGTTTTCTATCGTTTCTCTATGGTTCCAAGTGTCAAGTGTTTGACAGAAACCTCTTTAAAACTATGTTGTTCTGCATGGTTTTATTGCTTTGCATCTGACATTGTGTTGTCTTGTTGGGTGGAGACCCTGTTAGAAAAAGAACATGTATGGTGGATAAACAAACATGATAATAATATTAATAATATTTACAATCCTTGCATGTGATATAATGCCTTCTTACATAATTTAAGCACTCTGGGATGCTACCCCTAGTGAAGGGTGTATATGAATGCAGTTGTTGTTGTCTCAAAGTGCCTTCACAGGATTTTATTGTATAACGTAGTAACTATGTTTTTGTAGGCAAAACATGAAGCCAAAAGATTGTATATATATCAACAATGTATTATGAAAAGACAAAGGCAGGCAGTAGTATACTTTTCAACAACATCAACAAAATTACATTCAAGTCTGACTTTGATCCGTAGATAGCTTCAATATTTTGCAAACGACCTTGCGGTTATAATAATAATAATACTTGCATTTAATATAGCACTTTATCATGTCGTTAAGATGTCTCAAACCACTGCACAGAATACATTGTAAAATGGATTGACTGTGTATTTTGTGGGAGAATCCCAGCAGCCAATTGCACATAGCAGTTTCCCACAAACTGTCGTGGATTGAGTGACCACATTTTTTTTGATTCCTTTGAATTTATTGTAGTATGTGCAAACAAAACCTTGCACTCATACAGAACCTTTCATGCACAAGAACATCTCAAAGCACTTTACAGTGACAGGATGGGAGTTTGAGCAGGGTGGGATATTCGGGTCGGGGGTTGTTACAGGAGAGGGGTGGCCAAAGTTAGTGAAAGAGATAGGTTTGTGGACAGGTTTTGAAAGCAGAGAGAATTTCAGGGATCTGTGCTCTACAAATCAAATTAGGATTCAGCAGTACCCAAGCTTAAAAGCCTGATTTAAATATATGTTGACATAAATCTATATTTTAAAGGGACCAATTATCCATTTATAATCACCTTCTGTAGAATATCATGTTAATATTAAAAAAGAAACTAAACTCAGCAAATAAACACTCCCTCATCTAATGTAATTGCAACCAAGTTAATCACTAACGCTGAGAGTCATAAGTAATTAAATAAGTAGAAGTGAGTAACTATAGGCAAAGGTAGTTCATCAATCTTCACACAGATAGGACATCACCTGAGAAAAGCACAATGGACAAACCCACCAAAACCAAGTAATCTTGTTTTTTTAAAAACATTCTGTGGTTAATAGAATTGCTTTTAAACCAAATGTTTTTGATCCTATAAAGTGCTGCACTGTATTTGTTAAATGTTATGTTTTATAATGTTATGATGTTGATAAATACAGTAAACTCCTGAACACTCATCATTCCATGAGAAAAGGGCTCCGTGATGAGTTGTCTGGAGTGGTGAGTTCGGCATATGTATAAATACATAAACATATACAGCCTTAAGACTTAAGTGGTAGTAACAAGTTTAACCGGGGTAGAGTTATCAGGAGTTTACTGTATACCGGTGGTGATCATCTTAAATAAGGTAAGGAGTTTGTGCTGCAAATAGAAGTCAGAATTATTGCATAAATCTTTGAAATTACTTCTATGAATATTTGGAAACAATATATTCAGAAGATTTTACAGTTCCATTGTGTAGTTTTTAACAATTGTCGTATTCTACAGAAAAAATATTGGTGTAAGAAGTGAATTGGCAATGTTTTTTATAGAATCATAATAAAATAGATTTTTGAGAGTTGTAAAAAGATATTAGCAGGAGAAGATTAATACTGATAAAGTGTATTGTGACGGTTTGTTCATATTTCCTTATTAGTGAAAGTAAGAAAGTGTGTTTAATTCGTTAAACAAATACCCCGAGATTTGTAGTTCTAGAAATTGCAGGAAATTGGTGAATGATGGAAAAGCTTAAAAGCCATTGATACTTACAGCAGCAATTCCATCAGAGCTTGGCAAACAATATCAGCAGCTTCCATTCTCATGCCCCAGGGGAAGCTAGTGAATATTAAACAAATAAGAGTTGTAGATCCAAACATTTTTGACAACCTTTGTCCCACTGCATTGTCATATCTGAAAGTATTATTCTAGGTTGAATTAATCCTATTAAGCAATTAATAATGCAAGGATTATTATTAATATACCTGTATATGCCATTTCGTTTTACAAGGTTCTGAAGGTGTGCTGGCTACCATTTAATAATCTTCTATTTGGCATTAATGATTGATTCCATTAGTTTTCAATTATTGAGATAAGGATAGGCCCCATAAGCCATAACAGATTAATCAATATTGATCAATATTGGGATCAATCTGTGATTTCTAGACATGGCTCTATCATCTTTCTTGGATTTGGGAACCATATTTGCTTGTCACAGCAGTGTGATACATGTACAGAGGCGTTCAGTATGTGTTTATGAATCCACCTCTTTTCTATTGAAAGGCATGTGGTTAGTTGAACACAAATTCCCTGACTTGGAATAAATGTAGGTAATCTGCAAATTCAACCAAACCGATGAATTGAGGTCATTTCAAGTTCAAAATTGGTCTCACTGATGATTCTACTATATCAAATATAGAGTCTCTATCTTACACTTTATTTTTCCTTCAGTGAACAGAGGACAACAGGGGAAGATTTCTTTCTCTTGGGATTTAAAATAGAGATCATGTTGCTGAATGCTATCATTCGTGAGACACAGTATGTTGTTTACATAAACACTGTCATACAAGATGAGGCATTCAGTAACTTGGTGTAACTTGTGTGTCCTTGGGCACATGTTTGCTAAGGGACGGTAAGAAAGCAGATGTTAAGTGAGTTTAGCTGTGTAAATGATTATGTGCGTACATATCCATAGCTGTAGGCAGGATTATAAAAATAACTGTTTGAACTGGAATTCAAAATGGCTCAACAAATCTTATACAGTAAAGTTGGGCAGAAACAAGGGAAAATCCTGCGGGATGGGTATACAGGCGAACATGTTATGATTCATAACAGATTTGATAATTAATGAACCTGTTATCATATTTTGCTATTAAACATTCTGGAGTTCTATAGGGCAGGGCTGTCCCTCCTTTTGCCTGCTGAGGGCCGGATGCTCTATTTGAGAGATGTCGGTGGGCCGAGTAAGCCATATTTGTGTGTTTCCTTTCCAGAAACATAACATAATATTTATGGTTTATGGAGGGAGCGGGTGGACCAGATGAAATGGAGGGAGGGATGGGGTGGATGAAATCGGTCCATGGGCTGCCAGTTGGACCACACTGTTTTAGTATATTGGTTACAGCAATCTCCTCCCAAGTGAGAGGACTTGGGTTCGATTCTCAGGCAGGACAAAACCTCCTTACTCCACATGCCTCTGTTTACCTAGCAGTAAGTAGAAACCCAGTTGTTAGTTGATTAGCGGATCGCTTTCCGGAGCTAATAAATCTTTAAAAAAGATTAATAAGAAGAATTTGGTCACTTAATCCATAACTGTTTGTGGGTCATTGCTGTGTGCAATTGGCTGCCACATTTCGCCCACAAAATATAGTCAATTCACTTTACAGTATATTCTGTGAAGCGCTTTGAGATGTCTCAACGACATGATAAGGCGCGATATCAAATGCAAGGATTATTATTAACATCAGTTTTTCTATGTACTCCTAAAGATAAGCAGTGGAGCTAAGCCTCCCCGACTTCAGCACACTGATCAGTTCCACGATTTCCATGATGATGCCTTGGATTCCCGATAGATATGTGTTGTCAGAGTCAGAATCCAAGCACGATTTTATTGGATACCGATGGAGCTAACTAAGCAAGGAGCATTAAAACTCAGGGATCAAAAGTAACAAAGGCAGTAATGAAATCTTTAGGCCCAGTGAATCGATGGCAGGAGGAATGTTAGCTTCAAGAATAGATGAAAAGTATAATATTTCCTAAAAGATTCAATAATAGATTAGAAATTATTAAATCTGTTCTGAAACTACATTTTTCACCTTACCGTATATTTTGCTTTGTGGTTCAGTTATTTAAAGGTACCACACAGAATGGTACTTGTACAGCCTGCACCAATCGTCTGGTTGAGCATATTTTTGCAGGATTGAAGATATATCTCCATCTCCAAGTCTAGCTTGGTTTCGCTGCCATGGCAATAGTAACCACTTTGACTAAATGTTTCATTACCCCAGTTCGTGGATATTGCCAGGATATTAAACAAGTCTGACAAAATGGGAAAGGGGGTACCACACCTGATATTAAGCTTACTCACCATTAATCTTTTACTCCAGCAGAGATACCAGGGTAAGAATCTCACAATCCCACCAGTTCTATACGACACCAATCTGCCTGGCCAGCCATGTGGTTTTGTCTTCAGGTGTCTTTGTTCCCTTGCCCACCCTAGCTGCCTTCCACATTGCCAGTTCTCAGAGTTGGTTGGACCATTGAGGAGTTACTCTGTTTTAAGTGTTATTGCAAATGGGTTCAGTTGAAGGCCATTTGATCTTGTATAGCAATAAGAGAACATTTGGTGACTTTCCAAATACTGTATTACATTGTCATTTATCAACAATCTGCTTGAGTCATAACCTTCATTATAGTGAGTGATGAAATTTGCTTTAAATAACTCCAGCTCTCCACTTCTTTACGAACCGCCAAATTTGATTAATTTAAATAAGCACTCCAGGTTTTGGAAGCTAATTGCTGTTTACCACTGATCTGTAAAGAACACTGAGAATATTGTTGCAGCTGTATGTCCATCCATAGCTGTAATTTTGCAGAGTTGCAGTTATGAGTTTCAGTAGAACTTCTGATAAAATAAACCTAATAATAATAATAATCCTTGCATTTGATAGGGCACCTCTGATGTTGGGAGGACATCTCAAAGTGCTTCACAGGGTTTACAACAACAACAACAAGAAAATTACATTTGTAAAACGCCTTTCACATCAGAAAGACGTCCCAAGGCGCTGAACAGTCAGGGATCAGGACCCGAGTGTGGGTGTGGGGGTGGGGCGCAGGGTTGGGATGAGAGAGAGCAAAGAGGTAGGAAAGTGGCTGAAGGCATGGTCGAAAAAGAAGGGTCTCCTTTTCCGTTTACTGTAAAGTGCAGTGATTGTGTATTTGCAGGCAAAGGTTAGTTTATTTGCAAATAGATATGCAAAAAACTGTATTTGCATATTTGTATGCAAATACAAAAGCTGTGTATTTGCGTACAAACTGTACAAACTGGCATATGGTAGCAGAATCTGTAAACATTTGAAGTTCATAATTTTCAAATTAAATCTCCGAGCCAAACTTTTCACTTTTCCTGTCTGCTACAAAAGAGATTGATCTTCTTACAACATAAATAAATTAAACATTTGGGCAGATATTTATTCTTAAATGGGGCCAATTTCTCCCTGGACTGTTAATCTCTTTGAAGCTTTTTGGATATTTCCCACATGTTAGCTCTAGTGGATGGGTAAGCTCCATCTTAGGCTTTGATATGTTGATTGGCATCCGCCTGTTTCTACGTTCCTAAATACCAGTGTGATACATTCCAATCCAAATACAGAATGTGCTGTACAATACTTCAATTAGAAGGCAGACTAAGCTTTTTCACTTTAACCTGATTAAACATGATTCAGTACTTTCTGTCCCTGATATCTTCTTCCTACAAACAGCTTCAATAGGACAATAAGGACCTTCACATCCCAGCAAATTCTGCTCACAGCAATAACCTGCCCTAATACACTAAGCCAGTGTACGACAGTGTGTATACTTACTACTTTCCCATACACCCTCCCCTGCTCTACCCTGTGAACCATTTGATAGGTAGTAGGTAATTAGAATATGCATAAAACTAACAAGAATGGCTGATCTTGAATGGTTAGATCCAATATTTGTCTTGCAAAAACCAATTATAGCAGACAAAAAACTATTACTGTATTCCACTCCAACCTATCACACAGTTGTGTGTTAGTCTCATCTACCTATTACTTTCTGATTATTTGCACATGATGTGAACCAATTATCAAGAAAACTGAAACTCCCTCCAATATCCATTGTGAAAATCTGAAAAATAATCAGTAAACAAACACGAAGGATGTGGTTATAGTTACATGAACATAACAGACTGGAATAACTTGTTGGGAGCCAAGGGTAGAATGCAACTCACTACTGCTTGAGTCCATTGAAAAGTGTTATCAAATTTCTAAAAACAGAGGTAGCTCAAGGAAAATAAGCAAATTTGTGCAACGCAATGGAGCCAGATGCACCATCGAAGTAAGTACTGAGAGTTAATAAAATATACTTTATTCAAAATGAAAGAGGATTTGGGTGAATTTATTGGAGCTTTTGATCTAATAAGTGTGAGAATTGTGGAAACTTACTCAGAAAGTGATACTGCTTTAGAAAATTTTGCTCCATTTGCTTTTTGTAACAAATTAGTTGCTAAGTGCAATTCTCCTCAATTTGGTAACATGGAGCAAAGGGGTCATTTTCCCCTTGTAGATAAATTTACTGACGAACAAATTAATTTCAAGATCCTAACACACGTTTTCGGATTTCTTTATGCTACCACCTCTCCACCTGTCCGTCCTGTGTGAGGAGCACTATATGCAACAACAATATAAAATAGTCATCAACATGAAATAGTCACAAATAGATCAAATAATAATAATAATCCTTGCATTTGATATAGCGCTTTTCACGTCTTCTAGACGTCCCAAAGCGCTTCACAGAATATACTGTAAAGTGAATAGACTGTATATTTGTGGGCAAGAATAGGGAAGTTAGAAGAAATTGTTGAAGCAAATAGCATAGATGTATTTAAGGGGAAGCTAGATAGGTACACAAGGGAGAAAGGAATAGAAGGTTATGCTTGAAGGCTTAGTTGAGGAAGGGCAGAATAGGAGGTTCATGTGGAGCATAATCACTGGCATAGACCAGTTGGGCCGAATGTCCTATTTCTGTGCTGTATATTCTAACGTATTCTAACAAGCTGTTATTGTTGATGGAATGCCATTTTAAGTGCATGTTGCTAAAAGTCAATGTATTTAGCCACAACGGGAGAAGCAATAAGGGGATTAATGGTCAGAAGCTGTGATTGAAGCATAAAACATCAACATATTTAAGAGCATACAAAGGAGAAGGGAATAGAGAGGTATGGAAATGGACAAATTAAGAGGGGTGGAGGCTTAAGTGGAATATAAATACCAAGCCAAATGGACAGTTTTTGTTCTATGTAATTCAATGTAATTTTAGATCTAAGATGCACCTCTATTACGTACAACATTTGGGAACTATATTAATGAGAGAATCTAAACTGTCTCAGAGAGTCAAAAATGCAGCATTTGCAACTGGAAGTCAATGCACTGTTTATCATTACTGTTCTGTACCCGAAATTGTGTAATTCATGTAACAAATTCACTAAAACTATTACCGTGACTAACTCCCCACCCCAAATGCTGGCAAAATCCATTATGGCATTCTGCTTTCCAACCATTTATCTGTGGATGTGGGGCTATTCGTGATTTGTAAAGAAAAAGACCTCTGTTGTGGAAAAAAGAAAGTGCAATTTCAGTGTCTTCTGAATTGTAAATGTTGTATTATAGACTTCCAGATTACTTCAAATGTGAAGGACAGAACTACATCTAGAGCTGATCGCAGGCAACAGTTTTTTCTGCTAAACAGAGTATCAATTATAATCACTTTTGAATACAATATCTGGGGTTTGTTTGTAGGAATGTTAATCCATTAACATTATTCCCTATGTGTATTATGTGGCTCAGGATTGTCTCGGCTTCCCGATTGTTCATGAATTTTGCTTTTTCCTTCAGAAAAGGTGTATTCGCTGGCATTAAACTGAAGAAAAAGAAAAAGGAGAAAGGTTTAATCATAGCAAACAAAGGTGCACTGGGTAAGGCCTTGAAAATAAATATCACATGGCAGGTGATAAGCAATATAAATAGCACACTATGAGATGAGACATATGGGTGGAGTTCTGAATCATTGGTTTAGAATTGGGGGGAGAGAGGGGTATCTCATCTTCAGTGTTTGATGTGGCAATGGGTAAGAGAATTCTAGAGCCAGTGTTCTAACATGATTCCTATTGTAAATCAAGTGGCAATCCTCCACCATACGTAAACAGTTCACAACTGTGCCAAAGGTGCAAAGCCCTAGATGTCACAAACTTAAGTGCCTAATTTTCTATGGCTAAAGAATACCTGATGGTAAATTGGCCTTAGAGCGATGCTAGTTTGTCCAGCATTTAAGGGGAAAACTTCAGAAGGAAACCCTTTATCCCACTGTGTCTGGGCCATATGTTATTTATAATTTGTTATTTATAAGACACAAGATTGGTCTGGATAAAGAAGATCCTTCAGTCCATCCAATCTCATCCCTCTAGAACATCCCACCCTAGCATCCCCCATCACTGCATCAAGTTGTGTTTTACATTTTGTACCCCTCTATGAGGTCCCCTATGAGTCATCTTCTCTCAACACTGAAGAGCCCTAGTTTGTCTAATCGTTGGCTCATAGTTCATTCCAGCGTCTTGGGACTTCCTCCCTACGAGAAAGGCGCTATACAAATGTAATTTTGTTGTTGTTGTTGTTGTTGTCTGGGAATCTAAACTCAACTGGTTTAGCAATGTAGCTGATTATCCTATTTTTCTTGTTTATTGCTGCCTTACATTGTTTTGACATAGTGAGCGATGGATGAGTCAACTGAGGCCACTAGATCTCTTTCAGCTTCCCACTTCCCAAAGTTCAATCCCATCCACAGAGCACTTGTGTTTCCTATTCTTGGATCCTATATGTAGTACCTTGAATTTATCTGCATTAAACTTCATTTGCCAGTACTCAGTTCCCCCAAAAATGGTGTCATCTGCAAATTTAAATATTTTACACTGGGTCTGCGAATCCAAGGAATAGGAGAGGTTCCAATACAGTGCCCTGAACCATTGCTTAGTTCCTTTCCCCATTTTGACCTAACTCTCCTAACAAATATCTTCTGTTTCCTTTCCATCGACTAATTCTGAATCAAATCTATGTCTTGCCTTGATACCCAGTGACCAGTCTGTGTAAGAGGCTTTCATGTGGTACTTTATAAGTACCTTTTGGAAGTCGAGATATACTACATCATAGGGTTTCCCCACAATCAACAGCCCTTTGAGTGAAGAAATTTCTTTTAATTTGCTCCTTTCAGCTAACAATTCTGATTGTACCTCTTGTCATCAATTGCTTAAGGAAATAGATTTTCACTATTTACTTTATCAAGCACCTCAATCAGGTTCCCTGTCAATCTCCTCTGTTCCAGCGGAACTATCTCCAATTTAATCAACCTCTAATCATACTTATGGGAATTATCATACCTGTATCATCCCAGTGAATCTGCACTGTAACTTCTTCATTTAATAATAATCCCTCCAAAAAACCCAAAACAATAATTAAATTGGTCATTTTTCAATCTACGACTGTTTGTGGGACATTGCTGTGCGCAATTGGCTGCCGCGTTCGCCCACAAATATACAGTCAATTCACTTTACAGTGTGTTCTGTGAAGCGCTTTGGGATGTCCTCCCGACGTGAAAAGCGCTATATCAAATGCAAGGATTATTATTATTATTATTATTAAAACAGTTTAGTTTGTGTTTGCAGGCTAAAGTGAGAGCAGTCCCACAAACAGCCATGAAATGAACATCCAATGTATCTGGGGGATTATCAGAAAGGATACTGGGACAAACTCACTTTTAGTTCAAGTGCAATTTATACCACCAGTCTAGGATGTTATGTATCCTATTTGGAATTTGCAGCATTAGTCAAGGTAAACAATTTGAAGATTAATTAACAAAATATTCCTTGCATTTCATATGGTGTCCATAACATTGAAATGCCTCGAACAGTTTATGGGTAGTTGCTGTCAAGTGCAGTTTAGATTGTGTTTGCAGGCTAAAATGGGAGCAGGTCCCACAGACAGCCATCCAATTCATCCAATGAATGGTTCAATCCTAGTCTGTGATTTTTTCCAGGTGATCTTGATGATTCTGATGATATGCTGGATGGTTCTGAAATCACTGGTCAAGATGCCTATGACAATTATGAGGATGAAATTTTATTGAATAAAAAGAGTAGCAAAAGGTAGGTGATCCTGACATGTAAAACCAGTCCCCAGTATAGCTTGGTGGTGGTAGTCTGATAACATTTTAAATGATAAAGCAAATCTAACCTATGAACAATAATGACATGGTAATGCATTTTTTTATGAAATTGTGAGATTTCAGTCGATAATTATTGATTGTTTTCAAATCTACCCTCACACTCTATGGCCAAATGGTCCGTTCCCTAGGGGCTGCTTATAGGATTATGGCCTCCGTCTTTGAACTATAATTTTATCGACTTGACGGCAGCCTCTATTATTGGCTGAGTTACTGCAGTATCTGATTTTAAGTGGAGAAAATTTGCCATTCTTTAATAAATCTGAATAACAGAATCGATAGGTAAGGTAACTGTGATGAATTGATTCTCAAAAAATATTTGTAAGGGATCACTTATAGCAAAGATTATAATACATAGAATTAAGCGGAATTTCACCACATGAGTTGAGAGATGGTTGGAGGACAGAAAGTAAAGAATATAGGTAAAAGGGAATTTCCCAGACTGGAAAGTCATAGTGAGTGATGTCAAACAGGGTCTGTGTTGGGGAAACCTCTATTTACTATATACAGAAGAAATCTGGAAATAGGAATTGAAGGAACAACATCAACATTTCCAGATGACCTTAAATTAGAAGTATGTCAAACTGTAACAGGATTGTGAAAGACTGCAGCCGGACATGAACAGTTTAGCAAGATGGGCAGATACATGACAAATGCAGTCCAATGCTAAAACCGTAGTATTATTGACAGAAAAAATATGTCTCTTAAATAATAACATTTTAAATGGAGTAGAGCAACAAAGAAACCTTAGAATAGTTACAAAGGTTAAACTTGTACAAGTCCTTTGTTAGATCATAGTTGGAGAAATGTGTGTAGTTTTGGGCACCCCATTATAGACAGAGTATGAAAGGAATACAACAGCTATAAGATGAGTGCACCTCTAGGATATAACAGTGATTAGATGTTCCAGCTATGAAGAGAGACTTTAGAATTTAGGGTTTTACCACTGGAGCTGGGTTAAGATCTTTCCTAATAGAGGTTTTCAAAAAATTATAAAGGGTTACGAAAGGGTAAATAACAACAACAATTGTCTACCTTTTAGTAATATTTCCACTGGTCGGCAAGCAGGTTGCAAATAAATTCTTTAAGAGATGGTAGTTACAATGTGGAATTTGCTGCCACAAATTAAGAGTCTATGCATTCTTTGAAAAGGGAATTGGATAAATGCTTAAAGAGGAGAGCAGAGGAGCAGAAGAGAGGAAATAGATTGGCAAACATGGAGAAAAAGACAAGAGTCCAAATGGGTTATGCTGTAACATTCTGTAATGTCCTGTGATTCTAGATCAAAACCAGTTTCCAGAATACATCCCACTGATAGCAAGACCCATCATTTTCAGGTGAGAAGACATTTTGATCGATTTCTGCATCTTTTGAATGATTAATCATCATGTAAAGTTTGAAATGTAATCACAAACCCTCAATACTTGTTTCCTGTATCTATCAGATTGCGATAACCATCACTGAAGCTCGCCAGTTGGTTGGGGAAAATATTGACCCCACAGTAATAATTGAGGTTGGTGATGAAAAGAAGCAGACAACAGTTAAAGAGGGAACAAATTCACCCTTTTACAATGAGGTAAGGTATTGAACTAGACCTTTCACTTCAGTAAGCACTGCCTCTGTTGTCTACATGATGAATCAGACCCGTATTAAGGGGAGAATGTTGAGGGCATCTGTCCAGGGTCTTTGGAGTTTTTTGGTGTTATTGAAAATAGATGTCTGACCAATCCCATGGACATTTTTGAGAAGATGACATCCCATGGGAAAGCATATAAGGTAGTATACCTAAAAGTTCCATGAGGTTTTTGACAAAGTACCTCAGAAGAGATTCCTTTACAAACCAATGTCATTGGGCATTAAGGGTAAAATATAAATGTGGATGTGTATCTGGCTAAGAGAAGAAGACAATGAGTAAAGTACATGAGGTAGTATATCTAAATTTCCATAAGTGGAGCTAGTTCAAATATGGGGTGGAGGGTGGTGGGGGGAGATGGGATATTGAATGGGTGCCTCAGGAGTTTGTGCTGAAACCCTTCCTGTCCTTTAAAAATTGTAATGAACTTGATTTCTGGACTCAGTGCAAAGTAATACCATTTTCAGATGAAACCAAATTAGGGAGGAAAATGTGGAATCAATGGAAGAAGGCAAGATCTTGTAAGGAGCTCTCAATAGCATTTATTTATGCAAATTACCTTCTGTGAGCCTAGACAAGTGTGTGGAATGTTAGGTGCCTTTCAATTTGATTTGCAGCTCCACTAGTTACCCAGGATTATGAAAGAAAGGCATCAGTCTAACCCCTTTAACATCACCACAATTATCTGTAGCAAAGCCAGCAGACACATCTTGGTATGTAATTGGCTGTACTGCATAGCTGCTTTAAATACTTACTGTATTCAATGTGTTTTGTTTCCACAGTACTTTGTGTTTGATTATATCGGCCCACCGGAGATAATGTTTGACAGAATTATTAAACTTTCAGTGAGTATTCATATCAATTATGCACTCATTAAACACAATTTTGTAAACAGCCAAATAAAGTTGTGCAACTCGTTATTTTGATTTTCATTATTATTTAAGAAGAGAATCGTTTCTAAAAATCATTTTTTGAAACATACATTCTGCAGCTTAGCTTTGGAAAACAAAAAATATTTATATAGGACTTTCACCCAGGAGAAAGAATGGGTGGCATGAAATCCATAATGTACATTTTGTATAATCTGTGTAAGGAAAGGGATTGATGGTCATTTATCATTCTACGTGAATTTGACTGTAATTTGTGTTGTATCCATTATTTATTAATCTAAACTCTGGTGTAAACATGCAGGTCTTGCATTCCAAGTTGATCCGTGGGACACTAATTGGATCCTTTCAATTGGATGTGGGAACAGTTTACAATGAAACAGGTACAGTGTTAAATTGAATGTATCCTTAGAAAGCACAATGGGCTTCATTTTGAAACGTTTGCAAACTGCTTTCGATTTGCAAATTTCACTTCTGATTTGTATACATTGGACTGTGAGATTTGCAAATGCAAAAAACTGTTATAGTCCCAAAGAAAGACTTGTTAACAAAATACCAGCATATCATCACATCGAATGTGATATGCAAAGATCCCAAATAAAGCCTTGTTTCATTATTTTTGATTTTCATACATTTAAATTAGAAATATTAGTGTAAAATTTGTGGTGTTCTATAATCTAACCAAATGCTGGTGTAAATTATCTCCCCAATTTTCAGTGTTTAGTATAAAAATATTGTTAGATTCAAACTAAATATGATGTAATGTATTAAATCTCACCCCTTCCCTCTTCTTCCGGAACACTTCAAATTTTACTCAAACGTTAATAATAATTATAATTCTTGCATTATCAAAATGCTTCAAAGTGCCTCACAGGATTTACTGTAAAGTACAGTGATTGTGTATTTGTAAGTGATATATTAAAGAATGAATGTTCTTCGTCGAAGGGAGAAAATCCCAGCTTGATAATATCAGTCTTTCGTTAGACTGAGTTGTACAATTTGTATGTTTCATTTATTTTCCTTTAAGGTATTTATCAGCTCTTTTCAATTTCTGTGGCCAGCACATCAATATAGTTCCTCCCACAGCTCCAGCATATCCATCCCATCTCATTCCCATCTCACTAGGACTCTGGATCAAATGATAACATTCCAGGGTTTTGCTCTTGTGTAAAGCCTGACTCATGATATTATTTTCAACTCTAGATATGACGAATGTGATTCTTTATGGAATAGCTGTAAAGCCTGGACCAGTGACAGTCACAGTCTTAGGTTTAATGACTGCAGTACTATTTGCTGAGCACATTATATATCATTGAGAACAAATGATATTTACTGCTGGAGAAACCACATACCTCTGACCGTCAGTCATATTTCTCTATTGACTATTTCAGAACTCTGTGGCTATGGGCATTGTAGGTGGAGAAGGAGCACCAGGGTAATAAAGATAACAACATAAGAACATTAGGAATAGAGAAAGGCCTTTAGGCATTCGGTTACCACTTGGCTAGATGTAAGGCCGTTTTAAAGGGTGCTCTTCTCGAATAGAGCCACAACCATGACTGGGGTCACGTATTCTCTCTGCAGACCTGGAGAGGTCTATCTTAATTTGCCAGCTCAGAGAGCCTCTGTGTGCTGACCCATCGCTTGTATTGCTGGATCACAACCAGTACAGGCAACAGTACGTCTGATTTACAATTTTATCCCAAGTCATGAGTGTAAATGATACAGCATCATCAGTCTGAGAGCGAATATTTGTAATGTAACATGAATCAAAGTACACTTGCTGATTGAATCGATTTCACCTCTTCTCGCCTCCAGGCCATCAATTCTGCGACAAGTGGGCAGCCCTGACTGATCCCAGTGATATCAGGACTGGGGTGAAAGGTTACCTGAAATGTGATATTTCAGTTGCTGGGAAAGGAGACAATGTCCGACCTGCTCAGAAAAACAACGAAACCGTCGATGAAGAGATTGAAAAGTATGGCTTCATTATTGTTCTCGCTTTGGAAAAGATTAAAGAGAACCAGAAAAATAGTATGTACAGCTTCAAAGACTCACTTATTTGCTCACATTTGCAGCACTCTGAGATGCTATCTTGCATGAAGGGAAATATATAAATGCAAGTTGTTGTTGCTATGGCAGCACTGAGCGCTTTCATAGTGAGCTGCGCATCGGTAAAAATTGGTGCTTTTCAGCATGTCATTAAAACGAAAACAACATAGAGCGCCCAAACATGTCAAAATGAATATATTTATATCTTTTCAACAAACTGAATACTTCTTGGAAGAATCTAAACAGCGATTTCAATTTTAACAGTGATTAACGGAGAATTGTTTAAAAATCCTGATGTCCAATGTTTGTTCTGACAGGAATTTGCTGCTTCCAGTTGGATTTCCTACAGAGAGACCTTGGGCCAGGTTTTTTGTCAAGATTTACCAAGCCCAGGGACTTCCAAAGATGAACTCCAGCCTCATGGCGAATGTTACCAAAGCCTTCATGGGGGACAATAAAGACCTTGTGGACCCCTATGTTATTGTCACCTTTTCTGGACAGCAGGTATTATCATTAAAGCTTTACGTTATAATTTTGGCGCAACTTGAATGGAGTCATGCACAGGCCTCTCTGGCTGTTTAGCTCTATATATGTCTCTCTATTGCTAACATCGGGGTTAATTTAGCAATCCATTCAATACTGAGTACATTGAATGGACGTATGTGGGTTTGTGTGTGTGTTATGACCCTCCCCAATGGTGAAAGCCCTGAAGCTGGGTCTGTGGGATGAGCTTACGCCTGATGGTTGGCAGGACACCAGTGATTTACTGGTGGAAAATCAGCAACTCACACAGCAGGACATGGCCTCACTGCAGTCAGTAAGCTCACTATCCTAGAGCTGGGAGTCCAATGCATAGTTTCATGGGCTTCACCGTTAAGAATAACATGGGTGGGGGAGGAGGGCAGTGGTGACGCTCAGCATGTTTATCTGGATCTATTTAACGCACTGGATATTGAATGGGCCACTAAGTTGATCCCAATGTAAATTAATTCTATAACTTAGAAAAGCCATGTTATTTACAGTCATCATTTTGGTCTTACTACGACATCTAATCAACAATATTTTCACCTGTGACCTTGCTCTTAAAATTTTGGCTTAGTCTCTGTTATAAAGCTGCAATTTACTCCTGGGTGTAGGTGGTGTATTGAGCATCAGAAATTAATTACTAAAAAATATAATAAAGGCTCGATCATTGCAACGACCTCAATTAATGAAATGTGGAAAAAAAATACTTGATACATTTCCTACAGAAGGGTTTAGAAGCTGTTTGTCGAGTTTTTTGTGTATTATAAAATCTAAGAATGTTATTCCGGTAAATTATGAAACATGAACCCTTAGGTTATGTCCTTGTCTTCAGGGGCGAACATCTGTGCAGAAAAGCTGTGCTGAACCCGTGTGGAATGAACAGATTATCTTCAAAGAAATGTTTCCACCACTCTGCCGGAGAGTCAAGCTCCAGGTCTGGGATGAAGGGAATGTTAATGATGTTGCCATAGGAACGCATTACATTGACCTAAAGAAAATATCAAATGAACAGGATGGAGATAAAGGTAGGAAATTAACAGTTCAATGCTTTGTAAAAACTTACATAAGAAGCAAGTGCTCTTTGCAAACTTATTGAATGTACAAAGGGCTTGGTTATTAAATATTTCGAACAGGAACAAAACAAATTGTGTTTGGGAATTGTTTGCTCACCTCAGAATTTAGGCTGATGATCCAATGCAGTGCTGGGGGTGCTGCTTTGTTTGGAAATGCCGTCCATCAGATGAGACATCAAACCAAGATACCATCTGCCTGAATGTTAAAGGTCCCATGGCACTATTCGAAATGAGAAAGGAATTTCTCCCAGTGTCCTGCTCAACAATTTCCCAGATAAAAGTGGTCATTCACTTCATTGCTGTTTGTGGGACATTGCTGTGGGTAAATTGGCTGCTATGTTTGCGTGCACGTGGCCACTATGCATCACAATGAATCCTGTGAAGTGCTTTGAGATGCCCTCCTAATGTGAAAGCGGCGATATCAAATGCAAGGGTTATTTTCAAAATGATTGATGATATTTGCCTTGTTGGGAAATGGTGTACTTTCCTTCATGAGGGCACCTAGCATCTGCATTGAGAACTTGAAACCATAGAAATTTACATCATAGAAAAAAGCCATCCAGCCCACACCCCTGTATGACCTTTTTTTAGAAATCTGTCTAGTTCCCTTTTGAAAGTTAAAATGGATTCAAATGAGGTTCTTAACAGGGCGTTCTATATCTTATTAACTGTGTGCATGAATAGAACTTCTCATAACCTCCCAATCTGCTTGTTTAAAACCTATTTTAAATCGATGCCCTCTTCATAGAATCATAGCATTATACAGCACAGAAGGAGACCATTCGGCCCATCGTGTCTGGGATGGCTCTTTGAAAAGAGCCATCCAAATCAATCCCACTTCCCTGTTCTCCCCGCATAGCCCTGCAAACTGTCCTCCCCAAATAATTATCTACTTCTCTCTTAAAAGTTGTTATTAAATCGGCTTCCACCACCTTTTCAGGCAATGCATTCTAGATCCGAACAACTCGCTGTGTGAAAAAAACCTCCTGACCTCCCCTCTGTTTCTTTAAACAACTATTTTAAATCGGTGTCCTCGGGTTACCAATCCACCCGCCAGTGGAAATAGTTTCTCCTTGTTTACCCTAACGAATCCCCTCATAATTTTTAAAACTTCTATTAAGTCTCTTCTTAACCTTCTCTGCTCCAAGGAGAATAATCCTAGCTTCTCTAGCCTCTCCTCGTAACTGAAGTCCCTCATTCCTGGTACCATCCTGACAAATCTCCTTTGCACCCTCTCCAATGCCTTGACATCCTTCCTAAAGTGTGGTGCCCAGAACTGAACACAGTACTCCAGCTGAGGCCGAACCAGTGTTTTATAAAGGTTCATCATAACTTCCTGACTTTTGTATTTTATGCCCTTATTTATAAAGCCTAATATTCCATATGCTTTTTTAACAGCTTTATCTACCTGTCCTGCCACCTTCAAAGATTTACTTATATGAACCCCCAGGTCTCTCTATTCCTTCACCCACTTTAAGATTGTACCATCAGCTTATATTGTCTCTCATTCTTCCTCCCAAAATGCATCACTTTGCATTTCTCCACATTAAACTTCATCTGCCACGTGTCTGCCCAGTTTACCAGTCTGTCTATGTCCTCTTGCAGTCTACTACTATCCTCCTCACCATTTTCTACTTTTCCTGGCTTAGTATCATCTGGAAATTGTACTCCCTATACCCAAGTCCAGGTCATTTATATGGATCAAAAATAGCAGTGGTCCCGATAACGACCCCTTGGGCACACCATCAACTGCACTACCTTCATCCACCCTCTCTGTTACTTCATCTATAAACTCTATTGCTAGACATGATTTGCCTTTGACAAATTTGTGTTGGCTGTGCTTTGTTAACCCATATTTTTCTAAGTGAAAACTTATTTTGTCCCGGATTTTAGTCTCTAGAAGTTTCCCCACTACTGACGTTAGCCTGACTGGCCTGTAGTGCCTGGGTTTATCCTTCTGCCCCTTTTTGGACAGAGGAGTAACATTTGCAACCCTCCAGTTCTCTGGCACCACCCCAGTGTCCAAGGAGGATTGAAAGATTGTGGCCAGAGCCTCCACTATTTCCACCCTTACCTCTACTATTTCCACCCTTACCTCCACTATTACCCTTATCTAATAATTTTTTAATGTCGTAATTGCAGTGATTTTCATCTCTGAATATCTTCTTCGTATCATCATATGTGCAGAGAGAGAACAACACACCTGCACATTAGTGTCCCAGGGTATCTTGTCATTGATTCACTGACCAATGGAAGTGACTTCTCCCTATTAACTATATCAAATCCCCTCATCATTTTACACACCTCTAACAGCTCACTCCTCAACCTTTTTAGTTAAGCGCTCTGAGACACTACCCTGCTTAGAGGGCGCTATATAAGTGTAAGTTCTTGTTGTTATTCCAATGAAAAAAAGTCCCAGTTCCCCCAGTCTCTGCTCATCAACCAACCCATTCATTTCAGATCAGCTGCAGCAAGTTTAAAGATGAATAAGCTCTCCTCACTGTACATGAGCCTCAACCTAAAGGTTACAACACAATAATAGAGTCTCCTGTAGGAGATCCAGCTTAGAATCACAAATGGCACACACATTCTGGTGATTTTTTTCTTATTTAAGAAATGTTTGATAATAGTTCAAAAATAATAGTGCTTTCTCACCACTAATCAGCCAAGGAGGGCCAAAAATAGTGCTGTTTCTTGGCCATAATAATAATGATAATCCTTGCATTTGATATAGCGCCTTATCACGTCTTTGAGACATCTCAAAGCGCTTCACAGAATTTACTGTAAAGTGAATTGACTGCATATATTGTGGGAGAATATTAACTAAGGAAAGAGCAAACTGTGCCCCTTCTTGACAGATCACCCCTGAGAAAGCACTATTAAACAAAGAAAATCTGGTGTCCAATTCAGAGCCTAAATTTACATCATACAAAGCGCTCAACTGAGGGTCAAACAAAATAATGACCCTAGGACCTGGTTAAGAAAAAAAACACCTAGCTGAAGAGGGCTGCCGCCATCTGCTGGTTGTTATACAAATGTTTGTTAAATAAGGAAAGGAACATTCTAAGTCTAAACCACCACGAACTTTGTCCATCGTGTCTCAATCAACATTCTCGCTTGAAACAGTCGAGAAAGGTAAGCTTCATTGGAATTGTCTCAGGAAAGACAATCTAGTGAATCGAATGGGGACAAGTCCATTACTGTACTGTTCAAGCAGACTGTATCTCTTGATTGTTGACCAAGGAGATAATTTTGGAGATGTTACCATACTGCCCATCTCCAAACTGAAGCCTATTTGGAGATAGAGGAAAGATTTTTTTAAAAAAGGAATCATTAATAAGAATGTCAAATTTAAGAAGAAAAGTAAAATACACAAAATAGAATATGAAAAGAAAGAATCTCCATGAACGAGCTTTTTTCCTCTTTAAGGATTTTTGCCAACATTTGGACCAGCATGGATCAATTTATATGGTTCAACCCGCAACTACAGTCTGATGGATGATAACCAGGAGCTCAACGAAGGGTTTGGAGAAGGAGTGTCATTCAGGGGGCGTCTCCTGATTGAGATCACAGTGGAGATTCTTTCAGCAGCTGCAGCTGAACCCAAACACTCAAAGATAGCGAAAGAGTTGAAAAATGCCCCTAAGGAGTCCAAGAGTGGTAAAAGATCTGGGAAAGACAATAAAACATCCCCCACACCTGAGGAATCCAAATCTTCCACTCTTTCTGACAAGACAAACTCGACTGAAGTCGAAGTGGAATCCATGGAACCTTCTTCTTGGGTTTGTTTGGCATTACTGATATGTTCACGTTGGAGATTATCACGCACTAACACGAGAGATGGTTTCATTATCGGCTTATAAAGAAAAATTGTATTTGAATTATGTAACAAAATAATGGCCAGTGTTGGCTGTCAGCATGGTTGGGGCAGGGGCATGACAATTTAACAAGGAAGAGAATGATGCTATGAGGGAAATAACTTTTTACATTATATTTCTGATAGGCTAACGATTTTGACATTTGATAGTAAGAGCCTTGGATCGTGCTCCAAATTGGTGGTGGGCCAAACATCAGTTCTGGGCTATTTCAAGCTACTTCTCTTCAAAGGCAACAATTTTACTTACAAAACTTAGAAAACACCATGTGACTTTTAAAACTCATTTGTTGTAAGTCTTTATAAATCCTTATAACATTTTAACTTAAATGACTTTTAATAATAATATCCTTCTGTTGAGAGTTTGAAATGGCATCTGACAGGGCACGACAAGGTGAAAACTATGATAACTATCGCCTCACCAAAAATTGAAACCCAAAACATTCTTTAATGATCAAATCACTTTGTTGAGAGTGGATTCAATTCACCCACTGCCCCAAACTTCAACCTATTGGCCTGCCCCAATGCCAGTTCTTGTCCAACTATGGACTGAACTAATGTGCTAGAGTTGGTGTGGGAACAGGGAAGGTGGGAAGGTTCACATCCAAAATGAGTAGATCATTAAAGATTGATTAGAATCATTATTTTTGGCATTGTGATAAATTATCCCATCACGTGCCACATTTTGATAACCTGGTCGGGGCTGCATGCAGGCTGCATTACACATGCATTGAATATTCATGCAGGCTGCAAGTTTTCCATCCCCGCTCAACAGTATGCTAATCAGACTGAGACACATATGTATAATTGATGCCGAATAAGGGCAGGTGCACCGCTCAATTATTACTTCCAAAGATACCTATCCTGTTGCGTGGTTCTCCAGTAGGAAGGACACAATCATTCTCCAAGGAAGGCAGATTTTACCAATAGCCTGAGCCAAGCGAGCACATGGATGATCTCACTCAAATGGAACAAAAGCCAGTATTGCAGGGAACTCTCGAGTTACAACAACGTTCAGATATGTAACACTTTTCATGAAGGAAAACCTCTCAAAATGCTTCACCTGAATGACTGTAATGATTGATCAGTGCATTTCTTTTCAGGTTGATGATGAAGAAATGCAGGATTTTCTTCTCTTTGGTGCATTTTTTGAGGCAACAATGATTGACAGAAAAATTGGGGACAGACCAATCAGCTTTGAGGTTACTGTAGGTAAGCAGCCCTCTTTTGTTTCATAATTTGTTGCATTGACAGGAGACTTGAAATTTCACCCCGTGTTAGCTAGGTCTAAGATGGGACTTCAATTTAATGTCTCATCCAAAGGACAGCACCTCCAACAATACAAAGTCTATTGGAGGGTCAGTCTTGGCTGTGAGTTCAAAGATCCTTGCATAAAACATGAACTGACAACTTTCTGACTCAGAGGTGAGAATAAACCAGGCAAATAAACCAGGCATCTTCGATTTTTACAGGGAATTATGGTAACTACCTTGATAGAGGCTCTCAGGCAACTCTAACCAGACGAAGACCGGGAGAAGGTAACAATAGAGAAAATGTAGCTCTACTGAATGCCAGTGAATCGGACGATGCAAGCAATGTTCTTCCCTGCAAGTCCACCACCACACCTAGGAAACCATTGATAACCGAAGGCAACAGGTGCGAGTGCTTGAAAATAATCATTCTATTGTACTTCCATGAAGTAAAGAAATGCATCATAAATTTCAGTGTTATATAATATAGAAGAATATATTAAGATTTGTTTATATATAGTATAATATTTTATATATATATTTATATAAGTGTAGAAGTTAATAAATAAATAAATAAAAAAAAAGTCAGAAAAGCAATTGGCAAACTGAATATACATCAGGTGTGGGCTGTGTATCAGGAACACATTATATATAATTGAAAATGGGATTCATGAAAAATGGTTATTTAGATAAATAGGTAAAAGTAACATGGACAATGGGCCAAATGGCTTAAGTGCTGAAAATGTTTGTTTCTCAGTATCAGTGGCAAATAAAGAGAAAGTCTAATGCACCAAGCACCCATGTGAAAGAACAATTATGTTTTGATTTAAATGTCCTTCTGTTCCCACTATCATCTTTTCTAGAATAGCATCAATTGGAGAATTCCTCTCACAAAGTCCTTGTATAGAAGTTAAATTACAGGATTCGCTAACAGCGATTCCGAGCGCTGCCAGACTCCAAACAACAACTTACATTTATATAGAACCCTTCATGCCGGATGGTATCTCGAAGCGCTTGTCATTTCCTGAGCACCAAATGACAGTTTGAGTCCTTTCTGACTTTCTATTTTGCTGAATTGTCTATTTAATTATCAATGATATGATTTAGTGAAATTCCATAGACTTTATTTGGGAAAGTTGCATTCATCTAGGTTGTGGCTAAGTACCTGTATCAAGAGTGCACCCCAACATACAGCCACCTGTCTTTAATAACTGTTTCTATGCTCTCGTGCAGGAGTTGCGCAGGAGCACACTGTTTCTTTCAGTACGAATAGAGCAAATTGGCCACAAAATAAATTTAATACTAACAGCAATTCTACTGTATTTGCACTGGTCTAGCGCTCGAGAAACTCACTGTTGTTTAGGGTCCAAAGCCAATGGAGCTTTCTGTTTTTTTNCTAAAACTGTTGGCAAGCAAGTAAGTCAGTAAGTTAGTGTTCATGTGTATAGTGTGTATGTTTACCGACAATATATCCTATGATGTACTTTGAGATGTCTCGATGACACGATGACATGCTGCTATATCAAATTGCAAGGATTATTATTATTGTTATAGACCGATTCTGATTAAGTCTCTACTTTTCTTATAGAAATTACTACTACTTGTCGTATAATAACAAGAAACCTTGCATTTATGTCACGAGCCAATGGGAGGACCAAATCTTCAGGTTGCACTGCTCCAACTTCCTGGACAAAATTGCCGAGAGACTTGTTAGTTTCATTACTTTACATTTAATCTAATCACTCCTATCCTTAAAATGCCCTCCTAGAATCCATTCCTGCTCTCAAGCTACTGCCCCATCTCCAACCTCCCTTTCCTCTCCAAGGTCCTGGAACGAGTTGTTGCTTCCCAGCTTCGCTCCTTCCTCTCCTGCCACTCCCTTCCCAAACCCCTCCAATCAGGTTTTTGTGCCGCCTACAGCCCTGGTCAAAATGATATATGACATTTTGTCCATCTGCGACCAGGACTGCCTCTGCCACCACGTCCTCCTTGACCTCTCTGCTGCCTTCAACACCGTTGACCACTCTATCCTCCTCCACCGCCTCTCCTCTCACCTCAACCTTCACAGTTCTGACCTTGAATGGTTCAGATCGCATCTCTCACACTTCCTCCACTTCATCTCCACAAACGGTTTCTCAACAAATGTGTTTTCCTCTAGCCCCCGCACCATCTCATGTGGCGTTCCTCAGGGCTCTGTCCTTGGTCCCCTCCTCTTGAACATCTATATTCTCCCTCCTGGTGACATCATCGCAGACATGGGATCAGCTTCCACATGTATGGGGATGACACCCAACTCTACCTCTCTGCCTCCACCCTTGACTCCAGGACCACTGCTGTCCTGACAGAATATCTGTCAGACATCATCCTGAATGAGAGCTAACTTTTTTCAGTTGAATGTCAGCAAAACTGAGGCTCTCCTGATTGGCTCCCGTCAGCGCCTAGACACCTCAGGCGCTGACAGCATCACCATCCATGGTTGCACACTCCACCTTACTAAGCCAGTGCAGAACCTTGGTGTCTTGTTTGACCCTCAATTATCCTTTTTACCCCACATCCATGCCATACCCCGCTCTGCCTTCCCCATCTCCACCTCCACGACCTCCACATCGGCGGGCAGGCCTTCTGACACTCTGCCTCCAACTTCTGGAGCTCCATCGCGCAGTCCCTCTGTCTCCTCCTCGCTTGCCTCCTTCAAGACCCATCTCAAGACCCTCCTCTTCAACTGTACTTTCGATCACTCTCCTTCCCCCCCCGCCCTCCACCATCCCCAATCATCCAAAGACTACTGATGTAGATCTCTATAGGGGGAGGTGAATCTGGATATCTAAACAGGGACCTTGGCTGATTTCCCCTCTCCCTAACCTGGGCATTGAAGCTAATTTTAGCACTGCAATTGCTGCTTTGGCTGCATTCTGCTAACCCAGCACAGACCAAATGATCAAACCCTGATCTACTCAATATGTATAGTTTTGGACTCTGAATAAACTTGTTGAATTTGGGGAATTCAAATATTGCACAAATTGTAACACAAACTAAAGTTGCATTTTCTCATGCAGTTTTATATTTCAAGCTGAAGATGCCTTATGCAAAGCAAAACTTTGACAAGAAATTCTTTACAACACATCACTGTACCTCAGTCAGTCTGGTCTAGCACCCCATCAATGCAAGTCTATCCTCTGGAATGGGCAACCCAGCTTTTTTCCCATAATTCTGCTGTATCATTTAACTCTTCCAAGTTTGAAATTGTTGTACCTGCTGCCTGTCCCCAGTACAGTTAAATACAAACTATTTATTTATTCTTTGATTGAGTCTTGTATGTGCCTTTTTTTCACCCACCTAAATTGTTCAATTGTTTTCTTTCTTAAATGAGCCCAGCATCATGGCCTTAATTTCCTTCCTGATTATCTGTTCAATTTGTCAATTACCTTCTGTGTGGATGGGTAATTTATAGTATGTTTAGAAAACATGGAGCATTAAAGCAGCAGTTCAGTGTGCAAAGCAAACCAAATTCAGATTGATGGCTAAATGCTTAGGATTCCAATCAGGCACAGTGTGTCTAACACCAATCAGGAGAGGAAATATGTTGTCTTAAGAGTTTGATTTATTCTTAAGTTCTTTTTAAACTTGGCTTTTTATGATTCAGGAAGAAGGATTGGAAGAGATCAAAGAATACATTAAACTATCAAATCCCAATATACAGGAGAAGATAAAGGATGTCCTGAAGGAATTTATAGGCCGATGCAGGTAAAATACTGAAACAGCACAAGAAACATGGTAATCATCACAGAGATAATACAAGGGGTAAATTTGCAAGAGATCATAACAGATTTGATGTACTGATTTGCCATGGTATCCCAAAACCATGTAAATCTGTCTAACAGAAAAAGAAATCACTGTGAGAAAATGTATAAAACCTGTTATTTGAAGAGGCTATAGCTTGATACACAGCTGGAAATGGAATTCAGGTTGGTGTTTTACTCAGAGAAGATCTGTGTAAGTGGCTCTGGCTGTTTCTACATTATGGAGTTTAATTTGTGACATGAGCCAACCCCTAAATTGTCATTTCCAAAATGTCTCAAAGTGCAAAAAAAAGCACTAAGTTGGTTGTTCTCTGACCTTTTTTTGTAGTTTGGAAATTGCAGTAAGCGTTTTTGAAAATCCCAAATTAAACAGGTTTATATCCCTTCATGGAACTTGCAATTGGTGTTTTGAATCATTATTTTCAAATACAGTATCACAGATTAAGGTGAACTTTAGAAACATAGAAATTTACAGCACAGAAAATGCCAATTGGCCCATCGTATCTGTACTGGCTCTTTTAAGAGCAACTTTTCAGTTCCATTTACCTGCCCTTTTACCCATACGCCTGTAGTTACTCCATTTTAGTTATTTATTTTACCCATACCCCTGTAGTTACTCCATTTTAATTATTTATTTTGTTCCCTTTTAAAAGCTAATATAGATTTTGCCTAAACTACTGCTCCCGGCAGCGCATTCCATAACGTAACAACTCTGCGTGAAAAGATTTCTCCCAACCTCCTATTTTATCTTAAATCTTATAATTGATGCCCTCTAGTCACTGAATCACCAAACTGATAATTAGGACAATACGCAAACTGAAGTATGTTACAAGTCAATCACCTTTTGGGAGGAAATCCCATTATAAACAAGTAAAATAAAGATTACTATTTTTGGCAATTGCCGTGTGGTGCTCTCCTGCTATTCACAGTGGAGGGTATCACAGCTGAGCCCCTTTTAATCCTCGGTCAGAACATCCCTTCAATTTCTCAGTATGGGGGAAAAGGTGAACTGAATAGTTTTCTAGAGCAGGCGTTCCTTGGTGGATCACTTCCAACCATGGGATATTGAGGCCAATGGTAGGACCGTTTACCTCTGCAGGCTCTTGCTTTGGTTCAGGTTAATACATAATGTGCAGCTGATTTAAAACCATAATTTAACCAGGGTACTTTTGATACTTGTAAACTGCACAAGATTTATGGACAATATAATGATGTTATGATGACTTATGATGGCAATGTAGAGGAGTGAAGTGAGTGCCTTGGAATTTGATTGCCAACCTTCAGTTATCCTGTGTAAACTCAGTGACTAAAGTAAAGGATGCTCTGGCTTTTCTGATTAAAATGACAACAACTGTTCTTGTTTTAGAATTTTTGGCATGTTTGCTAGGAAGAAATTGAAGGAGACTAATCGGACGACCCTTGACAAGAAGCGTCTCAGTACCTGCAGACTAGAACTGGTAAGATATCAACAACAATAACAAAGAAAGATGCATTGATCTAGCAGCCTTCACATGGGCCAGCATCTTGAAGCGCTTAACAATAGTGGAGCTTGATGCCAAGCCAGAGGGGAGGTGACCAAAGGCACGGATAAAAAGGAAGGTCTTCATGTACAATTTGATAAGTTGTTACGTTATGGCAGAAGGCGAAGGGATTGAGGTAGAGAGTTCTAGAGTCTCGGGTGAGAAGACGTGGCAGGAGCCGAGAGGATGGCTTCCATCTTGTCAACAGAAGGAGATGGTGTAACATTTTAATGTTGTTAAAAGGTTTAAGTGACAAAAGGCCACCCATATTCAGACATCAGGGACAGGTAAACAAGACTTAAATGTATCACTCTTTTACTGTGACAGTCTGTGTTTCTGAATCATTTCCTGACCTATGTTATTCCACTTTTGAACAATGACACTTTAAACAGGACTTGAATTTGGCTGCTGCGTTTGCCTAAAAAACTATACAGTCAGTTTACACTAACTTTACTCTTCAATAAATCCTGTGAAGTGCTTTTAGATGTCATCCTGACCTGAAAAGCGCTATATCAAATGCAAGGATGATTATTTTACTGTCATGGATGAAAGTTGCTGCTGCTTAAAAAAGTGTTTGACAACTTTCTGTGTGTTAGGAATTAATGTCCAATGAAGCCAAGACACTTGTCCAGGAGAAGAAGAAAATGACAGTGACAGAGAGGCTGCGTGAGATTAATGGCTACATCCAAAAGCTGCAATTCCTCATTGATGAGGTATGCTGTACAGAAGAACAGAAAAATCCAGTTCATTGAAATACTAATGTGGCATGTGAAAGGGATTAATTTTTTTCTGAACCCATAATTATTATTTTGTCTCTTCTGTGTCATAAGCCCTGGAGCAAAAACCTCAGCTGTTCACTTGGATGTGGGTCGGGTAGTTATAAGGCTGAATTCACCTGCTTTTATATTTCTTCACTGGGTTTTTACAGTGTTGGTCGTGTGAGCCGTGTGACAGTGTGAGGAGCCCTAGACTAATGCAGAGAACTTTGACAGAGACAATATCATATTTGTGACACTGGGGATGAGCGTGGTTGATATGCTCTGTACTGCTACAAATCTGAGCAGCCTCTCAGACCACAGTAATCAGAACTGGACCCAACACTACAGTTCTGGGCAAATGATCAGCACAAGTGGATACCTTGCATGATCTTGGCTGCTTCCTCTAATTCCACCCCCTCCACCTCCCACTTCCCCCAAAGCTTTACATCATCTGAGATTTTAACTAGAACTATAGAAAGTTAAAGCACAGAAAAAGGCCATTTGGCCCATCGTATCTTTAAAGAGCAATCCTTTCCATCCCATTTACTTGCTTTTTCCCATACCCCCTACCTGGCATTGAATGCGTCACTGAATCTAAGCCATTAATGTATACAAGGAACAGGAGGGGTCTCAGCGCAATACCTTGTTTTTACCTACCCTCTCCTGCCTATCCTTTAGCAGTTACTAATCCACATCTTTGTACCCTTCATAAAAAGAGATGAAATTCTATATTGATCCATAAGTTAAATGCGTTAAATATCAGCTGATGTTTTGTGTACTTTCTATTTTTTCAGCCACAGCACACCATCCCAGACATATTCATTTGGATGCTTAGCAGCAACAAGAGAATGGCATATGCACGGTTGCCAGCTAAAGATATCCTGTACTCTGTGGTGGACGACGAGAAAGGAAAGGACTGCGGGAAAATTAAGACTTTATTTCTTAAAGTAATACTCAATAGAATGATCCTTTGGGTTACAGAAATCTTTCAAACCTTGCATTGGAGGCTAATCTGGAGACGTTACTGATGGGAGTGGGAATCCCTAACATGGATTCTAAGCCCTAGGTTGGCACTTCTACCAGTAACTCAAGTGCATTTTCCTAACACGTGGAAATCTGCTAAAGAAGTAGATCAAGAAGTAGAGGGGAAGTGGGATGCACTTACGATTACTATAAGGAGTCCGTATTCGTGATGCAGAGTACTTATTAAGGAATCTAATGTTTCTTGCACCATAAGACAGGCTTGCCTTGGTGGAATTTAATGAGAGGATTTTGTAAGAAAATAGACAATATCTCATAATCAAGAAGTAATAACAGATTAGGAATTTAATGTGGAATTATGGACAGTTTGCTACCTGTTCTTGTGTCCATTCGGAATTGCATCCACTCTGCTTATATTCATGTTGCCTGAGTGTATTAGGAAAGGAAAGAGAAGAGACTTTATCACATCAAACTGGGCTGAAATCCTGATTTCAGAGATGGAAATACATTTGTTGTCTATTATATCTATGTAAATCACTCTATAAGACAATAGAGTTCTATAAAACTATATTTATACAATATATACAAGTTGTTGTTATAGAAAGTTACAGCATAGAAGAAGGCCCGTCGGCCCATCGTGTCTGTTCTAACTGTTTTAAATGCTTTCAATTCCAATTATCTGCTCTTTCCCATATCTCTTTATGGCACTAGAATTAACATCAGCACCCTTGAGCAAGGACTAGGTTCTCATCAAATTACATGATTAGTTGCCTGGAACCAGTTCATCATTTTGATTATGCTACTGTTTTGGCAGCTGGCAAAACATCAAACCGAAGTTCTGATATTCAAATTGGCCATTTTCTTTCACTGACAGATATAAAAAAATGCTTGGAAACTTGCTTCCAATGATCCCCCTCCTCCCTCCCCACCACCCCACTTAGATGGCTGCATAAAGTCTTGTCAAGCCAGAAAGGAAGGACATTTTTCTAGCTATTTCTTTAATGTACCAACCTATATTATTGCTGGCAGGTCTTACTCCATACTGTCAAAAAATAGTGCTCATTAACCATCCTTGTGACTCTCTGGATAATGTGCCAATTTGTGCTGAAGTTCAGCCAATTTGATGCTGTCCTCTGAGAATCGGTTTGACATTATTTAATCTCACAATGTGGCTGGCAGACAGAGAAACCTTTCATCAACTTAGTCTTGGTGCGGGCGTGCGGGGGTGGGAGACTTACAACTTTTACCTGAATCCCATATGAAATGTTTGTGCGTAAACCCATTGCCCTACCCAGTTCGCTTTCCCTTTCTCCAGCTCATGTAGTTCTGCATTAGTGTCATTAATGTGATACATTTCTGAATAAAAATGAGGGGAAAATGCTTATTCCTTTCCTGTGACGCTTCTTTTTAGTTAATGGGACAGGAACTTTTCTCCGAAGCTCACCTGTCCTATATGTTTATTTTAAGGTACCTGGAAAGCGTGTAATGGGGTGGACAGTACAAGCAAAGGTGGATGTTTACTTGTGGTTGGGTTTGACCAGACATGCTCAGAACATCTTGCAAAACTTGCCAATTAGTTATGAGCCAGAAATTCCAATGACGAGTACTGGGCACCAGATTGCTCCACCGATCAGCATTCTTTACAAAGGTGAGCTGCCTATCAAATGTACAGACATTTCTGAATTGCAACTCACACCCTCTAATAATAAAAGCTATTACTGTTTGGAATGACATAATACACTAAATAAGGTAAGAGACAAACCTCTCGTGGCTCGTGCATGAAGCAATTGAAGGACAAAACAATTTACATTTATATTGCGACGGTTCTCACCCCTTGAGGTATGTGCAAATTTTATTAAGGCTTTCGTACTAAGTGGCCTCTGCTTCTGTTCTAACCCTGTCAATGTGAGTCTATTTCAAAGGTGACTCAACCAAGTCAGAGTCACACACATACAAGTATTCCCAGTTAACCCCAATGTCCAGTAACTGGAATGTCTAATCGGAGTCTGCTCGCACTGGTAGACCTGCGATGTTGACAAGTACTCTCCGAAGTGTTTACTCCTTTTCTTATCTAGAATACTGCAGAGACTCGAGGATACATTCGGTAGAAACAACAGCTCTTTATTAAAATCTAGCAACCCTAGGCTACTTTGCATATGAGGAACCACAACAATGGGAGATATGCAAAAATGGGATCAAATATAACAATCACACATAACTATAACAACTGGCAGCACAATATTACATAAGTAAAGAAATATGAAAAACAACCCTGACTGTACAGTAGTCCTGTACACGTCAGTATGTAGTGGATGACGACCATTAGATAGTGACCACGAGGAGTGCCAAGTGTTGCTTTATATAGGCGTGTGGCTCCACCCACCGTATGATGCAAATACGAGGGTTTTTCCCCGCGCTAGCGCCCACGTGTTATTTTACTCTGCTTCTTTACCTGACTGTCAATCAAGCAGCCCTGGATCTATACTTTGTGGCAAATTCGTGTTGCTGCATTTTGTAAGCGACCGTATTTTATAAAGACATATCTCAAACTCGTAAGAAGTGTAATGTGGCCTTGCTGCTTGTACACTGGTAGCTTCACATCGCCAGCTGTGTCCTTCATGTCCCCTCCTCAATCAAGCCTGAGTTATGTCCCAATGGAAAACTGAGGCAATCAATCAAATATCTATTAAAATGCCTGACAGCAACAAGAGAACAGAGTAATTCTGAATGTGGGAAACTTCAGCAGAGAAGCTTGTAATTAGGTCTCAGTTGGTAGCACTTTTGCCTCTGAGTAAGATATTTGTAGACTCAAGCTCCAAATCAAGGACGTTGAGCTCATAGTCCAGGCGGATGCTGCAATGTAGTGCAGAAGGATCACACCCACACCAAACTCTGCATCACCATCACCCAGGCCAACCACGCTCTATTGTTTCCTTGTCTCCCAGTGGATCGGTTATAAGATCCTCATGCTCACCTATAGATCCCTTTACTCCCTAGTACCGCCATATCTCTCTGATCATATCTTATTCCATTTATTTTCTCGCTCCCTCAAATTGGCTAACTTAGGCTTGCGGCTTATCACCCACCTCTCCAACCTACCGTCAATGGCCAAGCTTTCACATTCTATGCCCCTAACCTTTGGAACTCTCTCTACTACTCCACATCACTCCATCTCTGAATTTAAATCTTACCTAGAAATCTACCTCTTCAACCACATTTATGTTCCCCTCCCCTTTTCTCCCTACCCCTCTCCTGCTTGGCAACCAACCCCATCTTTGTAAAGGACTTTAAGAAGTTATCCAAGGCTTGAAGGGCACCATATAAAGGCAAGTTGTGATATTGTTGGAGGTGCCAACTTTAGATGAGATGTTAAACCAATATCCTGGGTGAATGTTAAAGATCCATGGACACTATTTGAAAGGAGTTTCTTGTAGTGTTCTAACGAACAATCCTTGAGATAAATTTTGGTCATTCACTTCAGGACATTGCTATTTGCACATTGCTGTCTATTGTATTCACCTGGAAATACACAGTCACTATACTTCACTGAAAGTTTCTGGGAAGCAATTTGAGATATGATGACATGATAGGTGTCCTATCAAACACAAAGATTATTATTATAACAGTAGAAATAAATATCATGTGAAGTGATTGCACATAACTATTTTCTCCATCAGCCTTAAAAAGGCTTCAGATGCTGACACCCTCTCTTTTGCCAGAATTGCTTATCGCTGATTATAGTCCAAAGGACTCCTGTTTCTGATGAGGACTCAAACAGTTTTGATCAGTAATGTTCTTATCTTTTTACTATTGAACAGATCAACAGATGTTTCAGCTGAGATCCCACATGTATCAGGCCAGAGGGCTTCTGGCTGCTGATAGCAGTGGCCTTTCAGATCCATTTGCCAGAGTGACGTTCGTTTCACACTGCCAGACTACTAAGGTAAATAGTAACTCAGCAATGAGAATATACTGTATGAGAATTTTTTTTTTGCCAGAACTCTGGAGCGCAATGGTCAGTGCTACTGTCTGATAAATAACTCACATTCGGTTTAACTTTAAAATTAATTGGGAATTTTTGCTATGTCTTTGTAAAGCAAAAAACTGTGAGATGTAACAACCAGCATAAGTTAGTTTATTACTTTCTAGTCCATTGATGTGATCCTCTCATCCCCCTCCCCAACTTCAGCCACCATTGGACTTGGGGGATGCAGAACTCAAGTGCCATTTCACGGGTATTGGGTTAACTCAGATTGTGAGAGGTGAGAAAAGAATGAGTGAGAAGTTTAACAGTGCAAGGAAAGAGAGAACATTTGAATCTCTTTTTTAAGCATACAAATGACAGGATGTTATGATCTTCCTTTCCTCTTCCAAACTTTGGTTAATTTATTTGTTTAGGGAAGAGTTGATTGGTAAAGTCAGAGAAAATGTCATTATGCTTCCTTCCGCCTTTATTGACAGGTTATCGATCAGACTTTATCTCCGACCTGGAACCAGATGTTACTGTTCAATAACATCACCCTTCATGGTGACGCAAATGAGATTAGTGAGGCTCCTCCACTTATTGTCATTGAAGTGTATGATGAAGATGCTGTGGTGAGTTCAAATCAATGGTCTTTGCCTGTGTTTTACATGGAGACACTGGGAGCGTAAGCTGACATAGCTCTAAGGTGACGTACCTGGCAACAGAATGTCGGTATCAAAGCAGCCCTCTGTGGCAGTCTCAGTAGTCCAGTTCCTGAGCTAAGCAGGTGGCAGTATTCCAGGGCATTGCTGATGACAGCACCGCCAGCCTGGCTCATTGATAGGATGTGGAAGTGCAGACTAGTCACTGAGGACAGGGACTCTTCCCACTCAGCTACTGTTAACTCTGCAAGTTAAACAGGTAGGATGACCTCAGCTGGATCAGCAGTAAGATAACTTGCCAGACAATGCTTTCATTGGCAAGCTTTAGCTGGTTATACTCCAGGAGTAGCCCCAAGCACACTCTGGGTCCCCAAGCCTTGGCCAACTTGTGCTTAATATTGTCTGGAATTAGGTATGTGGAGTGCATCCCTCCAGGGAGAGAGTGTGCATTCCATTCCAAACACAGGTACATTCCCATGTGTAGATGGTATACATATGTGGAAATCTCAGTTTGGTTTGGATACTCTTAAGCATAGTAATAATAATAATAATAATAATCCTTGCATTTGATATAGCGCTTTTCACGTCGGGAGGACGTCCCAAAGCCCTTCACAGAACACACTGTAAAGTGAATTGACTGTATATATGTGGGCGAACGCGGCAGCCAATTGCACACAGCAATGTCCCACAAACAGTCGTAGATTGAAAATGACCCAATTTATTATTGTTTTTGGTTTTGGAGGGATTATTATTAGGCGTGTGGAGTAAGGAAACTTGCCCAAGGTTTCGCCCTGACCTGCCTGGAATTGAACTCAGGTCTCTCGCTTGCAAAGCGAGTGCTCTAACCACTGAGCTACAGGACTCCACTCCACATAGTGATGAGTATCCTCACGTGTCAGATACCTAGATGGCCCAACAAGTTCAGAGAATAGAATATATCAAGCACTTGGTAAATTTCAGGATATTATCATTTGTTGGTCCTTGCTCTTTAAATACCTTTTCTTCCCCCACCATGTACCATTCATCCACTCAGAGTTTAGGCAAGTGGTCTGCTGCCAGGCATGCGGTGCCGGTGCCATTGCCAGGCTAAATCCAGACTGTAAGAGGTGCGAGATAGAGCTGTCTGGCAAGACTAGCTCACTGACATGCCAACTCACTCCAAATAGAGGGATCTGGCTTTTTGTATCTATCTTTTCTGACCTGGATGAGATTACCAGGTTTCTGAGCCTAGGATTGTGGTAATGTGGCACTGATATCCAGCATCACCGATTATTGATTGTTAAATATGCCAATACATACATAAGTCTTTACAGCCAACACATCTATATGGGCCAGCAAAACTCACAAGTGTCAGTATTCACAAGTACCCAATAATGTGCCAGATAAACAGAAGCAAAGTACACTGAGATCAAAGATTACAGGATTGGTCTGGATGAAGAAGGCCCTTCGGTACATCCAATTTCATCTAGAGCATCCACCCTACTGTCCTCCCATCACCACATCCAGCTATTTTTTAAATGAGTCCAATATCCTGGTCCAACCAATCTGTTCCAGCTGTTGATTACCCGCTGAGTAAAGAGAGATATAGTATACACAATTTAAAAGCATCCTCAAAAGAATCATGAATTTGTTGTCATTTCTAAGTATAATGTGTGGAGTCCTGTAGCTCAGTGGTTTGAGCACTCGCTTTGCAAGCGGGAGACCTGAGTTCAATTCCCGGCAGGGCGAAACCTTGGGCAAGTTTCCTTACTCCACACAGAGCCTAATAATAATCCCTCCAAAACAAAACAATAATAAATTGGTCATTTTCAATCTACGACTGTTTGTGGGACATTGCTGTGCGCAATTGGCTGCTGCGTTCACCCACAAATATACAGTCAATTCACTTTACAGTGTGTTCTGTGAAGCGCTTTGGGACGTCCTCCCGACGTGAAAAGCGCTATATCAAATGCAATGATTATTATTATATATATAATAATAATAATAATAAAATATAATATATATATATATTTGTGGGCGAACGCGGCAGCCAATTGCGCACAGCAATGTCCCACAACAATCGTAGATTGAAAATGACCAATTTATTATTGTAAGGAAATGTTCTAGGAATGTAAGAATGGGGATAGGTTCAATCCATTGAGTCTATTCTGCTATTTTGTTACCTATCTTTACGAAATGAAAATTGCAATGTTTCTTAGTAGATTCAACATGCTTTAGGATCCGTTAAGAATCACTGCAATTTTCAGTCGATGATTGGAAACTGACCAAAGATATGTTAAAACATCCACCTGATAAACAAACTTTCACCTCATAAAGAGCTGCCATGAAACAATATAACACCAAAACAGACTCAATGCACTGAATGATGTATTTCCTATGTTATAACTTTTTATCCCCTTACTCCAAATGATAGTGAAACTAAGCTACAATTCATAACAGATTAGATGTGAGAATTTCAGATCAAATCTGTCATAAATCGGTTATGAAATGGCGGAATTTCAGCCTATAATTATCGACTGGTTTTAGGTCTGAATATCCCCTGGTTTTTGCACAATGCTCTTTTCAGTGGGAGCTTTGAAAAGAAGTCTTTGATCAAGGCCAAGCGAAAGCATTGTACAATTTTAACAGCTGAGTGGCAGCATCTGAATGCTGATTTAAAGGATACTGGCTGAGTTAAGCTTGCACTCTATTTTTAGCAAGCAATCTGTCTCCTTCAATGCTTTACAATGTGCATTTCACACTGTTAGGCTAACACCGCTCACACTTGTGTTTTAATGAGGTGTCTTGGAAAAAATGTGCCTTCACTGTTACGATCTCTATTCTAGGGTAAAGCAGAGTATATTGGCAGCACTGTGGCTGTTCCTGTAGTGAAGCTGGCTGATCATAAGTATGCTCCACCTATGCTTCAATACTATCCTATTTACTGTGGTAGTGTACCTGGTGGGGAGCTCCTTGCAGCGTTTGAACTTCTGCAGGTATGGAAGTACTTGGGTCAAGTTTTATTTTGTCTCATAAAGTTGTTCCAATCCCTTCAGTTAAACTCTGTACTCAACTTATAATATTTTGCATGCTTTGGGAAACCAACCTAGTAGCAGAATTTTGCCTACAAAATACACAGTCACTACACTGTACATCATACTTCATATCCTGTGAAGCACTTTGAGATGTCCTCCTTGCATGAAAGGTGCTATATCAATTACAGGTATTATTTGTTTTTAGAATCAGCAATAAATGGGGGCAAGGGGTGGGGGGAGGGGCAGTGCAAATTGTGCAGAAGCATCATAGTATTACGTCCTCACTGAAGTAATAATAATCCTTGTATTTGATATAGTGCCTTATCACATATTTGAGACGTCACAAGGTGCTTCACAGAATATTCTGTAAAATGGAGTGACTGTACTTTTTGGGGGCGTAATACGGCAGCCAATTGCGCACAGCAAGTAAAGATGACCAGATTTAATTTGCCAAAGCAATTTAATGGATGAGTACAGATCCACACAGAAACACACACAGGGGAGGGAGTGGGTTTGCTGAAAATAAGAATCTATGAATCTTTTGTTGTAATTGTGTATGATTGTTCGCCGACAAAAAAATACAGTTACTACACTTTACAGTATACCCTGTGAAGCGCTTTGAGATATCCTCCCACCATGAAAGGCGCTATATCAAATGCAAGGATTATTATTATTTATTGTCTGCTTTCAGATTCCCGCAACAGGAGTTGAACATCTTCCTCCGTTTGATGATCCTGATGAAAACCAGCTGTTCCCAGTGCCAGCCAGCATCCGTCCTATACTGAGCAAATATAAAGTGGAGGTAACGTATGGAACAGAGCCAGCAATCACAGCCATCTCAGAAGAAGTCTTTTAGTTTGATTATATTTACTCTGGTTTATTTATACTATATATGTAAGTTTGTTTCTTGTAAATTATCCCTCATCTTCAAGATGCCTGGTCTAGACCCTTTGGTACCATAAGGCCAGGTAGGCTCACTGCCTCTATTCTCAGTGCACCTGTCACCTGCTGAGATGCCAAACACCCTCCTAGTCTGACACTCCCCTTTAGGTTTCGTTCCTCCTGCAGGGTACAAAGAGATCTGCAGGATCAATTACAGGCCCACCTCTTCATATCTCACGTTACTCCTCCAATCCTCTTCACCATCAAAAATCTATTCAATTTCCTCTTGAACATTATAGCTACGCTTTATTACACGTAGTGCAGCCGGTTCAATCAGCATCTCCCCCATCTGATGCAGCACTGATTGAGAACCAAAGAGCAGGGATTCAACCTTCATTCATGCCCAGTCTGTGACTTTAGCATTACCGAGCTCCTCTTGTCAGTGCTACTGTTGTCACACAATATTCCTGAGACCAGAAGAAATTAAGGGATGTTTTCAATGATGAATTTAAAATAAAGAAAAGGATTGAAAGTTAGAGAGGTGATGATGCTTCCTCTTGGTGTAGGAATCCATCACAAGGAGGCATAACCCTAAAATCAGAGCTAATATGTTAGATTGATCTCCTGATCTCAACCAGGAATCCACCCAGCAGGGCACGTGTTTATCTTGTGTTGTGATTCTTGCAGATCTTATTTTGGGGTCTCCGCGAGCTCAAACGAGTGCAGCTCCTCACCGTCGACCGGCCTCAAGTGTTTATAGAGTGCGCAGGGAAAGGAGTCAAATCGTGTGTCATCCAGAGTTACAAGAAGAATCCCAACTTCACAGTACAAGGAGACTGGTTTGAAGTGGTACGTGAACAATCACCTACTACATGGTAGTGAAATCTGCCTGTTCTTGTCACAAATGTTTTAATAGCCTAATTTTCACTATTAGTTTCACTAGTTAGACTCCAGCAATAGCCCAATGGACTCTTTGGGGTCGCCAAGGCTTAGCTCTTGCCAACCTGTGCCTAATATTTTCTAGAGTTAGGTAAACAGACGTGTCCCTCCAGGGAGAGAGTGCGCATTCCAGTCCAACAATCTATCTCTGGGATTTTCATGTGTAGGTGGGATGCACGGACATTTCAGCTTGATTTGGATACTCTTGAGCATGGTGATGGGTTTCCACATGTGTCAGACACTTGGCTGACAAAAAAAATTTTCATCCACTATTTCATAACCTAAATAGAATTAGGTTTAATGTGATTTTTTTTCAAACATGTATTTCTGTGACACTTTCCTTACTGATTTCTATTGACTGGGCTCTGCATTAGGTAGCAGGGCAGTGAAAAGAGTAGGCGAGAAATCATTTGACAAGATATTCAAATGAGTTAGATGTAACCAGGACTGTGGAGTCCTGTAGCTCAGTGGTTAGAGCGCTAGCCTTGCAAGCGAGAGACCTGGGTTCGATTCCTGGCAGGGTTCCTTACTCTACACGCCTGATAATAATGCCTCAAGAAAAAAAACAATAACGATTTGGTCACTCAATCCACGACTGTTTGTGGGACACTGCTGTGCGCAATTGGCTGCTGCGTTTCGCCCACAAATATACAGTCAATTCACTTTACAGTATATTCTGTGAAGCGCTTTGAGACGTCTAGAAGACGTGAAAAGCGCTATATCAAATGCAATGATTATTATTATTATTATTTCCCCAAAGTATCAGTGTTTTAGAAGAACAGGCTGTGTCACTAGGCAGCCTTTGCTTTGCAAATTTCTTCCACATCAGCAACATCAAAGATGCCTTCACTGCCTTTGAAGCTCTTCTAACGACTATAATCAAAAATATTCTGGTATACATTGTGTTGAAAATATTATATTTTTAGCTGTGAAGTGAGAAAATTGGGCTAAAACACACCAGGATCAATTTTCACCTGTAGTGTTAATTAGCATATTGATGAGAATTACATCCATGTGATATAAGAACATAAGAATATAAGAATTAGGAGTAGGAGTAGGCCATTCGGCCCCTCGAGCCTGCCCCGCCATTCGATAAGATCATGGCTGATCTTCAGACCTAACTCTAATTACCAGCCCTATCCCCCATATCCCCTAATTTCTCTATTTTTTAAAAATCTATCAGTCTCACCCTTGAAGATGTTCAAGGACTGAGCATCTACAGCCTTCTGGGGTAGTGAATTCCATAAATTCACTACCCTCTGAGTGAAGAAATGTTTCCTCAACTCTGTTCTAAAAGGCTGACCCTTAATTTTAAGACTGTGACCCCTGGTTATAGATTCTCCTACCAGGGGAAACAGACCCTCAGTGTCTACTTTATCCAGCCCTTTAAGAATCTTATATGTTTCAATAAGATCCCCCCTAATTCTTCTGTACTCTAGAGAATATAGCCCTAGTTTATTCAGCCTATCCTCATAGGTCAGTCTCCTCATCCCAGGAACTAACCGAGTGAATCTACGCTGCACCCCCTCTAGGGCAACTATGTCCTTTTTTAAATAAGGAGACTAAAACTGCACACAACACTCTAGGTGCGGTCTCACCAAGGCCCTATATAGTTGCAGCAAGACTTGCCTACTCTTGTACTCTAAACCTTTTGCAATGAACTCTAACATGCCGTTCACCTTCTTAGTTGCTGCTGCACCTGCAGACTAACTTTTTGAGACTGGTGTACAAGGACACCCAAATCCCTCTGAACACTAACACTATCTAATCTCTCCCCCTCTAGAAAATAATCTGTTTTTCTATTTTTTCTACCTAGGTGAATAACTTCACACTTCCCCACATTAAATTCCATCTGCCACCTACTCGCCCACTCCCCTAGCCTATCTATATCCCGTTGCAATCTTTTTGCATCGTCTGAATTTATTGACCAGTCCATAGATAAACCACTTCCCTGACTCGGTCACAATATTTAGTGACAGTAAAGAAATAATAACCTCCTACTGCACCATGGATTTCCTTGGTTGGGCCCAAAACTGGTCAAACATTCAATTGTTGGTTTATGGATTGTTGCATTGGAGTGCGGATTAACAGCCCTAAGTATAGCTGGTATTTCCCTCCAATGCTGTGTTCCAAAAGCTAATAAGTTAAGGTCCTCCACGCCAGCTTTACTCCAAACCATTGTGGTGGAGTTGGGAGAAGGGGGGGTCCAACACACACATCAACTAATGTGTTAATTAACATGTCAAGGTTATAATGTTTGTCCCACTATTTCTGAAAAAAAACGGTTTCTCATATCTCAGTCTTGCTTTGCGAAAGAATTCTTAAAATGTCATAGGGGTAGAAATTTTGTATAAGGTCAATAATTCCGTAATAATAGTTCAGTATTACGTACAGCATCTTTGGTGTTGTCTGACTGTATTAGTTAAAGGCAATGCATGATGGTGAATGGAATTTTTACCCAAAAGGGAGGTAAGAACTTTAACCATACCACTGGATAAAAAATATCAATTACTTACTTTTCAGCATTGGGAATCCTATAAAATAATCAATTACAGGTATGTACACAGGTGGGGATCAAATGGGATGAAGGGTCTCGTGTAAATCTCTCTTGTGATAAGCAGTGGCCAGTTAGTTGCATTTGTTTCAGTTGCTCGGTATATTGTACTGAACAACTATAAAATTAATACATTTTAAGGGTATTAATTTGGAAATGTGAAAGAAACATGTGACTATTTATTTTAACAGGAACTTCCTGAAAATGAGCTCCTGCACCCTCCTCTTGGTATCTCCGTTGTGGATTGGAGAGCTTTTGGTCGCAGTACTCTCGTGGGAACGCACACCATTAATTCTTTGAAACAATACTTATACAAACCTACTAATCGTCCTCGACCGGCAGTGATAGAGGCAGAGGGCGAGAATGGTGAGAACACCTGAGTTCTTTTCTCAAACTCTGTTCTCAGTCAATTAGAAGCACTCCGAGACACTACGCCACATGAAGACGCTACCGCTATATCAATGCTAGTTGTTGTTGACATTATTGTTGCTGTTGTTGTTGAAACAACAATTAATGATACTCCTAGTCTTGTCACCACTGATCGTCATATAAATGGACTTTATTTTGGCCAATCTTTACCCGATTATAATAAATCCATTTTATGTTATAATGCATGTAAATTGGATTTGTGTTGCAGCTAACAAAAAAATCTTTTGGGAGCTGAAGTATGACGGATTTTAAATTATTTTACACCTACTGTATATAATGCGTTCATCATTGGAGTCAGATAGCAGAGGCAGAACATTCGACAGTAATAGAATTTTGGGAACTGAAGTTGCATAAAACGTTATTTGTACATAGCTCATGATGTAAAGTGCAATCTCCTCTCCTCCAACGTAGCTTTTTCACTCTTTATCTTTTATAATCCTTGCATTCGACATAGTACCTATACTTCAAAATGTCTCAAAGTGCTTCACAATAAAATTGCTATCAAGTACAGTCACTGAGTTTGTAAGAAACTGCACCAGCCAAGGTATCAAGGATGCCCCGTAGGGAAATGACCAATTTATCTGTAGGATTTTGGGAAATTATTCCTTTCTCTTTTTAAATAGTGTAATGGAATCGTTAACGTCCACTGAACATGCTGAGGGGAGGGGAGCTCATTTTGATATCTCATCCAAACAAAAGCATATCCTTTGCCGCCAATAGTTCCTTTTGTCACATATTTTTCTTTCATTCCTCTTTCCTGCATTTGATATAGCACCTTATTGCATCGTCAAAACATCTTGAAACATTTCACATGGTTTCCTGTAAATAGTGACAGTGTAATTATTTCTGTTTGATGTATTTACGAAGAATGTACAGCAGGGAATCAGCCCAACCAGTCAGAGCCACATGAATCTTCACCGATTCCGTACTCCTTTCCATATCCTTCTGTTCCCTTCTTCCTCATGTGAAGGTCTAGTTTCCTCTTGAGAATGCCTCTATACTACAGTATCTGATTCAACGACTGCTTCAGGTGGTGTATTTCAATCATTAGGTTTCTTTAGGTTATTTGCTTCTTCTTCCAACTTCTCCTCATCCCTTTCTTTCCTTTCCTGTTTCCTGTTTTGTTACTGATTGATGTTGCGCCAAGCCTGTGGTTTATGCACAACAGAATCTTTTGCACAGTCTTGGTTGGTTGAACAGAACACAGTGATCTTAAGTTGTGAGAGGAAGCTATTTAAACAGAATTGAATAGGGTCTTGGTTACATCTCATAAATGCATTATCCAAAACATGGACTTGAACATGGTGCTCTGATCCTCAGTCTGATTAGTAGCTCCAGAGGCATGAAATTCCAATTACTCTTAGCCTTTGAGGCTCTTTTGAATTAAAATTTATGATTGTACAGAATTGCGGCAAACTCTTTAAGTTCAATCTTAATTCGGAGGCGGTTTCTTTTTAAGAACTGTTCAATCGTCTTCTAAAGACTTTTTTAAGAATTATCCATAATTGTGTGTGATCTTAAATCTTAAAACAAAATGGTCTTAAATGCTAAGATTATGGACTTTCGGGCTTCAGGAGTTAGAGGAGAAACGGGACTGGGAAGAGTTAGATTCTGACTGGAAACTCAGATTCAAATTATGAATTCTAACAAGAATTTAAAAGTGCTTAAAAGGATAAAGCATTTTACACTTCAGTGACAAATTTCTTTTCATTCCTTGCACTGTTAGTTAAGCACTTTAAGGTGACTTTCCGATATGAAAAGCTCTATGTAAATACTGGACATACTTTAGACTTGAATCTCCTAATAATGAATTTTCTTTGAGTTTGAGATATCAGGATTTGCAGTGATGTTTACATAATATTAAATGATTTACTAAATATGGGTGTATTTTCTAGGTGCCATTTTCGCTGCACCATCAGAAATAGAAACACAAGTTGCTGAAATCTCTGTAAATATTGAATCTGAGACTCTATCTGAACCACCAAAGATCACCGCTAAATCAAGTGCAAAGGTAAATTAACTTCCCTTTACTACTTACCTTTCTGTAAGTTGTTCCCTGGTATTAAAACATGGAACTTAACTAGTCGCCAATATAGTAACAGAGCACACAGCAGATTTTAGGAAGACTGCATTCTTTACCAAATAATATTGTTAGTAGAAAAAGGAGTGATGATTAGCCTCAGAGTGAAATTGTAATTCTATATCTTTCTGTGAGAAGTATCACCCCAAATAATCTTGATTGATGGAAAGTAACAATTGATAAAGTATCATTAAATGACTAAATACAGTAGAGAGACTGATAACCCCAGTAATTGGTAAGGCCATATTGTGGAAATGAGAATATTGCAGATAATAGATCAACCCACAAATTATAAATTAGCTACAGCACTAACCAAACTGTTCTTCCATCAGGAATACATAGATTGAACCTGTCTTATGTTGCATTTTGATTTATTTCAGAAAAGGAAGCTGTCACGAAAGTACACCACGAGGAGGAGAAAATCTGGCATTGATGATGGTGAAAACGTTGTGGACTGGTGGTCAAAATACTACTCGTCCATGGAGAAAGCTCAGAAGGTTTGGTCAACAAGAGGGGCCATTTCATCAAATGCTTGTTTGTTAATCATCTAATTCAGGACACTTGTAATTCTCTCTGTATACATGGATCTGCACACAGTTAACACAACTTTGGAACCACAATCTAAAATTAACCCCCAATGCATTGTCAAGTGCCAAATTGCCATTGAGTTTTGGTCACCACGACATAAGGGGGCTGCCCAGGTACTAGAGACAGTTAAAAGGAGATTAATGGGGATGATACACAGAGTTAAATAAATGAGCATTGATTAGATGAGCAAGAGCTCTTCAATCTTGAAAGTATTGAACTCAGAGGAAACCTTATAGAGATTGCCGGCAGGGCGAAACCTTGGGCAAGTTTCCTTACTCCACACGACTAATAATAATCCCTCCAAAACCAAAAACAATAATAAATTGGTCATTTTCAATCTACGACTGTTTGTGGGACATTGCTGTGCACAATTGGCTGCCGCGTTCGCCCACAAATATACAGTCAATTCACTTTACAGTGTGTTCTGTGAAGCGTTTTGGGACGTCCTCCCGACGTGAAAAACGCTATATCAAATGCAAGGATTATTATTATATCATTATTCTTTGGAAATTATTGATTCATATATTCTGCATGTATTGTTGATGGGGTGCTAATGTTCAGCATTTTTGACAGAAATGCCTCATTGCCAGAGTCACAGGAGAATTAGCAAATTGTTAAACTTAAATACATCACGTAGTACTTCTTAGAATTTATACAATATATAGAATTGACCACATGTCTTCATTTATGTCTCTGATCAGACAATTTTGAAAGAAAGAAGCCAGGATCTACAAGATGATGAATTTGAAAATAGTAAGTAAATGCTTAGAGCAAAACAACTCTGTGCAACCACACCTGCGAGGTCTAACTATAGCCATTGTTATCAAATGTAAGTAGTGGTATGGTTAATAGTGTTGGTACATTTTGTACATTGAGTTGGGATACTTTAACTAACTCTATTCCACTGCAATTTGGTTTTGGGGGTGATGTTTGCAACATTTCGGAACTATCCTAAGTGTTAAATTATCATCCACAAGATGGCAGCACATACCTCTGGTAAAGGGTTTATCCCTTTTCAGATTGAAGCCTCTGCCGTGTTTTTTTATTTTTGGCATGGTGAATATTATTGCAAATTGTCGGCCTTAGTGTGACCTTTAAGTTTTCTTTGTGTCGACCATGTATTTTCGGGCCTCGATGTGCCGAGGAGGGGTGGTAATGTACTGCCTGGCCAAAAAATGCTTTTCATCGATTAGCCCGGAGGCCTCGACCCTCGCCCGTCCGTTCATGTGAAGAAATACCGGGTCTCCATTCCACAAACCAGTAGCCCACCACCAAGGATTCACGGGTACAGAGCCATGTTCCGTCACTCTGTGCCGTAGTTTGGAATACTCCTGAAATGCTCCATTGACAGATTTCTTAGGATTGTGAACCTCAACACAAAATTAGTGAGTAATAAAGATCAGCATATCAGCATATCAGCATATCAGCATATCCCAACAACCATTGGGATAAAATGTTGTGAAAAGTCCAGTCCGGCTTTGCGTAAAGTGATAATAATTATTACAGAATAGATAAAATGGCCGCCTCTGACATCACTTCCTGTACACTGTGGCTATGTGCTCTGTGTATGAAGCACCACTGGTGTCACTTCCTGCGCACTGCACTTCCTGTTATGTTCAGGAAGCACTGGAAGCCAGAAGTGTGTTGTTATTTCTATTATAACATGGGGTCCACGGAATACACAATTATAAACAACCTGCACTAGGATACGTTATAACAGAGCTGGATTGTATTATTTTATTATTTTAATGATTATCCTCCAGTAGGACAATTGCATTTTTTTCAACTGATTTGGTTTTGTAAATCATATTTGGAAGGGAGCAATATTAAAGGGTGTAGAACAGAGCAGGGAGTTGGGATTACAACAACAACTTGGATTTATTTAGCGCCCTCCACGCCAAACGGCATCTCAGACCGCTTTAGATTAGATTAGATTAGTTCGGTCCAGTGGAGCAGCCAGCACCAGCAAGGGCTTTACAGGCTGAATGGCACTGTAAATTCTCTGATTCTTTAATGTGACTGCATTAGTAGGTGATGCTTGTTACTGACCCCTTTGCCTTCACTTCCAGAACAGGAGACGAAGGATACACTTATCATCAATGTGAATGGTGAAGACGGCGAGAAGAAAAAGGATAAAATTGTCAGAAAGAAATCCAATGTGGTGAAATCTAGTTTAACAACTCTAGAGGTACAGTCATGCCTATGAGGTTTAGATATTACACTATGGACCTTGAATATGTTATCACATTGAGTGTGAAATTATTAACCAACTCATTTGAGGTTTTTTTATTTGAAAGAAAGGAGGAATTAAACAAAGGATGCTGAGAAAGGGTCCATACATTATACTCCCGAGAGCATAAAACAATTTCATTCAAATTATCAAGTCAGAGAGCAATGATCATTGTTGTCATAGGAGTCAAAAGCTAACCAATATGGCGAATAATGGTGCACCTTTTTCTTGAGTAGTAATTGTAACCGTACAGCTACTAGTAAGCTTCTCTGTATCATTTAGCCAGGATCACTCTACCTGCTTATGACTTTGATTTGCAGGGGTTAAGGAGGACATCTCCACATCTCCATCCCTCCCCTCACCACTCTCTCTCCCACCCCCAACTCCACCCCCTGACTGATCCTTCTTCTGATAATTCTTGAGAGGGTTTTGAGTAACAATTGTATTTTGTGCTGATTACCTGCTTATCTGGCGAATATGTTGGAGTTTTGCTCATGAACTTTATGAAGCCATGAACTTGTGACTTGTGCCCACCAGATCTATGACAAAGAATTGGAAGCAGAATTTGATGACTTCAGTGACTGGGTGCAAACATTTGATCTCTTTCGCGGTAAAGCAGGTGAAGATGACAGCAGTCTAGATGATGAAAGAGTTATTGGAAAGTTTAAGGTGTGTTTAAGTATTACCGTGCCCAAGATGTTCCAGAATATTCAAAATGTGATCTCACCAGTGATCTTTACAGAGATAGAATAACATTTCAATTTCTATTCGAGTGTCCTCAAGATGCAATAGATGGGAAACATTCAGGGAATGATCACTAACTGCACCCAAATCCTATTCCTTTCACTTCTGCTAACGGATGCTCTTTAATTTTTTACACTGATCTGTTTCTTGTTGCAAAATGAATTACTTAATATCTGTCTGCATTAAGATGCAGCTTCCATTCCCTGGCCCATTAGTTACATTAGTCTGGATCTTCTTGCATGTTGTTTATCCTCCTTATTGCCTGGGCTGACAATTCCATTTAGTGCTGGGGAACGCAGCATTGTCTGAGGTGCTGGGCTCTGAATGAGAATAAACTGAGGTCCCATCTGCTTGTTCAGCTGGATGGTAAAGATCCCATGTCCCTCATTGTAAAGAGAAGGGAGTTTCTCCCAGTATTCTGACCAACAAAGTTAAAATATGTTGATTCAATTGATGGCTGTTTGTGGGATATTGCTGTGTCCAAAATGGTTGTCACATTCTCATACAAATACAGTCACTACATTTTACAGAAATCTCTGAAGTGTTTTGAGATATTTCGACTTGATAAATCGCTACATGAAATGGAAGGATTATTATGTTATCATAATTCGCAGTTGTAACAGAAGTCAGAAATAATGAAATAGGATTGAAAGATCAGCCATGAATTTATAAAAGAGTAAGAACAGGTTTAACAGGCTGAATGGCCTACTCCAGATCATGTGATGTTAAGAGTGTATTAATGAGCACTGAATCCAATGTACATGACAATGCATCCAGTAGTTTCAAAATTCAGATATTTAGTAAGCTCTAGATTGTGCAGAAGCTGACCCCTTTGGAAAGAAACATGGACATTAATAGAGGCACTGTAATGTTCTATAATGCTCTAAAACTTCTTTAATTCCCTTTTGCTCCAGGGTTCATTCTGTGTGTATAAATGTTGTGACGATGATGTGAATGTCACAGATGGACAATGCAACCTTCTCCTTGGATGTCCACCAAACATCTCTGTCAAAGTATTGATCAGAGTCTATGTTGTAGCAGTAAGTAACACTTGCACTTTACTTCCTACTTTACTTCTAAGTACGGTCACAAGAAAATCGTTAACAAATATCCAGTGTGAACAGTGCCTTTCTCTCAGATCTCTCTTCATGCACAATACAGAAACTATCGTGCTATGTTCAAGCACTGCACCAAGGACCAATTTGCCAAAGTTATGGTGAACTTTATTAGAACAGCCATTCTATCTCAATGCATCTTTTCGTAAGCATTTGTAAATGTAATATTGTTCCCACTTGTAGTTCCTGATCCCACCAGGACATCAGATTGTATTATCGCTCCTGCTGTGCAAAGATGGATATGACAGTAGCAAGTACCACCACAGTGATCGTAGCAACATTTTAAGTTTATACAGCTCCTTTCATGTCAGGAGCACATCTCAAAGAGCTTCACATAACTGACTCAGAGCCTGAGCTGGGGGAGAGGAGAAGCTGAGATAGGAAGGGGAGAGATGGCCAAAATCACAGTTAAAGAGGATGTAGTCAGTGTGGGCTTCTCATACTTCTAATATATAAAGGCATTACCAAATTACCAAGTGTGACATGAGAAATTAAAGACAGCTGAGTTTAGTTTTCTACCCATATTCTGAGGTGTGTGTAAACACAGCACCAATATCAGGTGTTTGATGTTTTACAACTCCCAATTCAAAGTGATGAAGAGCAAAAAGTATTAGGTGAGTTTTACCATGGGTCACATATTAATTATAACCATTCAAAATATATATTTGATCAACTTTGACTGACAAATTTATTTTGTGCCACAACAGATGCATTTTAAGACTATTTATTGCAATATTGCAGACATTAATGTTTCAACAAACCATTTAACTTTTGTTAGGCTATGAATCTATACCCAGCTGATCCTGATGGCAAGGCTGACCCTTACATAGTGCTCCAGCTGGGAAAGACTGAAATCAAGGACCGAGACAATTACATCCCCAAAGAGCTTAACCCAGTATTTGGAAGGTCAGAGACACTTCTAATGTCTTTGCGCAAGCATGTGCACGTGTATATATGTGTGTGTCTATGTATGTGCCTAGTTGTATGCATGTGTGTGTGCATATGTGTGTGTGCATCTATATGTGTATGCATATATCTGTGTGTTTGGGTACATATGTGTATGCATGTGTGCACATGTGCATATGTGTGTGTGCTTGTATGTGTGTGTATACATATCTGTGTATGAGTTCTTTAGATTATTCGAGGGTTTGATTCATAACAGGTTCCATTACATAGCTTTAGAATCAAGTTAGTTTTTCCTCATTTTGAAACTGGTAATGGGTATCTCTAATGCAATAATTATTTCTTTTATTTTACAGGACCTTTGAGATTGAAGCTAATTTCCCCGCAGAGTCTCTGCTCACATTAACAATCTATGACTTTGATTTGATCGGAACAGATGATCTGATAGGACAAACTAAGATTGATCTGGAAAACCGCTTTTACAGTAAATACCGAGCTACCTGCGGCCTACCGAACCAATACGACATGTAAGGAAGGTTTAATGTGAATAATCTGCTCCAGATTCATTCGCCATTTACCTCATGGCTGTTTCTGTAAGCAGCCGTTTGTTCCAGCAAATTTCCACAAACACTACACTGGTACATATTGTGAAATGCAAATGTTTTATAAACCTGTGGTAATTGCCATGACCCCAAATAGTTTGGAATTTTGGTGAGCAGTTGTTAACTTTACTCCATTGAACCCAGTGTTCACTCTGTCATCCAGTTAGAACTGGATCCAGTGAAGAGAATTGCAGATTTCAGTTTTCATCTGAAATTCTGACTGTAAGATGATAGGCGTAGCTGCAGAGCACAGAGTTTTGAAGGGTTTACATCAGTCTTCTCATCGAGTTTTTGAATGATCAAGAGGTAAAGAGATAAGAAAGTAGCACCAGCTTCAGGGTTGTCGTCAGATTTTAGCCCAGTATGTTTTGAGCAATCTCCTGATAGAATCATCAAAACAGGTTTCAAATCTATAATTCACTTTTGGTATTGGCCAGCCTGGTATCTGATACGTGCAGAAACTCATCACCATTCTTAAGAGCATTCAGACTAGTCAGAGTTCCACATACAAGGTGACCTTCTTAAAAAGTGCCTCACTAGAGTACACATTCATTTATAACGTGGTTAGCAGAAGTTCCCACCGTTCCAGTACGCCACGTGAATAAATCTTGTACATTGCTCCAGATTAATTGACCATTCACCTCATGGTCTTCCTGACTTCTGGTTTAGTCTGGTTAGCTTCCTGTGCATGGGTGCAGCCTATAGGTGGCTGGTCGGTTACCCACTACCACTCTCACCAGTGTAACTAGAAACACATGTGAGAGGAGACATGACCGTGACTAGCTGGTTTCCTGCCGTGCTGTACCCAAGGAAGGAAATTGTCCAGTTGCGTTGGAAGCCGAGAGAAATGTCAGCCGTGACCTGAGGGCTCGGAAGTGGCATCAGCAACCATTGTTTCTTGGCCCCAGTTGTAAGGTGGTATCTAATTTTATGGACCCGAAACATCATGTCATAACTTGGTTTCCATTTTGTTTGAAGCGGACTGCTCCCTCTCCTCCCGGAGTTTCACTACCTGCTCATATAATCCCAGAGAGTTTAGGCTCAGGCTGGGCAAGAACCAAAGTCAAATCTATAATGGTATTAACACATCATTCCTAGTTGTTTCGTCTGTGTTTGAAACAGGTCTTGTTTGTAATTTCAGAGAGGGCTATAATGTGTGGCGTGACGCAGTGAAACCCACTGAGATACTTATCAAACTATGCAAAGAAAATGGTTTGCAGGGACCTCACTTCAGAACAGGAGAGATTGAGGTGGAAGGCATGGTCTTCGGAGGCAAAACAATGTTTTTGGAGGATGGTGAATATCAATATTTATTCTTGTCATTTTCTTCCCCCCTTCTCAAGGTGCATAATTCCACAGGCACTGAGTTGCCCAAGTGATTGTTCTTTATCTACTGAATAGTAAATCTATAAAAACAATACTAATATTCTTTCTCACCTTTATGTTTCATTTTTTGACTCTGCACAAGTCTTGTCAAGTAAGACTAGAGCCTTAGTGGACTATTCAACCCTCAAGGAGGCATTAACTGTCAGCCTGGCTCAGTTGGTAGGACTCTCTCGCCTCTGAGAATGAAGGTTGTGGGTTCAAGCCCCATGTTAGAACTTTGAGCTCATGTAGTCTGGGCTGACTCTCCAATGAGGCGCTGGAGGTGTGCTGCATTTGTAGGGACATCCTGAAACTGAGGTCCTGCCTGACTGCCTGTTCGGGTGGATATTAAGGATCCCATGGCACAATTTGAAATGAGAAGGGAATCTCTTCCGGTATCTTAGCCTGAGATAAAATTGATCATTTGTTTCAAGGCTGTTTGTTGGACATTGGTGTGCGCAAAGTGGCTGCTGTGTTTGCCTACAAAAAAACAGTCACTATACTTTACAGTAAATCCTGTGACATGGTTTAAAATGTCCTCCCAACATGTGAGATGCTACTGTATATCAAATGTAAAGATCATTATTATTAATCATCACAACCTAGTCTGGTCTTGCAACATTCACACGGATTCATTTTCCAGAAGAGGGATAGTAATCAGGAGCAGGAATCCAGGCCAGTTTTTCCCTCTCTAATCCCAGAGTGCTGGGGCTAATTGTTGTGCACAGACCCATAGGGATCACACTGAGTGAAGAGGGCAGTGCCTTCTTGGTCTGTGTGGTTCCCGTTCAGAAATAGCAGTGGCTTTAGCAACTGAACCATAAGTGAAACCCTCTCCAGGAGCATAGCAGTACCAGTGAGCTTCCTAATGAGCAGCACTGATCAGCATAATACCAGGAGATGATAGCTTTTCCAACATTACTATATTTCAAGCAGTGACTGTTTCCCAACTTTTCAAATGAATACTGAATTTATAAAGACAGTAATATTCCTTCTTCTTGAGTTGAACTTTATATTTGATTTTGGACTACAGAAGTCTTGCCAAGTGCAGCCTGTAAATTAATACATGCTGATTGGTCTGCACTCTGTGACTTGTGTAAGCAGCGTGCAAATGATGTGTTTGAAATAAATGTCATAATTATTATTCAGCTGCATAGCTGTAAGTACTTTATAAGTTATTTATTGTGTTACATGGTCAGAGAACAGCTTCAGTTACATTGAGCCTTTCACGTCTGCTGGGTGAGCACCCAAGTTGGGGGATGGTAGTTGAAGAGGGTGGAGAGTGGAGAAATTAATGAAAGTGTGGTCAGCGGATAAGTGTTGAGGTAGGGTTTGATTATGGGGAGGGAGGGGGCAAGTTGGAAGGATTCTGGGATGCAGTTCCAGAGTGTGGGGGCAAAACCGCTGAAAGCCCAAAAGCTGATGATGGGACGGATAGGGTGGGGGACACATAGTGGGACAGTGTTCATTGATTGAAGAGAGCAGCTGGATTGGTAGGATTTTAGGAGGTCACACAGGTAGGGTAAGTGAGGCATCCTCGTGAGAACGAGGAGCTTGAATTCAACCCTTTTCTCTGGGTGTCTACATCCCAGAGGAGCTGTTATAACAATAATAATCACCCTTGAATTTGATGTAGTACCTTATCACGTCCTTGAAATGCCTCAAACTGGGTTTACTGTCAGTGTAGTGACCCTATTTTGTAAACTAACGTGGCAGACAATTTTCACGTGGCAATATCCCACAAACAGCCACAAAATGAATGACCAATTGACCAATTGTTGGCCAGGGCACCAGAGAAAGTCTCTTCCTTTTTCTAATTGTGCCATGGTATCTTTAACCTTAGCTACAATGATCAGACAGACAGGATCTAGGTTTAAGGTCTCATCGAAAGGACAGCATCTCTGAAAATACAGCACTCTGTATCATCCAAAGCACAGCATTGGAGTGTCAGCCTGGACTATGATTTTCTAAGGCTTGTGTTATTTCAAAATTTAAAACACTCACTTTCTTTTGAAGGTAATTTCTTGTGAAAAGCTCTTTGAAATATTTCAATGTGGTAAATTGCTGTATCAAAAGCAAGGTTAGTAGTGTCACAGAAAGCTCATTCTGCAGGTGCAGCAATACCGCACATGTCCAGTAAAGGGCTCTGTATCATTTCACAATCCAGCAGCAATGCATCAAAAAGTTTAAGAGGAAAGTTAAACATTTACACCTTGTTCTCAAGTGATGAATCATACACTGTGACAAACAATTAGATACTCACACAGGGATAAGCATTTCTTCCCACGTACCCCTTATATTCCTAGCTAGATGCAGACTAAGATGACAAAATACTCCTCAGGTTTCAAAACTGTCTGCTGCTGGATGGAAGGTTGCGGGGTGAGAACAAGGAGTTGGTCATATCCATTTTTTTAAATTTGGGCTTTTATTGGCTAGGACACTGGGAGTAACTCCCTCCTTTCAAATAGTACCATGGGATCTTGAACGTTACCTTTAACATCTCATCCGAAGGATGGCATCTCTAACAACGCAACCCCCTCCCCCAGCAGTGAATTGGAGTGTCAGCTTAGACTATGTGAATCCTACAACCTTCTGACCGAACCTACAACCTTTTGACTCAGAGGCGAGAGTATTACCACTGTGCTAGATAGACACACAGTAGTGTTTCATTGATCTCTACGGAACACTGCAAATCTCAAATGTCCAAGGGACTGAGCCTTTTCTGTGTGTTTATGTTCTAGATGAAGAGGTGGAATCACATGAACACCTGGCTCTTAAGGTGCTAAATTATTGGTCAGCGATCCCCGGCGCTGGATATAAACTGGTCCCCGAACACATTGAAACACGGCCTCTGTATCACAAAGAGAAGCCAGGCATCGAACAGGTAATGTGACTTGCTAACTGCAATAGACCGTTTCCACTGCAGAGTGTAATGTTTATGGCAAAATATTGGAGCTATGGTACAGCAGCTGTATACAGAGAATAAGGGGACAAGCATCACCAGGCCACATCTTGACCTAAATATAGATAAGGGCAGTTTGTACTGTTTCACCAAATGGCTGAATGTATGCACAGGTTAGGCTCAGGATGACTTTTCCATTCAGAAAATAACAGGCTGAGGTTTGGTGTTTTGCTTCTACATTATTGTTTGCCCTGCAGCATCTGAATGGATAGACCTCTTTGGGGTCTTTGGGAGGTAGGAGGAAACTCCCACTTGGCTGTACATTTTGCCCTATTTGTGTAGCATTTCAGAACATCCAGAATTCGGCAAATTGTTGAATTCAGTCTTAACTTTCTTAAAAGAAATTGTAAGAAAATTGGCTTCAATAATTAAGTCTTTGAGAATTTGCCAAATTCTGGACCTTTTAAAATGCAAACATTTCTATCTATAGAAGAAATGTTGTGCAAAGGTGCTGTGTCCAATCTGCTGTGTTGGTTGGGATGCTGCCCAGTTGATGGTAGAGACCTTGCTGATTTTAGACTTGAACCTGCCTTAAAGCTCCCCATTGATGCAACAATTTCCTTTTAATTCTCTATGCTGTAACTTTTGTCTCAGTGTTGTCTTCAAATTGTGTTGGCAAATGTGTGCGTTCATCCTTAGTGAAGAAGGTAAATGGATAATTGTTCCTTCTCATCTTCCCATAGGGCCGAGTTCAGATGTGGGTGGACATGTTTCCTATGGATATGCCTCCTCCCGGACCGCCTATTGATATATCGCCACGCAAGCCTAAAGGGTAGAAGAAAATTTCAACTTCAAACATGATACTTAAGTAAAAATGTCTTTTTCTGCAAGAGCAGTGTACAGCCTGATACCCATAATTTAACATTAAATGGATGCAGCATTGAACTCTAATCCTCCAGCCCTTATAATAATAATCCTTGCATTTGATATAGCATCTTATCACATCTTCGAGACATCTCAAAGCTCTTCCTTTCCTTATATTGCCTTCCTCTGTCATTACTGTGAACATTCCTCAGCTGTTTCACATTCAACATTTTCAGCATGTACTCATTTATGAAGCCTAAGTGTATATTTTGTATTGTAAGTATTATGATTCACAAAGGTATCGTATTACAGTATTATATATGTAAATACGACTTAAAACAAATGTGGTGCCTATCTTGTGACCTCACTCTTCAGAAAATCTGAATTGTAACACAGCTCAACCAATAGTTTGAATCATTATCAAATATTTGCTTTCTTTTCTGTTTTAGTCGCAATGTTTTCCGCTGGTTACTGTACACCATCAGCTATGGCAAAACTGCTACATAAGATGACAGCCAGAGAGCTGGCAGGTGTCTAACCAGTGAATAAAAGGTTATAATACAGTTTTACAATTTGGAATCCTGTAGCTTAGTGGTTGGAGCACTCGCCTCACAAGCGAGAGACCTGGATTTGATTCCCGGCAGGGTGAAACCTTGGGCAAGTTTCCTTACTCCAAACGCCTGATAATAATCCCTCAAGAAAAAAAAACACTAATAATTTGGTCACTCAATTCACGACTTTTTATGGGACACTGCCGTGTGCAATTGACTGCTCCATTTCGCCCACAAATATTCAGTCAATCCACTTTACAGTAAATTCTGTGAAGCGCTTTGAGAGGTCTAGAAGAAGTAAAAAGCGCTATATCAAGTGCAAGGATTAATATTTATTATTATAATAATCCTTGCATTTGATTTAGTGCCTTTACACATCATCGAGACAACTCAAAGCACTTCACAGGAGGTGTGGGAGATGGAAATGTCACACCAGTGCAGTAATGACTGTTATTCTGAGGTTGGAATTAAGATAGTTGCTTGTTAGAAACAGAGCAGAAGGAGCTTTGCTCCAAATCTGCCAATGCTTTATCTAACTCATTAGTGCTTCATCCTGACAGAGTACCCAAGCTGGTGTGTTGTCATCAGAAACCTAGATTCAATTACATTATTGTAATCTTCTCACAGACACCTATTATTATCTATATTTTATTTAAATTACATTTTATTCAGGTCCTTTTAGTTTGCTCATAACCTGCCATAACTCTCCTCCTTACAATCTGATTATGAATTCAACTACAATCTCATTCTGACAATCCGTGGAGTCGGATTGCAGCAGAAGCGATTCCAAGCCGAGATTGGAATCTAAACAGAATTGGGGGGTGTCAGAGTGAGGTCGCTACATGTAGGATTCAGTATTTAGAAATCCTTTCATCAATCTGGCGTATTGGAGCCTATTGTCTCCAGTATATATATGTATATATATATATATGTAGTATCTCTGGTAGCGTTAGAAATTCAGTCCTGAGGTTAAATATTTAGGAGTTCTGGTCGTGTCTCTGACACATGCTCTGATCTGTCCTGTTTCATTGCAGCTACGAGCTGAGAATAACTATCTGGAACACAGAAGATGTCATATTAGAAGATGAGAATTTCATCACAGGACAGAAATCAAGCGACATCTACATCAAAGGGTATGTGGTTCCATTCCCCTTTATTCCCTTCACAAAGTTTGACAGTGAACCTAACCCAGTGATTTTTTCAATACTGAGAGGAAAATTAGAACACAGAGGAACGCTTTGCCCATCTTCTATTGCAGCTGAGGTCATGACAAGATTTAAAGGGAATTAGATAAGTATTCCATTAGAAACAATATAAAAAGATACAGGGAAAGATCAGGGAATTGGGATGTGAAGAGGATGTACATTGCCACTATGAGCATTTACTGTTAATTCTATTTTACGTTACAGATTGAGTTATAAAGAATCTTTCACCTCACTTCATCAGAGGGATGGCTTAATTTAAGATAGTTTTATTGATATCACAATGGGTACAGGTTAGAAAGCGTATCAATATATCAGGATTATACAGTATTAATATGAGAAAAAGCACAAGGACAAGTTATCTGGAGTGGAAACATTCATGTAGAACTAAATCCTACATTTATAACTGGGTAGGCACATTGATGTCTTGTTTCTCCAGATGGCTTAGAGGGAAAGAAGAAGATAAGCAAGAAACAGACGTGCATTACAACTCCTTGACCGGGGAGGGAAACTTCAACTGGCGATTTGTTTTTCCATTCAACTACATCCCTGCAGAGAAACAGATGGTCATAAAGAAAAGGGAATCCATTTTCTCCTTGGACAAAACTGAACGCAAGATTCCCGCAGTGCTTGTGCTTCAAGTCTGGGACTTTGAGAGGCTTTCATCTAATGATTTCTTAGGTAAATTTTGAAACTCCGAATCGTTCTTATTTTTAGGGGAGGGAGTTGGGAAGTATTCTCACATCATTTCACATCTGTTTTTCATTTTTTGTGGTATTGCCTTTGATAACCTTGAAAAGGTATCAAGTGACATGTTGACCTTCAGAGAGCTGGTAAATGTCACATCAGCAACCAGTCTGTTTTCCTCTTCTTCTCACCAAATTTTTTCCCCTTCTTTGATAACTGCAGGCACATTGATTTATTGTTTCTCTGGTAGATAGGAAGCTAAGCAAGAAACAGACGTGCATTACAATTCCTTTATTCACTGAAGACATTTGCTGACTCCTTATTTTCTTTCACCAGGCTAGCTACAATTTACAGTTCTTTTTAAAATATCAATACTAAAATGTAATAATAATAATAATCATTGGGACATCTCAAAGCGCTTCACAGAATATATTGTAAAGTGAACTGACTGCATATTTTGCAGACTGCCTACTTGCATACCATGTGTATTTTAAATTAAAATGCTGCTGCTCCACAGATTAGTGGACACTTCACATTTTCTTGGTAACTCACCCCGTTTCTTGTATTAACCACATTGTGTTGAGAGAGCTAAAAACATAGGCCAGATGAAAGATTGACTTCACATCATTATCCACAACTTACAGATAGCTCATTGATGAAATCTCAAATAACTGACAAGTTTTCCATGTGTATTTCTTGTTTTCTAAACCACTTTGTCAATAGGATCCGTGGAACTCAATCTGAATGGATTTCCTTGTGGGGCAAAATCAGCTAAGAAATGCGACTTAGACATGCTGGAAGAGAATTCAAAGGCTAAACTTATCTCGATATTTCAGCAAAAACGTCTCAAAGGCTGGTGGCCTTTGGAAAAGATGGATGAACTTACTGTAAGTAAAGCACTTTGTATTAGTGAGGAATAAATGAAAAATAAACCAAAAAGGATTTTAAAAAAAGCTACTTGGGAACTGGGTGCAGTAAGTCACAGCACGTTCCTTTTGGGGCCTGACTTCGAATCCAGCTCCAGAGAAAAATCGACTCCCTTAAATCGAAGGCATTAAAAGGAATTGATCCAGCTCCTAGCAGTAGTAATAATTCTTACATTTGATATAGCATCTTGTACGTCGGGAGAATATCTCAAAGCGCTTCAAAAGATTTACTGTGAAGTGTAGTGACTGCGTTTTGTAGGCAAATGCAGAAGCCAGTTTGTGCAGAGTAGTGTCCCACAAGTGAATGACTAATTTTATCCGGGGGATTATTCGCCTGGACACCAGGGGAATTGCCGTGTCTTTTCAAATAGTGTCATGGGACCTTTAACATCCACTTGAACAGTCCAACAATGCAGTCCTCCCCCAGCACTGAATTGGAGTGTCAGCCGAGATGATATTGAGTTAAAAGTCCCGATGTGAGGCTTGAACCCAAAACCTTTTGACTATAAGGCAAGACTGTTAATAACTGAGTCAGGTTAATGGGTAAACGTCCACAGCACAAGACAGCCTATATTTTGCAATAAAACTTTAACAACAATGATTTACTATTCTACAACTGTGAGCCTCTGTCTATAAGACAGTATGAGAATGGGTTGTGTGCAGAAAGGCAATGACACTGTGGTGCAGCACAGATAGATCTGAGGTTGTTGTTGTCGTTACAGTGCATTCCTGGGGTCTTTCTCCCCTTTTCTAGAACTGGCTTGGGAATATTTCATGCCGGTACTGGATGGTAAAATTAAGCAAGAAAAATAGTCCATCCCACTGCATTCATATCCCCCACTATGACAAGCACAGATATTTGCCACAAGTAAATCAGATGCAAACAGCAAAGTGCTGACAATTCCCATGAGTAAATGCAGGTCAATTCCTGAGCAACTTTCTGCAGACTCTGTATCTTATAATTAGACTTTACTGCTTTCTGTGCAAGAGCGATAATTAGTGCTGACATCTCAGCTGATTCTTATATTTAAATTTCATTCTATTACAGTTACATCTCCTCAATATTTGTTTCTTATTTACTCTCCTTCTCTCCTGAAGCTGCTGACTCGAGCTGGGATATCGTTGCACTGGGTCTATGAGCCTTCTGGTATTAAGGGAGATGCTCAGTCTTCCCCTGAGAATCTAGCTAATGAGTGCTGGAAGGAATGTGATAATGGAGGAGAGTCAAGCTTGAGGCTATTCTCACCTGAAATACATACACAGGCACTTTCTAATACTTGCATTTGATACTGTCTCGAAACATACCTAAACAGTTGATGTGCTATGCATATAATTAATTACTTTCTGTAATTAGTGACTGTCGTGTTTTTAGCAGCTAATTTGCAACAGCCCACAAACAGCAATGAAATGAATAATACTAAAATAATCCTAGCTTTTCACAGAGTGCCTCATCACATCAAAACATCTTAAGCCTCTTCCGAGTTTTCTGTCAAGTGCAGTGACTGTATATTTATAGGCAAATGGCTAATGAATTTGTTTCTTGGGGAATTTGAGCATGTCAAGTAGTCAGGGACAGGAGCAGAAAACCTGACTGATTTTCCCTCTCCCCACACCTTGCCCAAGGACTCTGTGACCAATTGTAGTGGCCTTACATAGCTCCAATTGGGATGGGATAGCTCAGCACAGACCAGCTACTGAAGCTGGTATCTTTGCTGGTTTAGTATCACATTGTTGTGGTGAATATGCTCACTGAGCCATCCCGGAGTCCCTTCGCTTTGCCCCTTCCCTCGCCTCCTTCAAGGTCTGTCTCAAGATCTGGCTGTTTGACTGTTCCTTTGGTTATCCTCATTGAAATTCCCAATCCTTGCATATTGCTGGTGAACACGTTTATTGCCCATGTGCCTGATAATTCTCTCCCACCTCTGCTGCAAACTACTGTACTTTCTTTCTATATCTATTAGTCCACCACTTCAGTCTCACAAGGCAACCCTACATCCCCAGTTGTCAGCTGTTACATATTAGATGAAAACCCTTTGTATCTCAACTATGAATGAACTATGGAACACTTTTGGGTTCATAGCTCCATGATTTAAATATGAAGCACCTCTTCCTATTAATTGTTTGATGTTGTTTGTAAATAGAAAACTATAGAAACCAGTGATGGATATTGAAATGTACAAATCTCCTACAGCAGACTTAGCCCAGCTTTGCTTCTATAAATCTTTGAAGGTACAATCCTGCACTCACAGAACACCAAAACACATTTTTTCTTCTGTGCTGAAAATAACACTGAACTTTAAATCTTGAGTTGCATGAAGTCACAGAGCCGTACTATGTAATTCGCTAGTTAGAGAGGTATAACTAGGCCAGAGATGCCTTTCATTTCCATTTGGCTTATTTTCAGGATAGTGAACAGTGACCTTTGGGTAGAGAAGCGATCACAGAGATAGCTCACTGACACAGTAGAGAAGTATCAAAATATCCTCCATTCCTGTCACAATCTTGAATAAAAACTTTATTTCAAAAAACAAATATAGAGCATGGAACAATATGAACCCAGTTTACATTAAAGATCTTAGTAACTCAATCAAGAGGTATCAGTGCTCCCTTATTCAGTGAATATACTAAATATTCCATCTACTCCCATGAGATATTGGACTATGGTTTAATCTCAATTACATGCATTTGTACACATGCTCTGTATAGTGCAATCCCCAATTGGTTCTGGAAATGGTGTCGGAAATCATTTTAACTATAGGGCACAGTTGTGCACAACTACCTAATAATTAGATCATTTAAAGTTTACAGGGCTATGGGGAGAGAGCGGGGGAGTGGGATTGATTTGGATAGCTCTTTTCGAAGAGTTGGCACAGACACAATGGGTCGAATTACCTCCTTCTGTGCTGTATAATTCTGTAATTGATTTTATGATACCTTGCCATCTCCTGATGTGAGAATGAATGAGGAATGAGCTATGAGTAATGATTAGACAAGGTAGAGTGAGTGGGCTCTTCAGCTGGAGACTGGACTGCAGCATTAAGTACCTGGAGTACTTTTAAATAATTGGCTAGCTAACCAATTCAGTTTGTATAATCTTATCTAGTAACAGATGACATTCATTACATTTTTTTTACACACTGATTAACTTCACTTTGCCACCTTTATAAACTTTGCTGCAAATCTGCTTATAAAGGTCGTACTTTTCATGATTTCTGTTTAATTAATTTAGGGCAAGGTGGAAGCTGAATTCCATTTACTTACTGAAGAAGAGGCTGAGAAGAACCCAGTAGGCCGGGGACGCAAAGAGCCAGAACCACTGGAAAAACCCAAGTAAGTTTTATTTTATCAATGGGTTATTTTATCTTTACTCCCATCTGAGTGTTTTCAAATTTTAATTTCAATTTGTTATGATAATTTTAAATTTTAAAAAAGAGCTCCACATTAATTGGGACCAACTCCATTGTGGATATTGCAGATAACGAGATCATTTTAACATAAGAATATAAGTTTGGGCTCAAAATTGTTAAGTCACCAGGACCAGATGGGTTTCACCCAAGGTTGCTGTGGGAGATACGGGTTCAAATAGCGGAGGCTTTGGCCATTATATTTCAATCTTCATTGGAGACAGGAGTGGTGCCAAAAGACTGGAGAGTGGCTAATGTTACCCCCCTCTACAAAACGAGGCAGAAAGACAAACCCGGAAATTACAGGCCAGTCAGCCTAACTTCGGTAATAGGAAAACTACTGGAGACCATAATCCGGGACAGAATAAATCTCTACTTAGAGGAACATGAGGTAATTAGAGACAGCCAACATGGATTTGTTAAAGGCAGATCTTGCCTAATAAATCTAATAGAATTTTTTGAAGAGGTGACTGCGAGAGTTGATGAGGGAAATGCGGTGGACGTTATTTACATGGATTTCAAAAAGGCTTTTGACACAGTACCGCATAAGAGATTAATACAAAAATTAGAGGCCCATGGTATTAAGGGACAGTGGCAGTTTGGATTAAGAACTGGCTGAGTGACAGAAAGCAGAGGGTGGTGGTTAATGGGTGTTTCTCGAAATGGAAGGAGGTGTGCAGCGGTGTCCCCCAGGGATTGGTATTGGGACCACTGCTCTTTCTAATATATATTAATGATCTGGACTTGGGCATAGAGAGCACTATTTCCAAGTTTGCAGATGATACAAAGTTAGGTAGGGTAGTAAATAGTGAGGAGGACTGTAACCAACTGCAAGCAGACATACACAGAATGGTGGAATGGGCTGACATGTGGCAGATGGATTTCAATGTGGATAAATTTGAGGTGATGCCCTTAGGTAGGAAAAATGATAGGAGGCAATATAGACTTGGTAGCTCAATCTTAAGGGAGGTGAACGTACAGAGAGATCTGGGTGTTCAAGTAAACGAATCATTAAAAATAGCGGGGCAGGTAGATAAGGCAGTAAAAAAGGCATTTGGTGTACTGAGCTTTATTAGTAGGGGCATAGAGTATAAGAGTAGGGGGGTTATGGTTAATCTATGCAAAACACTGGTTAGGCCTCAGCTGGAGTACTGCGTCCAGTTCTGGGCACCTTACTTCAGGAAGGACATTAAGGCACTGGAAAGGGTGCAGAGGAGATTCACGAGAATGATACCAGGAATGGGGAACCTTAGCTATGAGGACAGGCTGGAGAAGTTAGGACTTTTCCCATTAGAGCAGAGAAGGTTACGCAGGGACCTGATAGAGGTCTTCAAGATCATGAAAGGTTTCGACAGGCTAGATAGGGAAAAGCTGTTTCTGCTGGTAGGTGTGTCTGTGACCCGTGCTCACAGTCTTAAGATATCTACCAAAAGAAGCAGAGGGGAGGTTAGAAGAAATGTTTTCACTCAGCGAGTTGTTCGAATTTGGAATGATCTGCCTGAAAGGGTAGTGAAGTCCGATTCGATAACAGCTTTTAAGAGAGAACTGGATAGGTATCTGGGGAAGACGGGTTTGCAGGGTTATGGGGAGAAAGCTGGTGATTGGGGTTAGTGAAAGTGACTTGCTCTGACAAAGAGCCGGCACAGACTCGATGGGCCGAATGGCCTCCTTCTGTGCCGTAACATTCTATGAATCTATGAAATGTTAGACAAAAAAAGACCGAGGTCCATCTAGTTCGCCTTCCACCTTCCTTGCCCCCACACTCTGGAACTCCATCTCACAGTCCCTTCGCCTCGCTTCCTCCCTTGACTCCTTCAAGGCCAGTCTCAAGACCCTCCTCTTTGATCGTGCCTTCGGTCACCCTCCCACCTCTCTGCCTTCCCTCACCCCTACACCACCCCTCACCCATGCTCGGGTCCTGATCCCTGACTGTCCAGCGCCTTGGGACGTCCTCTCGACGTGAAAGGTGCTCCATAAATGCAATTTGGTTGTTGTTGTTGTCACATGCACATAAGTCCCAAACTACCTATGTACTATATCCCATAATGTTATTTCCTAAAAGAAAACTATCTAATCTGTGTTTGAAAGAATCAACACTTCCTGCTTCAACCGTCTTCCTAGGGAGCCTGTTCCACAGGTTTACTATTCGCTCACTGAAATAGTTTCTGGTAGATTTGTTCTGAATTTACCCCCTTCAATCGCAGGCCATGGTATCCGGTTTTACTATTCTGGACAAGTTGAACCAGCCTGTCATGATCTATATTGTCTTGCCCCTTTAGAACCTTAAAGACAGCAATCATGTCGCCTCTCAATCTTCTCTTTTCCAGCGTAAACACACCCAATTTACTTAGTCGCTCCTCATAGTCCAGTCCCTCCATTCCCTCAATCATTTTGGTTGCCCTCCTCTGTATCTTCTCGATTTCTCCCATATCCTTTTTGTACTGCGGCGACCAGAACTGTACACAGTACTCTAAGTCTAGTCTCACCAATGATTTATACAGTGGCAGGATTACGCCACTATTTTGGCTTGCTGTTGATCTTTTGATACATCCCAACATCTGGTTTGCTTTACTCACTGCCACAGAGCATTGTTGGGAGAGCTTCAATTTATTGTCAATCAGGACCCTGAGGTCCTTTCCATTTTTCATACATATTATTTTGTAACATACAAATTGGCCACTAACGTGTCACAATCGTACTGACTGCACTAGCCCTACACTCTTTCTTTCTCTTTCTTTTGCTGACTTTCTCTTTCTCATTTTTCTTTTTGCCTTTCTCTATGACTCTTTCTTTCTCTCTGACACTTTTGTTCTGTGACACTCAATCTTTGTGGTAAAAATTCCATAGAACATTAGATACAGCACCTCTGACATTGTGGGATTATAATGGGAAATTCTTTTCGAGGCCGATGTCACCATTGATTACATTACTTGTAGCAAATTGTACATGTGGGATGAGCAAATAAAACATTTTGCAGACATCGCAGCCTGACTTCACGTGTATTTCAATGAATGTCATCTGTTACAAGATAAGGTTATACAAACTGCATTGGTTAACTAGCAAATGATTTAAAAGTGCTCCAGCTACTTAATGCTTCAGTCCAGTCCCATTTGGTTCTATTCTGGATCACAAGAGATCTCAAGAGAGGTTCAAATCAGAAGGTTCTTCAACCCATTTGATATCATTGTTTCCCTAAACCCACTATACTCTCAGACCCTGATGTGTGGATAAGTAGTACATGTGTTGTTATGCATTGCGCAACCGAATGCAATGAGGCACGGTGTCACTGCTCCCATAGCGGGGAATAGTTTTGAAACAGTTTTGACCCTGTGGGTGAACCAATGTTTACATGTCTGTGGGGCAGTAGCTCTATCTGCTGCAGCACATACTGTTTGGACATTAAGGTCAAAAATTAAAATGCTGCACTCAGCAACAAATTGCATTTATAATATACCCTTCATGTGTTGTAGAAGAATATCTTGATCAGGAATAACAGTTTCAGTTATTTTGCTAATTTCAAAAAAGCCTTTTTAAATGTGACTGTTCTGAAGGAAGAAACAATTCCTTAGAAGATGAGGGTGGGAGTTGAATTCCAAACCTGTTGATAAAGACAGGTTGTTAAGATACACACTAACCACATTTTCTGATTTTCAGTTTGTGGAGATCCCTGGTGATATGTAGTGATAATTCTCACATATTGAACCTCTCCCCTCGATATTGCAATTTCACCTCTTCATCTTCACCTGTCATCACTGGATTCATAAATTCTCTGCCATACCATGTATTTACTACCTGATTCCCCAGTGTAGTGAGTGCAATCATCATTAATAACAAAGCAATCATTGCATTCACTACACTGAGTAGATGGACAATGTGCTGTGCCCTAACACACTGAGATTCTTAGTTATAGAAATTGCACCCACTCGTTACATCTGATACTGTTTTTAATGAGCATTTCCTTCATCCCTATAGCCGTCCGGATACCTCCTTCTCTTGGTTCATGAACCCCTTCAAGTGTGTTTACTATCTGATCTGGAGAAACTACAAGAAGTACATCATCACTGGACTAATTTTGCTAATCCTCACACTGTTTATTGCTTTGCTAATCTACACATTGCCTAGTGCCATAAGTACCAGGATTCTGAATGGATGAATTGAGATCTTTGTTACCTAAAAATGAAGAACCTTTCTGAACCTATGTTCATATTTAAAAAAACTGTCTTAACAACAACTACATTTCAGTGTTCACTTTCCTATGTTTATGGCAAATAACCATTGGTTTATGTTCAGAACGAGCGACAAAGTATTCATTTGTTAGAAATATCAGAACATCAAAAAAAATCCATTGCTCCTGTTCCGCTAAATCTGTTCCACTGTTCTATCAGATCACAGAGCGCTCAATCCCATTCCCCAGCCTTTTCTCCATGTCCTCATACCTCCCAAGTGCTCCGGGACACTACCCCGTGTGAAGTGCACTATATAAATGCAAGTTGTTGTTGTAACTATCTTTCAAACATCTCAATTGATTCTGCCTTTGTGCATTCTAGGACTGTTGATTCCACATTTGCGTGAAGTTCTGTTTTCTGATCACCCTTTTAACTATTTCAGCTCTAATTTTAAGATTATGCCCCCCTTGTTTTAGATCCCTCTCCCAAAAGGGAAGAGTTGTCCATTCTCTGGTTTGTCAATTACCTTAATTATTGTAAACATGTTGTTAGGTGGTCCTGGCTTTCTCAGGTAAAATGTCATCTGTGAAATGTCATTTATTTGCTAAATTATGCAATATGAACTCAGATTAATGCACTGGTGTGAAATATAAGAGCAGAGATTTACCAAGTTAAAATATATTGTTTCCACATTAGTTCTAGTTTGAGAATTCACGTTAACCAGCTATCTGTTGTCATCGCACGTTATGACACTTATATCATTACTATACTATACTATACTACTAAATCATGAGTGTTTTGGATTTTCTTCAGGTGTCAGGTAATAAAAATGGGCTCAAGTCTTGCAATCCCAAACACTTATAAACATCAACCGGGTGGGGGGGGGGTGGCATTTCAGATACTGGAGGAGAAGTTGTTAGAGGAGACTTTGGGACAAATAAGGATGGAACCAATGAAGTATGTAGCCACAGATGTGGGTTAGAGAGGAGAGACAATGTTGGTGAATGGAATGATCAATAGTACCAAAAGAGGCATAGAGGTTAAGGAGGCTCAGTGAGGCAAAGTTGCAAACCAGCAGGATGTAGTGTGTAACTTTGACCAGGGTTGTCTCAATGCTGTAGTTTGGAAACCAAACTGGAAAGTCTCTATAACAAAATCCATCTGTTGCGTTTTCAAAGTCCATATCAGTGTGTAGAGGATATGTTCCCAAGGCAGCCACATCCTCCGCACACTCAGAAGTTCCTTTATGTAATATAAATCCATTTTATGCTGCCAAGTAGTCACCAGCTTATCTCATTTCAAAACTGCCGCGTCTAAAAAAAGGATAATTAAATAAGTATAATAGTGTGTTTTATTGTTAGAGGAGGTCTTAACCATATATAATGTTGATGTCATCAGGTAGAAGAAATGTCTAATTAAGTGGCCAATGAGTGTCAAATGTGAAAGTAACAATGATGTGGAAAATGTGCCATTCTGACTATAATTTAGAAGTTTCAATACGAATCAGTTTGAGTTGAACTTTGTCTTTTGAAGACACAGTGGTGCACTCAGAACAAAAGGGCTATTTATTCAACTATAACATAACAGGTGTAATTAGCTCAGAATTGCATGTTGAAGTAATATTAGAAAAAACAATATTGTTTTGTTTTTGTTTGCTGCTTACCAAACTTAAGATTGTTTCTTCAAAATAAAGATTTTCTCTGAAACCACGGTGCGCTTGCCGATTTTTGTGTTGCTGAAACTTTCAACGGGCATCATAAGGTATTCTTTTTCCAGTTCTGAGACTTTAGTATTTCTTTTTGACAAAATGTAATAATATGATAATTTTTACATACAGTCTAGCCCTCTATCACGTTGGAGTCAAAGTGCTTCACAAGATACAATGTAAAGGGGTGACTGTGTATTTTGTGAGTGAAAGCAGCAGTCAATTTTGCGCACAGCAATGTCCCACAAACAAGCAGCCCTATGGAGCGAGGAACCTGTTTTATTTGGTGATTGTTGGTCAGGAGACTGGGAGAAACTCCCTTTGCTGTGAAGCATGAATACAAAGAGAATTGAAAGTGCTGGACTCAGGAAATAACATGAAAATCACAAAGCACAGCTTTCACATCCTCCCCTCCCTCACCTGCTCCAGCAAAACCAGCCATAGCTTCGGCATATTGCTCAGCTGTTTCTTTGCCTCATTGGGATCCAATACGCAGTGATTTCTAAACGGGATTTCTTAATGAGGAAACAGAAAGGGGTCTCCTTCCACTAGCTGGATATATGTAATGTCGACTTACAAGAACCTCGCTCCTATTATAATCATGTTGGAACAGAGATATAATGATCCTTCCATTTGCTATAGCCTCCTTATCATGTTTTCAAGAAGTCTGAAAGCGCTTCACAGAATATACTGTGAAGTGAATTGACTGTATATTTTGTGGGCGAAACGCAGCAGCCAATTACACACAGCAGTGTCCCACAAAGAGTCTTGGCTTGAAGTGACCAATTCAATTTTTTTAAAGAGATTATTAGCTCCAGAAAAGAGATCATGATGTCCTTCCGGTTTCCTTATTAAGAAATGCTGTTTAGAAATGGATCCATATTAGATTCCATCAAACCAGTTTTCTTAATATTTATATTCCTTAAAAACAACTTATAAATGGAAGTGTTGTTTGTAAAAGAAAAATCTATTTGGAGGCAGATGTCCGGCAATTCCCGACGTAGCAGAGCTCCCTCAGGCTGGTGTGACACATTTCATGTTAACAGCAGGATTCAATATTCACAAATACTTTGCAAATTCTATTGTGAATGCTGGCTTTAGTCAGCATGTGAGCATCTACTCACGAAAGATTGTAAGAGAGGTTTGGATACAGAAGGCCCTTCGGCAGACCTGATCTGATCTTTCTGGAATAGCTACATTACAGCATCACTCTGTTTCTTAAATGCGTCTAACATCCTACCTTCATCCACCCTTTCTGGACATTAATTTTTCTCTGGGTAACAATATATTTCCTGGTGTTTGTGCTGAATTTGTGTTTGATTCCGTTTGCAAGTGGCTTCCCATGTTTTACTCCTGATCTCATATGAGATTTCTCATTCCCAGAATTTCTATAGATCTGGAGCAGTCCTTCATTTACAAATTATGTTCAGCCCATTAATTAAAATGTTGGTGATCTGCATATTTGCCTGAAGACCCAGTGAACAAATGTTTTTCATTTAGTGAGCTATTCACATAAGCATACAGTTGAGTGTCTGTGGAGTTCACCTCTGTCATATGTTGATTGTTCAAAACGGTGTTCTTTTCCTTATAATGGATAGGACACAATCAGTATCTGCATTCAATTTGCTACAGCCTGTGGCACAGCTCTTTTCAATTCTTTGAGTTTCAAAGTGTCTAACAGAGTAAAGTAATGAGATGCAAATAATTACATCCCAATAGAGAAACTCACTCCCAAGTAAATAAAATATGGCACTAACACCAGCCTCCCTACCTGCAGGCAAATGTAAGTAATGTTAGAAATGTAAGCCCTAGTATTTGTTTATGTCTTTGCATACATTTACATGGACTTAAAGTACGAAAACAAGCCACTTGACCCAGCCAATCCGTGCTGGTGTTTATACTCCAAAAGAGTCTTCACCTACTACTTTCTTACTCCCAAACTCTTCTATTCCGCTCTCCCTCATTGTGAAGGTCTAGCTTCCCTTTAAATGCCTCTGTAACACTTAGCGAGTTCCACATTCTCATTACCCAGTGCATGAAATAGTTGCTCCTAAAATTCTCTTTTAGATCCATTAATCGCTATCTTATACTTGTGTTCCCTAGTAATGGACTCCCCAATAAATGGGAACAGGCTATTTATGTTAACCTTATCAAACCCTTTTATAAATTTAATGGTGTCCTCTTTAAATATCTCTTCTCTAGCAAAAAAGGACTAACCTAAAATAATAATAATAATAATCCTTGCATTTGATATAGCGCTTTTCATGTCTTCTAGATGTCTCAAAGCGCTTTATAGAATATACTGTAAAGTGAATTGACCGTATATTTGTGGGCGAAATGCGGCAGCCAATTGCGCACAGCAGTGTCCCACAAACAGTTGTGGACTGAAAATGACAAATTTATTATCGTTTTGTTTTGGAGGGATTATTAGTAGGCGTGTGGAGTAAGGAAACTTGCCCAAGGTTTCACCCTGCCTGGAATTGAACCCAGGTATCTCGCTTGCAAGGTGAATGCTCTAACCACTGAGCTACAGGACTCCACAATATATTTTGTATAGTACAAAAGCAGGGTTGCTCAGAACAGTCCCCTGCAAAGTATCGCTGCTTACTGTCCCCAGAATCTTGACCAATTATATGAATCAAGATATTCTTCAACCCAAATGCCTAGTTGATCATAAATTCCACTTGGCTTTATCTTTTCTTTGAAAGCCTGAAATTGCTAATTTTCATCAGATGCCTCTGAAAATCCAAATAAATGTTATCCACTATATTACCCTTTTCGGACGATCCTTTACGATCCCTATACTCTTTAGTGGAAGTCAGGATTTCACAGAATCTCTGTAGTTTTGTAATTAAACTAAGCAGAGTCTAATGTACTTTTCCCACTCATTTCTTTGAAGATTCTGGGGATACCATCTACTGCAGGAGCCAAGCTGACATTTCATGATTAACCTAGCCAGTCTATCCTAAACTTCCAGCCCTGGTATCATCCAGTATAGCTACACTGCACTCTCTCCATCACTGCTACATCTTTAGATGAGTTTACACATGTCAGTAATCTGACCGAACCAGAAAAATATTTACCTGGTTTGGTCAGCCAAAGAAGATGACAAACCTGGTGTTTCATATTAATCATCACATTTAAGCAAATTTCCCTTGTGAAAATCTGGGCAAGAGAGACCTCAAATTAATTTCTGTAAGTGGAGGTAGCTGTTGTCTGCTCTTCAATATAAACACAGCATGATCTTGTGAGACTCATAGGAGCGTTAAAGTTGTATGGCTTATTATGTGATACTCCTGGTGAGGGAGCACCGTTTTCATGATAATTAATTTTCCAAATCAGGTCTTTCTTCACCAATAAATAATTCATATTCTATGCAAGGCCCTGAATGATACCTTGCTCAGTGGGTGCCAATACTTGATGCTGATCCTAACAGTAACCAAATTCATGGGCTCAATACATTTGCAATTCACTTGCAAATTTCAATGCAAACGATGATGTGAAGGTACACTCAGAGATGAGAGCATTTTAGTCATTGAACTCCACTTCATTGTGGATCATTAGCATGGTTACAGCTTTTCAGTTGATCTCAAAACATCCAATACGAGCTCAAGACTCATGATGCTCTGAGCCCTGTATATGACATATTGAATGTAAGCGTTATTATTTATTATTGTTACTGCACCATGGCTTTGAGTATTCACCTGATGAAAGGCAGGAATCTCCCTGGACGAGGAAAGAGAATGGTGAAAATTAAATTCAAAGGTACGTGCCCGTTCCTGTACTCAAGGTAATTCCACAAGGTCCTCTCCGAATGGCTCTACTTGGGAATCCCAGAACTAACCACCTGTTAAAGTGAGAGCCGGTGTTTTCTAGAGATGTTTTAAATGGGTTGTTTATCAGAGAGGCAGCTATGATGAATTTGTGTCATTATATTGTGGTGATGGTATAGTACAGAATATTATAACAAAGGGAATGTGTCTGACGTAATTGATTCTTCATCTGGTAGCTCCTCGTGGGAACATGCTGGTGAAGATTGCTGCCGTCTTTGCCTACCTAAGTAGTCACCACTCTTGATAGCATTTACTTGTGAAACAGCTTGAAATGTTTTCATGCGTAACCTCTGGCTTGATGTATAACCTTGCCTCAATTCCTCCGCCTCGCCCCTTTTTTATCTATCTTTAAATCCAAACTTCAGATTTACATCTTCAACTACACCTATGGATACAACCCCTCCCCCTTCTCCCTTGCTCGGCATCCAACCCTGTGCAGCGCTTCGAGACACTATCCTGCGTGAAAGGTACTATATTAATGCCAGTTGTTGTTGTAGTTAAGTAAGGCTCTATATGAATATTGTAGCGCAAACACATTTTCAATGAATTACATTGCATGACATAGCATTCAGACCAACTAGTCTGTGCCTGTGTTTATACTCCACATTAGCCTCCAAGCCTCCAAATCCCTTTCCTGTAGCTTCTATTCCCTTCTGCCCCATGTATCCATCAAGATTCCTCTTAAATACATTATTGCTTTTTGCTTCAACCATAGCTTCTGGCAGAGAGTTCCACATTCTCACTATCTGCCTTAACTCCCTTTCAAGTCTGTTCGTGGCTATCTTTAGAGAGCTGAACAAAAGCAGAGTTTGATGCTGAGATGGGGAGAAAGGACAGGTGACGTTAGGTACAGTCAAAAAGGAAAGTCTATTAGTGCAATTTAAAAATGGGTAGAGAGGGGGCAAAGTGGAAGGATTGAGGCAGAGCGTTTCAGAGGTTTGGGGCAAAGTGGCTGAAGGCATGGCAACCGGTGGTGGAGGAGAGGGGTTGGAATATTGGAGCATGCGCAGAAGGCCATAGGGTTTTATCAAATCCCTTCATAATTTTAAACACCTCTCTCAATTCTCAATTC